GGATGATTTCACCCTTCCACATTCCCTTCACCACTCCATTCCCATTCAATTTCATTCCATTATTTTTCAGTCAATTTCTTCACACCGGTTTCATTATATCATGGATTCATGTTAAATGATTACATGTTCTTTCGTTTGAGAGGGTGTGTTGGAGATCAACCTCAAAACATGTATTTACATATATTTGTGCCGACAATTCTATTTAGTGGTCTACTCTCATCTGGTCCGACCCCGGCCCTATTCCGGCCTCATCCTATGGTTTTCTATAAGGAGGGCACGGCCAGGGATGAGGTTGATTGTTTCTGTTACATTTTTCTTAATAATGTTTTTGTTGATGATGATTGCGACCCCTGCAGCTCTGGAGTGGGCCGGGTCGAAGGAGTGGAAGATTTGGAAGTCGTCACCATAGCGGTCGGATAGTTGGTTTTCCTGTGTGGAGTCAGTGTGAGTCTCAGAGACGCACATCACCGCGGTTTTGTCATTTTTCATTTTGTCTATGATTAGGTTCCATTTTTGTCTAGTTTGTGGGCTGTTGGCCCCCTTGATGTTGAGGGCGGCGATGCAGAGGTGGCCATTTGTTGTCATCTTTGGGCCACTTCCTCCTCTCAGGCGGAGCAGTCTAGGTGGGGGTTGTGGTTTGGGTCCGTTTTCCGATCCCAGGTGCCTGTCATTGGGTTTTGGTAAAACGGTATAAACTCTCTGCCCTCCGGGCACCGGGGGCTGTGGTCGGTTGACTGGTTGAGTATTCACCGTGTGATTGGGCTTTCGGGTTTTGATCTTTTTACAGGCAGTTGGTGGTTTCCCGATCCGATTGCCAGCCGGGGTTCAGGATGTTGGGGTTTTCTTAGGGGTCGAGCTACTGGGCTTTCCTGTCGCCCGAAGGCTCAGTAAGTGTGGGCTCAGTAGGGGGTTGTGAGGTGGGGAGGTTCGGAGTAGGGTAGCTGATTAAAATTTTCCGTTCGAATTTCAGATTCAAGTGTATGGGTCATAGAGGTATTTACAGGGCAGGACGGAGTAGCTACGATGGTGTGGGCTGAAATAGTTCAGGCTATTTAATCAATTTTTTGCTAGTTGTCCGCGGTTTTTAGGGTGAAGTCTGTTTTTGTGCGTGTTAGTTGAAGTTGTATTTAGGGGGGACATAGGGGGGGAATCGCGAGCCGTATTGAGTAGGGGGGCGGCCACGTCCTCTTCCTCGTTGGAAATTCGAGTAAGGCGCGTATCGGGGGAGTGAGGGGAACGGTCCTCCGTTGGAGCTGGAGGGGATCATGTCACCGTCGATACCGGCTTCCGTGTCAGCCTCTTGTTTGGGGTACCGTTGATTCCAGGCTGAGTGAGAGTGGATTGGGCAGCAGTGGAAGAAGTGGTCGGAAGCCTTACAGGTGTTGCAGACTCTTTGTCTATTGAAGGCGTGTCCTGCCTGGGTTTTTTCACTTACAAATGAGGCTGTTCTGAAGGATTGGGACCATTGGTCATGTGGAGTTTCGCGTGCCTCCTTGAGGGTTTTGAAGGGGGGGTCCATATGCAACTCCCACATGGTTACCGATTTGTCAGAAGTTGGTCTTCTTTTTTCTTCGGTGTTCTCGTTGTTTTCCTTCCCATTGGGGGCGTATCCTCTTGGGATTATGCAGACGCTGTCCACAATTACTCTTATCTGGTCATCTGTCATACTTGCCTCCTTGAGGAATTTTTGGAAGGGGCTCGGGTTTTTGGAGATCGTTTGTTTGACGGCTTCTTTTATGTTGTTTGCGTCTTTTAGCCTGTTACCCATTCCCACAATGGAAATCATGAAGGATGAGGGTTTGAATCTGGTGCCGATGGCGATGAACCCGAACGTTTTGCATATCCATAGGTGTTCACGAATGAGGAGGTCGGCAAATTGGGGATTTAGGCCTTCAACTAAGAAGCCCCACGGTTTGGCGTATTGGGGGGTTCCACCACGTCTAAGGTCAATAGGGACAGGGGGGATGATGTTTACTTCCCCGACTTGGTCTGGGAACGCCCTTTCTAGAAAGGCTTCCATGTTGGTTTGGAAATTGCTAGTGTTTTCTTCGCTGTGGGCGGCGTCAAGGGGCATGGCTAGGATGGCACCTGCCTTTTTTAGCCAGGCTTTGGCACGGTCAGGGTTTGCTCCTTCGAGGAGGCGGCCTGGGCGGAGGCCGTGCGCGTAAAAGTTTGCCAGGTCAGGTCCTAGTGGTAGCCAGTTTAGATCGTCTCTTCCATCGTCGGGTTGTTCAGCGATTACCGGTATGAAGGTTGGTTGGTCAGTGGCGATGGGGGATCCATTGCCTTCAGTGGCCAGGCTACGGGACGGGGGGAATTCAATGGGGTTTGTGTTTTTTTGGAAGGTTGTCGAGCCACCCGACCCGAGGTCGAAGACGTCAGGAGTGGGCACGAGGGAGGATTTTTGGTTCTGGGGGGTAATGAGGGGGGGCCTCATCGCTTTTGGAGGGAGGAAGCGGGGGGGGCCTTTAGGGGCCTTGAATTCTTGCGGCAGTGGGTGATCTCGCGTGTTTCCTCGTTTCATTTTCGGTTGCTAAAGTGAGATCTTTGTTTTTACCATTCCCTTGATGATTTTTCCCAAGGAGGGGGCTGGATTGGGCAGAGTCTGGGTTGTCGGAGTCAGAGTCGGAGATATTCTCGTCCTCCACTTGGTCAGCGATAGTGACTGCGAAGTTTTGCGGTGCATTAGTTATGGCCGCTATCATGTGTTCATCCTCAGACATCAGCTGGGTTTGAAAGGTTGTATGGAGGGGTATGAATGACTGTTCGGACTGGGCCTTGTCAGAGGTTGTAGAGAGGGCAGGGGGGTATTTACCTCCATGGTTTAATGGGGAGCTTGTTAGGGGCTAGGACGGTGGGCGGACTAGGGGGAACTGACACAGTTTCTGCGGAGTTACCCGCTTTTATTTCCAGCTACTGGGGTGTCCCGGTGTTTTCAACGGGCTGACGTATGCGAAAGGCAGTTCAGGGTTTGGAGGCGGTACAATGTTAGTCTAGGTGCTTTCCGGGTTTTCACTTGGTTGGCGCATACGACGTTGCGTTATTGGAATTTTTTGCATTAGGGCGAATTTAAACGTTGAGTCGCAGCGGTTTGGTTTTAGCTTATGCATTTAGTTGACAGCCAGAGGGTTTTAGTGCTTGGGGTTGACGGCATCTCAAGGCCGGGACATAAGGGCAGTTTGGCATGTGAGGGTGGGGCCGGGGTCTGGTTGAATTGTAAGGTATAGCAGTTTTCCTTGCCAGGTTGCTGTGGTCCTGTCAGGGCGGAGGTTTGGTGGTGATGGTCTGACTTAGATCGGCAGGCAGGCTGGCCTCTCAGTGGGTCATGATATTTGTAATGCTCATTTGGTTGTAATATGCGTTAGTTCGGATAGGTTGTATGAGTACTCGTAGCAGGGTGGTGGGTGATGGGGTGGATTCTGGAGCACAGACTGTCGCATGTAGGTTACTAGTCGGGGTTTCGACAGAGTGTTGCTCATGTCTCAATGTTACGTTAGGGATATCGTGTGTGGGTTTTGCGTTAGGGGGAGAGCGTGGAGAGCGTGGGGCGTTTAAACCTTCCATGGCCGAGGGCCGCTTTTAGCGGTCTTGGGGTTCGTTGAGGTTTAAGCAGACATGTATTTCTCGGGGCGTTACAGTCCAGATATGGGGAATGCAGAGTAGTCGTGAGACAAGGTGGTTGGGTTGGGTGAGGGGGCATTTCTGGTTGCGCCACCATGGACGTATAGTGGCCAGGGGTCATCAGGGTAGCTATTATGTGTCAGGGAGGAGCCAGTCACGTTTGGTGGCTAGTGGTATGTAAGGGCATCATTGGGGTGGAGGTGACATGTGTAGTCTCGTGAGCCCCGCACAGCGGTTTGGGCTGGTTGGTTAGGTCTAAGGTGGGTGGGGTGATTGGTGAGGTTTTTTTGGGATTTAGGGGAGGACCCTAGGCTCGGTTGTCTGTTCGGGCTGCGCCCTCGTCAGGGGGTATGAAACCAACGGAGGTGATACCTCATGACTCTGCGAGTCTTTAGGGGGACACCTAGTCTACGGCGCGTAGGCTGTGTGGATGTTCCTAGGAACTGTCCTAGTTCACGCGGAACTACCCATATGAACCCAATTGCCTAAGCCGCGCTCGGCGTTTTTAAGTGGCAATTAGGCGCTCTTGGTCGACGGCCCTGGGCTCGGGGTCGGCGCGACGCCCGCCCTGGTGCCGCCTGAGCTTTTACCCCCTGGTCGACATTGCCGGCCTGTGGTACTTTTTTTTTTTTTTTTTTTTTTTTTTTTCGTGAATGTACTAGTTTTATGCTATGTCTTTTGCTTTTGCTTTTTACCTTCCTAGTTTAACGACATTGCGGTCGCTCCACTAGTTGTTTCTGCTTGTGCTGGTAGTCATGTTGATGTTGAGTTGCCGACGACCATTCATGTCTTGTAGTATCAGTGCGGCACTCCCGGGTCATATTCTTAACACAAGGACCTTGAAGTATCATGTTATCTATATTCACAGCTTCCGTCGAAAACTGCAGTCTGAACTAACACGACCTCATACTAAGCCTCGGTGGTGCCCTTGAGACGAGAAAGTCCTTGTTGTCTGTGTTAGGAGTTGATGAAGTGTTTGAAGATGGTGATGTGTCGCCTTTATCGTCCAGAAGGATAAGGAACCCATAAAATGGGCAGCACCTATGAAGGGAAGCTTGTCACTTGGATGATGATTACCGTCCCCTCGGAGCTTTAGTACTGTACTCGGCGCCGAATAACACAGAAGGTATGGGCTAGGCCGAACTACACATGACAGATGAAATTAAACCCCGCAAACTGGCCCTGGACCCTTGTTGGACAAGAACGCACCTCACTTTCGACTCTCCTTTGCGTCTGACTGCAACATCACTTAAATTCTTATGACAAAGCAGCAGATTTCCCCGATCATTGAGAGTGAACAACATCATGCGACCACATGGCTTTGTCGAAATGTGGCTTGCAGATGAACAATATTACACCTGTGCGTTTCAAGCGCCGGGACGTTCGCTCAATTCGATCAATCAAAATCGATACCACCCAGCTGAGGGGGTGGAGGAGCGTGGAGAACACCCAATTCATCGTTCGTCCGAACCACAATTCGCGCATGCAGCTACGCCGCCAGTGTCCTCCGTGCGTTTCTCATGAATTCGGATTCCTTTGAAATGGATTCACCATCGTTATCCATATCTGTTCAACAGGGCTTTTCTTCCTCCGTATTTTATCACTGAACGCCCTGCCGTGAGGCTCCTCCTTCGATTGCCTCCCTTCGTCATCGCAGCATCGAAACTCAGCCGTGAACTCGTCGTGCGTTAAGCTAACATGGCGTGGAATAAAGCTATCGGAATTGATCTTGGGACCACCTACTCTTGCGTTGGTGTCTGGCACAATGATCGTGTTGAAATCATTCCCAATGACCGTCCGTTGGGCATTCCCTTCAGAGTTGGGTCCACTAACGATCGTGATCTTTCAAACAGAGGGTGACCGTACGACACCATCCTGTGTCGCTTTCACTGGAAGCAGGCGTCTGATCGGTGATGCTGCTAAAAACCAAACATTCATGAACCCAAATAACACGTAAATCTTGCCTATGTGCTTTATACACTTTGTCCTAACTTGTGCTTTATTCTTGAGAGTTTCCAATGCCAAACGTTTGATTGGGCGGAAATTCGACGATCCTGGAGTTCAGTCTGATCTCAATGGATTCCCCTTCAAAGTCACAGACAAAGGCAACAAGCCCATCATTCAAGTCTCTTTTCGTGGGGAGCAGAAGGAATTTGTAAGTAGCGATCTTCATGTTCCTTGAGATACTTTGTTTCCAATCATCCAGAACTTGGGCTGACACATTGCTTTCTTAGACCCCCGAGGAAATTTCGTCCATGGTCCTCACCAAGATGAAAGAGGTTGCCGAAGCCTATCTTGGTCAGACCATTACCAACGCTGTTATCACTGTCCCCACCTTCTTCAACTACTCGCAGCGACAGGCCACAAAGGGTGCTGGTACTATTGCGGGTTTGAAGGTCCTTCGGATCATCCACGAACCTACCGCTGCTGCTATCGCCTACCACCTCCGCGATCCCCACGTGGTCCGGGATGGATATAATGTCCTCATTTTCGATCTTGGAGGCGGCACTGTCAGTGTGTCGCTTTTAACCATAGACGAGGGTACTACCTTCGAAGTCAAGGCAGTCGCTGGTGATCCTCACTTGGGCGGTGAAGATTTCGATAATAGTCTCGTCGGCCACTTTGTTCAGGAGTTCAAGCGCAAGCACAAGAAAGACCTCTCGACGAATGCCCTTGCTCTTCGACGACTACGCACGGCATGCGAACGCGCCAAGCGTACCCTTTCTTCTGCTGCTCGGGCTTCAATTGAAATTGACTCGCTCTACGGGGATATCGACTTCTATACTACCATAACCCGTGCTCGCTTCGAGGAACTCTGCCAAGGTCTCTTCCGTCGCACCCTCGAACCTGTCCATAGAGTTCTTCGTGATTCCCGTATCCATAAGTCCAACGTTCATGAGATTGTCTTGGCCGGTGGCTCCACTCGTATCCCTCGTATCATCAAGCTCGTCTCGGACTTCTTCGATGGCAAGGAGCCCAACAAGTTGATCAACCGTGACGAGGCCGTCGCCGTTGGTGCCGCTGTCCAGGCCGCTATCCTGTCCGGGGATACCTCGGAAAAGACTAAGGATTTTCTCCTCCTTGATGTTGCTCCTCTTTCCCTTGGTGTCGATACCTTGGAGGAGGCTCCGGATTCTCTCCCTGACGGTGCTCCTCTTTCCCTTGGCATCGAGACCGCCGGCGTCTTCACTCCCCTTATTAAGCGTAACACGACCGTGCCCACCAAGCGGTCCGAGATTTTCTCCACGTATTCCGACAATCAGCCCGGCGTATTGATCAAGGTGTACGAGGGTGAATGTCCACGCACCAAGGACAACAACCTTCTTGGAAAGTTCGAACTTTCTGGTATCCCCCCTGCACCACGTGGCGTTCCTCAGATCGAGGTCACATTCGATGTTGATGCGAATGGTATCTTGATTGTCTCGGCTACCGATAAGCGGACCGGTAAGTCGAATCGTATCACGATTACCAACGATAAAGGACATCTATCGAAAGAGGAAATCGACCGCATGGTATCTGAGGCTGAGAAGTACAAGCAAGAAGATGAAGATGAAGCCGCCCGCAGCTCAGCTAAAAACGGTCTTGAATCGTACGCTTACAATTTGCGCAATTCGATCCAAGATGAGAAGCTCGCCGACAAGTTCGGTGCTGCGGATAAGGAGAAACTTGGGAAGGCGATCAAGGAGGCGATCTCGTGGTTGGATGTTTCGCAGGAGGCCAGCACGGAGGAGTACGAGGAGAGGCAGAAGGAGCTTGAGCAGATTGCGAATCCGATCATGCGGAAGTTGTACAGTGGTGCTGGCGGCTTCTTTGGTGCTGGCGGCTTCCTAGGTGGTGCTCCAGGCGGTTTCCCTGGGCCTGGAGCCGATGATGGTCCGAGCGTTGAGGAAGTTGATTGACAGCATACTCACCTGGCTGCTTTCGTTCCTCGCATCACGAATATTCCCTATCCTCGTTGCAAACATCCATTTCTCATTCCCCCTCCCACACATCACAATAACCCCTTCATACCTGATGCTCCTTATTATACAATTGTTGGGAGAGAAAGAAAAACAATTATTTAGATTCTGGTTTATGAAGATCCCCACGTTGCGCGAAGTGAGGTGTCGGCTGGAATGAAGCGCAACAAGAAGCCCCTCCAGGCCGGGCGAAGCGCTGCTACTGAACAATGCACAATGCTGGTGTTTGCTGCTGGGCGCTGATGGCCTCCGTGCGTTCGCTTCTCATGAATTCGGATTCCACCACGGATTCCACATGCACCATGCACTTATTTCTTTGAAACGGATTCACCATCATCACTATATATGTTCAACAGGGTATCTCTCTGATCGTTGAATGCCCTGCCGTGAGGCTCTTCGTTCGATCACCTTATCACCGCAGCATCAAAACTCAACTGCCGTGAAGTCGTCATGCGTTAAGCTAACATGGTGTCGACAAAAGCTATCGGAATTGATCTTGGGGCCCGGCGTGGAAATTATTCCCAATGGTCGTCTGTTGAGAATTTCCTTCGGTTGGGTCCACTAACGATCATCATCTTTCGAACAGAGAGTAACCGTACAACACCATCCTGTGTCGCTTTCGTTGAAAACAAGCGTTTGATTGGCGATGTTGCTAAAAACCGAGCATTCATGAACTTGCACAATACGGAAGTTTTGCCAAGATGCTTCATACATCTTGCCTTAACCTGTGCTTTACCCTTTAGAGTTTCTAATGCTGATCGCCTGATTGGGCGGAAATTCAACGGCCCTGGAGTTCAGTCCGATCTCGAAGGGCTCCCCTTCAGAATCATAGACAGAGGCAACAAGCCCATCATTCGGGTCTCTTCCTGTGGGGAGCAGAATGATTTTGTAAGTGGCGATGTTTATATGCCTTGACACACCTCGTCCCCAATCGTCCTGAGCTAAAGCCGACACATTGCCTCTTTAAGACTCCCGAAGAAATTTCATCCATGGTCCTCATCAAGATGGAAACTACTGATGCCTATCTTGGTCAAACTATTACGAATGCTGTTATTACCGTCCCCGCCTCAACTGCTCGCAAAGACAGGCCACGAAAGATGCTGGTGTCATTGCGGGTTTGAACGTCCGTATCATCAGCGAACCCGGTGCTGCCACCGCTTATGTTCTTGAGAGTAAGGCTCGGAGGGAGCGTAACGTCCTTATTTTCGATCTTGGTGGAGGTTCTTGACCATTTAAGGGACTATCTTCGTCGTCAAGGCCACTGCCGGCAATTCTCACTTGGGTGGTACAACTGTCTCGTCAACCGCTTCGTCCAGGAGTTCAAGCGAACGACCTTTCGACGAATGCCCGTGCTCTTCGACGATTACGTACCGCGTGCGAACGCACCAAAGGTACCCTTTCTTCTGCCTCTCAGGCTTCGAGTCGAGCCATGAGGGTAGCACCCTCGAACTCGTCGAGAAGGTTCTTTGTGATTCCAAAACTGACAAGTCCAAGGTCCATGAGATCGTCTTGGCCGGTGGCTCCACCCGTATCCCTCGCATCAACAAACTCGTCTCGAACTTCTTCAATGAAAAGCCCACCAAGTCGATCAACCCTGACGAGGCCGTCGCTCGTGGTGCTACCGTCCAGGCAGTTATCCTTTCTGGCGATGCCTCGGAGACCTTCTTGATGTCGCTCCTCTATCTATCGGTATCGAGAATCGATGGTGTCTTCAAGTCCTCTCATCAACCACCGTGCCGATGAAGCGATTTGAGATTGTCTCTGTCGATTCCGACAACCACTCTAGTGTGTTGATCCAGGTGAGAGCGCACCCGCCAAGGACAACAATCTCCTCGGCAAGTTCGAGCTTTCTGGTATCCAACGTGGGATTGGGGTCATATTCGATATGGCATCTTGAACGTTTCGACCACTGTGACCGTATCACAAATACTAACGACAAGTCGGAGGAGGAAATCGAGCGCAAGGCCGTTGCGGCCAAGAACGATCTCAAGTTGTGCACTTAAAATTTGCTTCACATGGTTCAAGACCTTCATAAGGCGATTCAGGAGGCGATCTCGTGGTTGGATACTTCTCATGAGGTTGGAAAGGAGGAATATGAGGAGACCTTGAGTGAGCTGCGGATTGGATGCTGCGGAAGCCGTACAGAGGGCCGGATGGTCCTGACGAATCTTGTGGTAGACAGGGTGCCGATGTTGGTCTCGATGTCAGCTATCGACTCTCAACGCAGACCTGCAAATGACAGGAGAATGCACAGACGGCGAGGGCCTGAACCTAAAGCTCAGCAATCCCCTTTCTCGATGCCTAACATAAGTCCTTTGGAGTACCTGGATGGGAAAATTTTAGATCAAATTTGAAGCGAATTTACCATGAGGCTGCTTGGGTTACTTTTTCGTTTGGATGAACTAAATCCCTTCTCAATTCGCTGCCATACTGAGTCCCGGACTCGTCTCTCCATATATCTTATCTCCTTCTGCTGCCCTCCATGCACTGAGGCTAAATTTTCCGTTGCCCTTGATCCAGCTACGTACTGAAGGCCAACAGCTTAGCCGGAAAAGGCAAGAGGAAGGCAGCTCCCGAGTGTTCGTTTGCATTGGGCTCTTCTCAAAGTTTGTGTCATTGCTCCAGGTGGAAGAAATAGGTCAAAGTGACGATTCTGGTTGTAGATACAGCATTCCTTTATCCAAAATCAAACCAGGGCCTAGAGATGTACTCCGCTTACGCACACGCACAATGCGCTGCACCTACGCCCTGCATCTTGGACACCTCCCTCCAGAATCGGGATGTGTCCGCACCTGGCTCATCAAGGTTGCAGGGATATCGAACAAAACAAAAAGGCGTATTCAGAGTATCATACCGTCGCAATCGTGGCCCCAAAACCCGCGAAGAGATCAGAAACGCCATTTGCAGTCATCCCCAACCCTGCGCTCCATATCCATCACAAATCCACCCCATGAATCCAGGGCTCAACACTGGACCGGGCATTCAATCTGTCCAGTGTGGGGTCGTGCCAGTGATGCCGCCGCCAAGCGCTTGGTGGAATGGAGACATCCCTCCTCACCCAATCACCAGTATGCCATCCCCCCTAGGATATGCCGGGGATTATGGGTGGCCAGGGTGGCCACCCAACGCTGTCGGATGCGTGCAAAGCCATCACAAATCTGTGAGTTTCTCGATTCTGTACATGGATCTATTCATTGATAAGCAACTCTGTCGGTCAGGATGGTGATGATATCATGGCCGTCCACGGTCGACGATCAAACATATATGGCGCCATTGGCACGCCTGTCCCAAAGAGAGGGTGAACAATGGGCGCATTCTGCCATCAACCGCCGAGGGAACAATTTACACATCCATAGCCGAGAGGAGTTACCGCAGGTTATCAACCACTCCAAGTGCTGCTCTCCTAGGGACTGTCTGGCTGTTTGCTTGCTCAAGTTCTCCTCCAGGTATTTGTTATGTTGCGAGGCTCTTGTTCGAGGTGGTTGATTTCCTCAGTTCGAGCTGTACGTTTGAGAAAGTCCCGCGTTCCTGTTTATCGTAGCGTCAAAAACCGCACCCCTTTCTCCAATATATGCTCGTATCTGTAAACCTGGCTCACAGATCACTGTCAGGAGTTTGGATGAAGCATCGCGCGCGTGTCGGTGAAGACCATGTTATTTCATTCTGCTCTTCCCATCATAACGGTTGGTGGGCAAAAATCACTCACTGAGCGCCGCATCTGCGGGTACCGGCCACCTTCAATATTGGCGATCGACTCTACATCAGTGGTCCCTTCAGCGAAGAAAATGAATCATGCGAGTCCATGGGTGAATATCGCAACCCTTATCTGCAGCCCCGAAGATTGCAATCTAAGCTCACCGCGCACGCAAACAGATGCTGCAGCTCGTCTAGCTTGAGGGTTATTGTGAGATGTTCTGCTTAGTTTCGTGAGCGATGGATCTCGAAACTCGGAGGCTAGATGACACCACAGTTCTGGCGCTTTATCAAGCCTCCGCACAAGGCTGAAAGTCCAATTCAATCATATCCATTTGTCCGTCAGTTCCCGAACTCATTGTAACACTGATGCGCTCGTATCCGATACATCTTATCTGGTCGCATGGATTTACGATGTTCTTCGCTTCTTACATATACTGCGCTCATGCTGCTCATATTATATGCAGGGCTGCGCGACAAACGTGCTCTCCACTGATGATTGATCTCATTTCGTTAACTTGAAGCGCATGCTTTTGGTATTCTTATAGAGGCTGGTATCCTGCCTAGCTTTTGGTCTTCCCGCCTAGTTTAAGGTCCAGTTCCTCGTGAACGTGATTTGATCGCAGTTGCTACTGAGCGCTTCGTACAGGAACGTTTGAGAACCCTCGTAAGGACATCAAAGTTGGATCCTCCCTTGCGTTATGGCGGAGGTTTATTTAAAACCTAATTGACGAAGCTGGCCATCGCATCGTCAATCCCCAACAACTCAGAAATCCAACGGGAATGCGTTGCTTCTTTTGCAATAATCTGTGCTGGCAAGTCTTTGAGTCCAAACCCTGGAGCTTCGGGAACGCCGAGGGTTCCGTTGTTGGCCTGTGCCATGAAGCACTGGTGTCCACAGCGATATATAGACACGACTGTCTACAAGCTCATCGCTGCGGAGTTGCCTAGGGGATCAAATACGTCAGAAGAAACAACTGGCGGATCGATGAATTACAGTGGGTTGAACCCAGCGAGGCTTTTGGAGATCCTCTCCAGCGCAGATGCCTCATTGACTGCAGTGGTCCAACTCCCGGTACCGGCATTTAATTTTCCAAATAGCTGGTCAATGCGAGCTGAAGATTGTATATGAGCCATGTGGTCAGCACTTGACAGTTCGCCCCATTAGCTGGTTCCCGCCGCACTCAAGCAGTGGTTTATGCAAGGAGTCGTCAGATTGACTATCGGTTGAATCAGTGTTTTAGGAGCATGGTATTTTTGTCCTCACCCTGTGATCATATCCAAGCCGTGGGCTGAAGTCTTCCTGTTTCCAGAGCCTTCCAGAGAAAAAGAGTAAGCCCTATTCCAATTCTCCCGCGTGGTGGGACTATTCGGTGCGACAGCCGCAACGCGGACAGAGCCTTAGGTGAAGGGAAAATCGACAGAACCTCACGACGGGGCGAGGAACGACAACATGAATCAGGTCAGCGGTTCATTGAATTATTACCGATCACCTTCCCGCTATTCCTGCAAATTTCGTCAGGCGATTTTCATTTGGAAATGGCAGAACATGGCTGCATGTCGGATTTCCCGATAAATTTGGGCTGTCACAATCCTCCAGGCCTCCGACGTTCAATGAATCAATCGCGTTTTAAGACTGCACTGAACGCGCCCCACATTGGTTATTGTTAACACAGATGTTAGTATAATCCACCTCTTTCGCGAAGCCCTTTATTTTACATTGCCCATGTCATATCCGTAACGGTAGTCACCTATCCTTCCACACCCCCGCCAAATCAACTCTATCACACACCCATGCGCCAGTAATCCCTTGAGCGGAGGAATTGTCTTATGCGAACATATTCGTGGATATCGCGGCGCCATCAATCAACCCTTATCTGCGATCCCAAACAAAGAAATACTGCAACTTGTCCAGTTTGAGGGTTATGGTGAGATACCTCTGCTTAGTCGCTTAGTTCCATAGCATTCACTCTCAAACGTTGGAGCTCGAGAGATGAGACTACGCATGATTCTAAAGCTTCGAGTTAAAGGTCGACGATTATGACGAACGTTAATACACTCCTGCGCACCATTGGCTCTCTGCACGAAGTGAGAAAGGTATTATTACGAAGTCATAGGGGCTGGGTTCCTGCCTATGAGAAAGGTTAAAATGATCATATCAATTCATCCGAAGCAATTGCAACGTTGACCTTCTCTTGTCCGGTCGCACGGACCCACGATGTCTCTCGCTTCAAGTCTGCCTTATATACTCCACCTACTCCGCTTGCGTAGCAGGATTGCGCGACAGGCGTACTAAGTGATGATTCATCTTATTTCGTTGATTTCGATGCTTCCGATCGATCTCGCTCGCCTAGTCCCGCGCGCAGTCCCTCGTGGACTTTATTTGATCAATGAGCTGTGAAGAGCCTTTGATTGCTGCCTTGTTGCTGCTGAGCGCTCCCTACAATGGATCCGCAAGTCGCAGGATCGATTTGGACCCCTATGATAAGGCCTTCTCCTGTGTTACGACGGAGGCCTGTTCAAACCCTAACCCAGTTGTTGGACATCGCGTTCGACGTGTAGCCACGAATAACTTCTTAGCTGAACAACAAAGGGTTCAACTGTGAATAGCCTTGTTCCCGCTACTCCGTTGCGCGTCCTTTACACACAGACACCATTCAGAGTCGAGCTTTGTTCGACGGTCTGAACCCCGCACCATGTCATCTGAAGTTGTATGGCATTCCTCATACATCCTATCCTTGCGAGCGACCAGTCCACTCACTGTCTTGAATTGCATCACATCCCAGAACGTGAGTAGTGAGTACTTCGGTAGTCATTGTGTGCGTGTGTGTGCAGTGCGACAAGAACATTGGAACAGTTGAGGTCATAGGAAAATTAACAATGAGGTCGAACAAAATATGTAGATATTAACATGAACATTCCAATGGGAGCGATGGAGTGCTGTGCATGCCGGGATGCGTGCATGCGTGCGGTTCGACACTGACAGAAGAAGGTTCATGGAAAGACGGAAGCCAAAAAACAAAAAAAAAACAAAAAAACAAAAAAACAGAGCAAAACAAACAAAAACCACAGCACCTCGGGGTTTCCATGTAGTCCCATCCAGAAAGCCGCATCCATCGCTCTCTCTTGTTCACTGGAGTGAGCAGGTCCAAGACGCTGTCCGCAACTCTCGATTGGAGATGTGACGTTCCGCGTGACAATCAAGCGACCGAACGGTACATTGAAGGACTACCATGGTACTAACCAAGCGGTACCCGGCTTAACTTCGCAGATCGGACGGGATGCGGTGCTTCACGAGTCCCATGGCCGTGGATGTCCGACGATACATTCTTAAGCCCCATGATGAGTTTTCCAGTTCTTTCCGACCCTGCTCTCCTTGTTGCAGCAGTAGAGCACTATCAAAATGACCATCATAAGCAATCAGTATTTGATCTCGGCTCCAGATCCAGACACACACGTGACTCCCCTTACCACCAACTGGCCGCACAAAACCACTTTGGGCAATAACTTGCACTGCTTCGCCTGCATATCCTGTCACCTTACCGCCACAGCTGTACGTACACCATCAATTCGCCTCGGGAATAGCATGCCGATGCCGACGTCGAGACAAAAAAGTGGAGTCCTTTCTGCATCATATCTCAGGCTTCGATTGTCTTGAAATGTTCTACCTCACGGTTCGCCCCTTCCCGATCTAGCCATCTGCCAGTGTCCTAGTGACATTCAGCTACTATCGATAACCCTTGATCGCTGGTGCTCCTAGTCACTTGTCAATTTTCACTCCCACCCTATCATTCAACCCAGGGCCCCAAGCTTCGTGGCCTTTCTCTTTTTTGTCTGCCACTTCCGCTTCTTCTCTCCCCTCCATCGCCAATGGCGCTTTCAGCTACGGAATTTTTGAACATCCTTTAACGATCAACGACACACGTTTAAAGCTTGTACGACATATTGTCAATGACAACTGTTATTTCAGCCACCTGATGCTTGCAGTATTATCTGAGAATTGGTACTTACATCTTGCTGCGTAATTTCAAAGCCATATCATGCAACCCACAACCGGAACTCCTCCTTTTGCATGTGTTACGGACACTCTTTCCCCAACCTGGACATGAACTGATGTGACAGATGCCCAATCGCTCTAACCTTTACTAGTGTTTTTGCCATGCGTGGATGGTAAAGCGCTTATACACATTAACAAGTGGCTTCGCGTCACAGACGGTGCTGCAAGACAAAAGGGGGGACTACAAAGGCGAACAACATGAGGTTTCGGACCTTTGTGCGGCCCAGGTCCTTCTGCCACCCGCCACGTCGGGTTGCCACGTCAACAACAACAACCTTCCAATTGCAAATGGCTTACTTCTCCTGGAACAATCATGATCATAACCATGCTTCATGGAACCTATCACACCAAGGTCATACCGGCCAAATTTCATATTCCAGTGATTCTTCGCAGATGGAAGATAGTCACCAAAAAATCCGCGAGGAAGGGTGGCGTTTGGGGGTCTTGGACGTCCTTTGGGCACGCCTTTCCTGCGTAATAGACTGACGGGTGACCTCTCACCGTATCATGAGCGAAAGTTTTGCCGAGTCTTCGTGCAAGTGAAAGAAAACTCAGTCCGGCCCTCAGATCGATGCGTGGCCATATGTCCCTTTTCCCTGGATGGCGCAACTGTAAAGATGCGATGCCGAATGGAGTTTCGATACTGAGCTAGGATGTGCTGACGATCCTGGCCATTTGAGGCCATATATGACTTTCTCGCAAAGATCTTCCAGCAAAAATGTCCCTCCTGTGCTTAGAACCTAACCGTTGGAAAAAGTAGGAAAGTTAGATCTGAGAGAGGTCGATCCCCATATTTAAAATGGGTTTTTTTTTACGCAACTCCAATTTTCCCCGTGAGGGTTTCTATAATGCTGCAATTGTATCGCGCACAGGATCAGCCCAGATTCTGAACCGCGGGTGTTGCCCAGTATGTATTGTACAGCACGATGCTCCAGAGAAACGAAGTGAAAATACCTCATTCGAACACGGAAGAAACGGCGAACCATTGCCTTATCGTGGTCTTTGGTAATTAGTTCCCCGTCCGATACACCATCTGGTCGTTCAATAGTATTCGTATTAACTCCCCCTGGGTATCTGACTTCCTGGTATGTTCCTGCCCAATCAAAATCTAACAGATGGATAGCCAGTGTCTCGGGATCAACGAGGGTGCTCACCTCTCGAGTATCGCCATGGACGGTGTTATTGTCGTGCAACGTCTGAACGATATTTCGCATCTTAGATTTCACGAGTTCCCGCTTACCGCCCGAGAGCGCAACGCCAGAAAGTGGACGATATGGTGAAAAATCTATGACGACCATGAACCAACTTCCAGGAAGCGAAGCCACCTGTCGAAGCCGGGGCGCATGTCCCAGGTCGGCAAGTAATCGATGAGCCTCATTCGGATAGCGTCTCGCAAACTTGGTGCACAAGGTCTACCGTTTGTTTGCTGTTTCCTCGACTCGTGATCGATAGGTCAAGTCAATATCCCGATCCGTCTTAGCTTGTTGGGTAGGGAAATGTACGATCTATTTCCAGGACCAGGGAGCGAGGGAGCGACTCGTAGTACCTCTCAATCCACTCGACAGCTTTCTTGAAAGCATTCAGGCTAGACGCAATAGCACTCCTGCTAGCTTCGTCTGTCCAGTGGAACGTTAAATCATGCATGGGAGTCAAGGGTTCCACATTTATGTTCTTTCCCGTCTACAAACAACCATAAAAGCCAAGTGTAATGACCCTAACCCACTTCATTAATGTTTTGAAAATTTACAGATGGTCAACATACCTAAATCAATCATGAGAATACATGAGAAGCGGGACTGGCGGACCTCTCCAAGCGCATTATGTAGGAATTGTGCGTAACAACCGACAGCTTCGAAGAGGGCGGAGCCAGAACCAGGATCATTTTCGCATTCTCCAATAGTAGGCGGCATGATGACTTTACAGTTTTGAACTCAGTATGATGGACGGTTCCTGGCTCCATGGGAATCTCGTGGTCATCCAAAACCTTTTAAATTGCCGACCTACGAGAGGTTTGATCATCATACCATTCGCATGCAGCTGTAGTGAGCTCTTGAAGAAGCCCTTGCGCCGATGCTGTTGGCGACGCCGCACAATCATCCTTGAATTGTCTCGGTGGGGAACGGTGTAATGGTCGAATGGCCGGTTGCGGTTTTGAACCTGCTGGGCTTGGAAAGAGCGGATGGGGCCACCCTCAAGATCTTTTTGAGACGTTCTGGCTCCTCATCCCGGGGAGGGGGCCTCCGCCGTTTGGGCAAGGCTACAGCCAAATTGGGGTGATTAAACATCTGAGCCGAAGCAACGAAGCTATACCACTCACTATGCTCTACTTTGACTACCACATGAACCTGGTCCCTAAAGCCTTCTCCAAAAACGTCGCCTATTTCTTCTTCTTCATCAAGAGGATCCTTTCCGTTGATGCTAGCCATTACTCTATCAATAAGCTGCCCCTCGCCTCTTTTCGTCAAATTTTCCGGCTTATTTGGATGAGTGCAGTGGATCATCAGACAGAAGGGGCTTACTGCCTCACCTTGTACAAGAGAAGCTCGGTGGGATCGAAATTGTCATGTAGCCGTGGGTGCTTTTCGTAAATCTGATCGCGAATTTGCATGTCAAACTTAACATCATGGAGATGTAGACCAATTGGTCCGATGAGGCCGTAGTCGGGACAGGAGACGAAGTATGTTAGATATTCCGGGGAATTCGACATGGCATGGCGGTTGGCATGGCGGTCGCCCGTGACGGAAGCAAGTTGAATTCAAACTTCGCGGACCTTGGCGCGCACCATAAACTCCAAGGATCAAAGCGCAGTTATTCAATCCCAAAATTTAAGCGCGTAACTTTGCATTATTTACATATTTAATGCGCTTCGCATCGCTTGAAATTTTGCGTGTCACACAGTGTGTGTGGGGGGGGGGGACACAGGGACAACGATAAGAGAAATGATTGGCGAGACAAAGTTCCCATGTAAACGGCAATTCCCAAACCACAACCGGAGACGGTCCAGTGACGGTCTTCACAAGGACGAAGACAGAATAGGCAGTGTCACTTTTGTCCATAATTCTCGGGGCGGAGTTGAGACATACATTGCTCAAGGAACCCATAACCGACATTAGCGCCCCGCGCTTCGATGCCCAACGGTCCCCTCCTCGCTCCTCGCTCCTGACCCCAATAAGCACATACTTACGGAATAAATGTTATACGTGAAAAAGAGGCGGTAATATGATGGTCTTTTTGATATGTAAGGATGTGCGAAGGAAATTGAGTTGATATGTAGCAGCGGGGCGGCAAAGAGCGACCAAAGCGGTTCATTTGATGGAACAGAAGCGATGTAGACCCATCGATGCTTCTAGAATACGTAAACCAGCGTCGAAGATTGAACATACAACTATTTACAAGCAAATTTTCCAGAAATAGGTGGCATGTTCAACCCACAATTTATGAGCGAATAAGGTGAGGAAGCGCCCCAAATACACAAGTTCAAGCGCTTAGTTACGAATAAAGAAGTAAGAAGAACCTTGTAGACATTTATGGAACAATCGGGAATGTCCGATATAGAATTGCCTGGAAAGCGATGGAACTTCATCATCGCCTACATAAAGGCGTAAAGATTGGAGTCTCGTTCCCAGTGAACTTTTTCTCTCTGGAAAATCCTCTCCCCCACCAATTAGCATATAACATCAAAACTCACCGTACGCCAAGCTAAAAACGATGTCTACTGCTAAAGCTGTCGGTATCGATCTTGGGACGACTTACTCTTGCGTGGGTGTCTGGCAGAATGATCGGGTTGAAATCATCGCCAACGATCGTAAGTGGGGATTTTTTTTTCTTCACTCTGAGGTCGGGGATCGCTAACGATCATTGATTTTCTCCTTTGGATGATAGAGGGCAACCGCACGACACCATCCTATGTCGCTTTCACAGAAACCGAACGTCTGATCGGTGATGCCGCTAAGAACCAGGTGGCTATGAATCCACACAACACGTAAGTCTTGTGCGCTATACTTGATAAATCATATCCTCACTGATTCTCCATTCATCAGTGTGTTCGATGCCAAGCGTTTGATTGGGCGAAAGTTCGATGAACCTGAAGTCCAGTCTGATATCAAACATTTCCCCTTCAAAGTTGCTAACAAGGGCGGTAAGCCCACAATACAAGTCGAGTACCGTGGTGAACAGAAGGACTTTGTAAGTGACGATCTTCCTTGACGCGGTTTTGTGCAAGCCTGACACATTGCCATTTCTAGACTCCCGAAGAAATTTCCTCCATGGTCCTCATCAAGATGAAGGAGACTGCTGAGGCCTATCTTGGTCAAACCATCACCAATGCTGTTGTCACTGTCCCCGCATACTTCAACGACTCGCAACGACAGGCTACGAAGGATGCTGGTGTTATTGCCGGTTTGAACGTTCTTCGTATCATCAACGAGCCCACCGCTGCTGCTATCGCTTACGGTCTCGACAAGAAGGTTCAGGGCGAGCGCAACGTCCTTATTTTCGATCTTGGGGGCGGTACTTTTGATGTGTCGCTTTTGACCATTGAAGAGGGTATCTTCGAAGTCAAGGCCACCGCCGGTGATACTCACTTGGGTGGTGAAGATTTCGACAACCGTCTCGTTAACCACTTTGTTCAGGAGTTCAAGCGCAAGCACAAGAAAGACCTTTCGTCCAATGCTCGTGCCCTTCGACGATTACGTACAGCATGCGAGCGTGCCAAGCGTACTCTTTCTTCCGCTGCTCAGACTTCGATCGAAATTGACTCCCTCTATGAGGGTATCGACTTCTACACTGCCATCACTCGCGCTCGTTTCGAAGAACTTTGCCAAGACCTCTTCCGCAGCACGCTCGACCCAGTCGAGAAGGTTCTTCGCGATTCCAAGATCGACAAGTCGAACGTCCACGAGATTGTCTTGGTTGGCGGGTCGACTCGTATTCCTCGTATCATGAAGCTCGTCTCGGACTTCTTCAACGGCAAGGAGCCCAACAAGTCGATCAACCCTGACGAGGCTGTCGCCTATGGTGCCGCCGTCCAGGCTGCTATCTTGTCCGGGGATACCTCGGAAAAGACTCAGGATCTTCTCCTCCTTGATGTTGCCCCTCTTTCCCTTGGTATCGAGACCGCCGGTGGTGTCTTCACTCCTCTCATTAAGCGTAACACGACCGTGCCCACCAAGCGGTCCGAGATTTTCTCCACATATTCCGACAACCAGCCCGGCGTATTGATTCAGGTGTACGAGGGTGAGCGTGCACGCACCAAGGACAACAACCTTCTCGGCAAGTTTGAACTTTCTGGTATCCCCCCTGCACCACGTGGCGTTCCTCAGATCGAGGTCACATTCGATGTTGATGCGAATGGTATCTTGAACGTCTCGGCTGCCGATAAGACGACCGGCAAGTCGAATCGTATCACGATTACCAACGATAAAGGTCGTCTATCGAAAGAGGAAATCGACCGCATGGTATCTGAGGCTGAGAAGTACAAGCAAGAAGATGAAGATGCTGCTGCCCGTATTTCAGCTAAAAACGGTCTTGAGTCGTACGCTTACAATTTGCGCAACTCGATTCAAGATGAGAAGCTCGCCGACAAGTTCGAAGCTGCGGATAAGGAGAAACTTGAGAAGGCGATCAAGGAGGCGATCTCGTGGCTGGATGTTTCGCAGGAGGCCAGCAAGGAGGAGTACGAGGAGAGGCAGAAGGAACTTGAGCAGATTGCGAATCCCATCATGCAGAAGTTGTACGGTGGTGCTGGCGGGCCTGGTGGGCCAGGCGGCTTCCCTGGTGCCGGTGGCTTCCCTGGTGCGGGCGGCTTCCCTGGCGCTGGCTTCCCGGGTGGTGCTCCTGGTGGTTTCCCTGGTGGCCAGGGAGCCGATGATGGTCCGAGCGTTGAGGAAGTCGATTGACAGCATCCTCACCTTTTCCTCCTGCCGCTTTCGTTCCTCGCATCACGAACATTCCCTATCCTCGTTGCAGACGTGCATTTCTCATTCCCCTCCCCCCCACACACATCACAATAACCCCATCATTCTGTAACGCATCTAATGCTCATGTCGGCTCCCTTTTTTTTCTCCTGTTTGCTTCCACCGCTGTATTATGCAATTGTTGGGAGAGAAAGAAAAAATATTATTTAGATTCTGGCTTATGACCATGCCCACGTTGTGAGAACGTCCGCGAAGTGAGGTGTCGGTTGGAATGAAGCGCAACAGAAAGTAATATTTGCGGCTCCGTCGGGAACTCCGAAAAGCCTATCCTCATTCATTCTGCATATAGGACACGTGGTGGGAACTACTGAATTAAGGGGACCCTAAAATAATATTCCCCAAAATATTATTTTGTTTGCGACTCAGAAATCACACCATATCTATGGTCACACTCATAAGGCCGATACCCCTACTGCTCTGCTCTCTCCTTCCTCCCCCCTTCACTCCTTCTAGACTCGCGCTAGAACATACTAATTAGATAAAACTCCCTCTGGGGCCATGTCTCTTATCGTATCGACAGCATTCACCCGCCGCGTCGTCACTCCTACTCCACTCTCACTCTCTACTACCACTCTTCCTTCTACACCCATTCGGACGTTCGCTACGGGTGGTAGAGTCCAGCAGCAGGCTGGTGCTGTGGGTAGTAGCAGTATGGGATCCAATAGGAATGCTGCTGGTAGCAGTACCAGTACTACACTTGGGGGGTCGTATGGTAGTGGACCATTGTATGAGCGTAGAAGAGCTTTGATGACGAATGGTGTCGTTAAGAAGGTTGATGGGAGTGGTGGTGGTGGTGGTGGTGAGGTCAGTTCGATTAGGAGACCTTTGAGGATGATCATGTTTGGGAAGCCTGGGTCTGGTGAGTGCGAGAATCACTTATGTGTGGAAATGTGTCATTACTACTCGTGAATACTGACATTGATTGCATGTTGCAATGTTGCATAACTTGGCTTCCGCCCCCCGGTTGATTTTGTTACAGGTAAAGGAACGTTATCGAGTAAACTTGTAGAGAAATACGACATAGAGCCCATCTCGACGGGTGACCTTCTTCGAGCGGAAGTTCGAGCTCGGACGGAGATCGGGTTGCGAGCAGAGAGTATAATGGCTTCTGGTGGGATATTAGACGATGAGCTCGTACTTCAACTTGTATCGAACAAGCTTGGTGAACTTAGGGAACGTGGTGTACAGGTATGTCTAAACAATTTGTTATTATTTTCTTTGTCTGTCCTCTCCCGCTTCGTGTCTCTCTTCGTCCCTTCATATGTCCCTCATCTTCCGTCTTCCCCATATCCCCATTATGACGACGGATGACTACATCCAACTGCCCCCCCCCGATCCCTGACTCGATTTGTTTCCTATTCCGATGCTCTCCGACATCACGTGCAACCCGCATTCTTCCGCCTTCTCACTTCCTAGAACCCCAGATGGTGGGGCTACGTTCTCATGCTCCATTCCTTATGGATCTTCGTTTCCATCCTAGTCGACTTCCTTCGCGACATCACGCACGTTACTAAAACAACTTCCCATCACTTCTTTTGCATGGGAATGGTGTTAGAATTGGATATTAGATGGATTCCCGAGGACGTTGGGACAAGGTCGTTTGCTCGATCCGTTATTGCGGAAACTTTCGAGTCCTCTCAGTCTTATCATCAATTTGGACGTTCCGGATGAGGAGATTTTGAACCGGATAGCGGGTACGTCGGAATGTCCATTCGTCGTGGGGGGGGGGGGGAATTGTAGATCATTAATTGTTCCACTTAAGACCGATGGACACATGCAAAAAGTGGACGGGTGTATAACCTTGGGTACAATAAACCGAAGGTACCGGGGAGAGATGACGTTACGGGAGAACCATTAACAAAACGACCAGACGACAACCCTGTACGTCTAAAATCCATCCTCCTTGTCATTTTATTTTGATTCTGAAACCCACGATACGACATGTCCAGGAAGTAGCCTCCAAACGACTGAAAACGTTCTACGAAACGACATCCCCGTTACTGCATTACTATGCTACTCAATCTATTTCACCCAATACCGGAATCCCTACTTCGCCCAATGACTCGTTACAGCCTCAGATGTATTTGATGAGCATTCAAGGAAGGAGTTCAGATGAAATGTGGCCTAAGATTGAGGAATTTGTGAGGAGGTTGTTTGGCGTTAGAGGGAGGGGGATAGATGCAGCGATGGGAGGCACGCTTGGGGTTGGTGGGAAAGGAACTGCGAGAGGATTGGCGAACGTTGCAGCTCGTGATGGGAGTCAGCTCTGATCGATGGTTCCCGACTTGAATTTAATGAGTGAAGGTTTGTGTTCGCATCAACGGTGGGAGGTGTTTTAGGCATTGCCTGCATGCTTTCTGCGCTGATGGCTTGCTGCCGTGCTGGTTTTGGTGAATCGTCGGTTTTGGAAAGGGAAGGAATGAAAGGAAGTCATGATCTTTTGTTAGTTCTCATTCTTTTTTCAATTCGATTATTTGAAAATGATCTTGTTCATTACTTGAGAAATAAGTAATGAACAGCTGGCGCCTGCAGACACAACATGACGTGATTCCTTAATTTTCCATAATATTTGTAGGCCGGGCGTAGATGCTCGGCACAGCCAGTGCATGCGATCAATTGGCAGTGCTTTGACTCGATATTCGGGACGGCTCGATATGCACATTGAATAAAAAAAAGCTTCATATGCATTTCGTGCTCGATCGTGTCGATCGAGAACCAGGGTGTGTGTCCGGTAGCCTGGGAAGACAGCGCCAATAGTGGTATATCACCAGTTCGACCGTTGACCAACGTTATATAGCGCATCATCTATAGGCTTTCACGAGTTCTACTAGTACGTAGCAATTTGCGAATAGGAATAGGATGCTTGAGAGCCAGAGAGGGAGGAAAACGTCTTGTCCGAGGAATTCGAGGCGGTAGGCTATTGAGAGCCATAGAGCCTGAAAAGCGGGAGAGGTTTAGTGTAAGCTGTATGAGTCAAGGGAAGTCAGAGAGGAACGGAAAAAAGAACCTGGGCGGAGATCCATATTGCTAAGAGAGCTGTTGCGCGCAGTTTGGATAATTTCACTCGGGGTAGGATTATTGGCAAGAACCACATGTACCACATGAAATACTGGAGTAGAGATATGATAGGACGTTAAGGCAATCTCGGTTAGAACGAACGGAAGGCATTAATTTGCTTACTTGAGATGTGCACACTCGATTGAAATGGACGAAACAAACGGTTTGGATGAACCATGCCAAGGCGATATCTTTCCCCCCGAAGAGAAAACCTGATCCAATAGACAATACCATTTGGGGGATGAAGCTAAGGAGAGCGTTGCGAGGCGACAAGTAGTGAGCCATAGATGATGATCTGGGTTGGCTGTAGGTGAGGTACGTTGGATAGAAGTAGAGGGAGAAGTTGTGTCTGTGATCTTTTCGAGTGAGGTGATAGAGATAGGAATGCTCGAGAAAGGGTTGGCCCCAACTAAATTCGTCGCCTCTTAATTTTGGGTTGAGTGTTCGGAGAAAGTAATCAATATTGCTCACATAAGATACATAAAGATATTCAAGATAGCGAAAGAACCAAAACTGATCAATGTGAATCGTGCCTGTGCTAACAGAGTCCATGTATCAAAGATCGAGAGTAGAGCTCTCGTTCCGTCCTCCTTGGAGGATTTTGCTTGTTCCGCGTTGCCAAGTTTGGTTTTCGCTCTGGTGTGTATAAATGCCAGTAAACTTGCGCCATAAATAAAAGGGTATATCTTGAAATGAACTGCAAGCCCAAGTGAAATTGCAGCGGCGTCCAGTCTGCCGCTTTTGGCTAACGCAAGAGTCGAGATGACAAAAAGTCCAAGGACCGATTCTGCGGAACCTCGAGTCGAAATGTTGGCTGGCATGGGATTGAGAAGCCAGAGTGCGGCTATCCACCACACTTTATCCCTCATGGATGTGCCATTTGTAGGAAGGCAGTAGAGTATGTATCCGATGAGGATATCACAGGCCGCGAAAAGCACTTTTCCAAATGTATGATGGATGACTTCGTTCGGTATCATGAGGATGGCTAGAAGAGGTGTGTAGCGGTATGTCTCCCGATTGTAAGGGCTAGGTTGCTGAGTGGTAAGGAATCGGAGCAACAAACGCAAAATGGCTCACCGACTCTCCAATGAAGTTTCTCAATTGGGTGCTTTTCGTCAACCACCCTTTGGCTGAACCGTGCACATGGCCACTGCCCCTAGCCCCTGGAGTTACTATGAACCTCGCTGCATCGGAGAACACTCGATAGTCGACGTCGGTATACTTGAGAGCAGCATGACTGTCATGATACATCCCATAGACGATTAGGACCGCACGGAGAAGGACTCCGAGGAAGACGACATGCTTGAAGGTAACATGCTCGAGACGCATTGACAGGGGGGGCACCAAACAGGGGCACAGAAAAATCAAACGTGCAAAAATATTGCCGACGAACGGGTGTGGGAAACACTTGTGTGATCAAGTCACGCTTGCACAGCAATTCCCAGGACAACGACGGCAACGATGAGTGCCAAAGGGAAACAGCGCGCAGAGAGCAAGGTCGGAGATGGTCGATTATACGAGTATGACCAAGACCATGGAGATCCCTCAGAATCTACATCGCTTCTTGCGCCTTCATCCACTACTGTCGTGAACGAGTACGGCACGGGTTCGGCGTCAGGCAACAACAACTCTCGGTCATACTCTGGGCGTCGTCGAACCTGGGTTAGAGCACTTGTCTGGTTCCTATCGTTTCTGTCCCTCTCTCTTTTCTTTTTCATAATAATCGTTCTTTTCTTATTCTCCTCCTTTGACCGGGCTCCGGCTGCCCGGCGAGCCCCTGCAGAACTCCTCGCGCACGGTATACGTTGGGAGACCTCTTCTGTATCTTTGGACAACGTAACGGGAGGCGATGTGGATATTACTGTCCATGGGGTGCTAGGCTTCGACACGGACTGGATCCTTGGAGTGGACACCGATGCCAGTGTCTTGGCCCCTCTTAGACGCTCTTTGACTCGTTGGGCGATCGGTCATATCGGAGACCTGAAAGTTGCCCCCACCACTGCTTCCTTGTACGGTCGCCTAGGCAAAGTCGATGTGCTTATTGCGAACGTATCCACAAGAGAGGAGGCGACCATTTCAGTTGTACCTACCAAACGAGGTGGGATTGTTCATATGCAAGATGTTCATATCCCCTTGCGAATACGATCGCCGAACAATTCCATGTCGGTCCTGAAGTGGAGTAACCGTACTTGGACAGAAGGAAAGGCGAACATTCGCGTCTACCTACCTGAGGCTACGGTTTCGGCTGCAAGGTCCGCCTGGTGGCTACCGAACTTTAGCAGGAAGGAGCACGACATCAATGCTTCGGCAAAGTTCAAGCGTAAGTCTGGTTCCGTGTGACTATGAGTTCCCCACTCACTCACAAGTACGAACAACAGTGCCGCAGACTCCCGATGGTTTTCCTAGCCCTGGAGAACCGTTCGCTCTGTCCAAAGTCTTCACTCTTGTGAACTACTCAATGGGGATATTGAACAGCAAACATGGGGCCCACGAAATCGGTTTTTCTGCTCTCGCTAGCCTCTTGCTACCTCTAACACAGTCAACGTTGTTGAAGCTCAATTTGCCTTCGGATCTCCCCCAATTTCGCTTTCAAGTCTCGCTAATTAATGGTGAGGGAGGAGTAAATCGCACTGTTCCCTTCGTTCTCCTCTCCACATCGCCCGAGTTGGACAATGGCACTTCCGATTCAGAGCTCGCATCTGTCAATTTTCCCGTCAAGGGTTCGTTGTTACCCTTACTTCCATCCACTGTTCCACCGCTTTCACGACTTGTATCCAACTATCTATCTGCGCAATCATCTATCATAATCCTATCATCTGCTCCACTTGCCAAAGGCAAATCATTAATATCTCTCCCTCCCACCCCCATCACCATCCCTGGACCATCAAAGCGACCAAAGATTTTGAAAAACATAACCGTGAAGAACATGCACCTTTCTCCGTCCAAGTCGGGTGACACGCTCGTCGCTTCTGGGACGCTCTTCGCGACATATGGCCTACCGACGGCAATGCAGGACCTCACTCCTTTAATAGACATCCGGAAGGTTTGGCCCGACACGCTTATTTTCAACGGGGAAGTGCCACCTGACACCTTTCGAGACGATAATGAAGGCTCTGGAAGGATAATGACGCCCGGGGAAAACCCTCTGCCGGATCCGTTACCTGAACGGGCATTTGCGCGTATCCTGCCAGAGGACTGGATACCAGCGCACGAAGTGCCCCCAGAGAACGCGGCTGACATTTTGAACAGGAACGAAGCATCTTCGAAATGGATGGATATGCAAGGCGGAGTCGTCACGGGCGTCGTAACAGCCGAGATCGTGGATGTCCCGCTGCAGATTTTGCCTGGTCGAGACGCCGAGTTCCAAGCTTTCGTTCGGAAGGTTAGTCATCTTGTGTCGACTTAGCACAAGCCCCTGCCTGGTATGCTCAAGACGCATTGCAATCAATCCCTTAGATCATGTTGTCCCGAGGTGCGGGGGTCCCGGCCGGCGTGAAGGGAACTGCTGCCATTGGGATCCGTGTTGAAGGGCTGACATTACCACGTTCTGCCTTCTCGCGACCAGACGAAGATGACGACCAGCAGGACATTGAACTCGAGGGTTTGACATTCGAAGGCAACGTTACTGTCGGGAAGAAGAACTCATGGCGCTGAGGGAAGAGTGCGTGAATAGTTTCGTTTTTGGTATAATTCCTGTAGTATGATTTGTATCATCATGATAGCAGCAGCCATGTAGTAACCCCGCGACAAATTTACTCACCATAAATGTACTCATGTTATGGAGGGGGTGGCTGGGAAATAAGATACACCCACTCAAGGTGAAATGCTGCCATTTCAAACACAGCTGAGGTACTTATGTATCCAGACACGGAGTTCTAGAACGAGTCAATCTCCAATGACCTCTATGTAACGTGTTCCTTGTAATCCTACTTGTGAACCGATAATATCCCTACCGGATTTATCTGAATTACAGCCACACGCCGCGAGACACTCATCCGTCCGCTGTCCATTCCCCCTTCCTGTAACTTGTCTTTTATGTAATTCAGTCTTCTCAATCTAGATGCGCGCATCAGTTTTCGAGAATACCTGTTGGCTTGTGAGAAACAGAGGGCCAAGGCTACGCCAGTACATTCATCATGCACTGCTGGAAAATCCCCATGTTGGTGCATGTCGGTCTCTGTACGGTGGACTCTAATTCCTGGTGAGGGTGACGTTAATTAGGAGAGGCTATGTCCCTCATGCATTATCTTGCACTTATAAATGACGTGAAAGCCAGGCCACCCTACACATGGCCTTTATTATATATTCAGTGGCAGATGCATGTGTTTGCTGATCCAGCAGTAAGGAGGCGCCTGGTAACTTTTATACGCTGACGAATCATATATGTATATAGTTTGTCCCTAAGTCACCCCACTTTCTAGGTGCGCGAATATGTTCATACCAGATGGAGCTGCAGCCACAGGATGAAGGCCAGGTTGAGAACAAACTACACTATCTAACGGTGTGCCCCAGAGTGGCGGACACAACCTTTATGCACACATGTTTCGAACTCCGTGCAACGTCACAGGACTGGCATTCCCCCAATTAACAGCCCTTCTTGCGTCAGAAATCCCACCGTGACCAGTGTTCAGGATGCAGAACTAGCATGACCTCGAGCAGTCGTCCACTTTGTCACGTCTGGAGGATGTTTGGGTTCTCCAAGATGTAGTTCCATATATATAGTACAGCACTTTACATAGATCAGATAGCCAGGGTTCTCATGAAATGTGCTTATAAGGGGCAAGTGACGTTTGAATAAGGATCGCCGTGCATCTTCACCGTACGTTGAATGTTTGTACGGTCAAAAATGGGCTGGACACTAGTTTTGGAGAAGTAACGCCTAGGCCAGTGTGGGAGACCGCGTAATGAATTTCAACGTCGAGTGCGCGCGAATTGCTGTCGCTTTTACGACAGTGGAACGATCCGGAGACTATCGAGCCTAAAAGGTGATGATGCTTGGTGGGATATCACAGGTTGACGAAAGATGCATTCATTACCTTCTATGACCTTGAAAGGTGATTTGAGCAGAAAGATTGTTTGTTTCCAATGAGTCGGGAAACTATTGGGACCAGTTGAGAAGGAAACCACGGTGGGCATCTTTTTCGCACTAGTGGACCGCCGCCGAAGGGGCAATGGTTTAGTCGCATCCGAGGTGGACCTCGCTTTGGAGGGTCCAACCTGAAGATATTCAGCGGTGGGCACGAGGGTACCACTGGGCTCCACCAGAGTGACCTCTGCATCCGGAGGGACATCCGATCCATCTGGCATAAACCAGCTGTCAAAGTACAGGATGAATGAGCGCACCACGCCATCCTTTGTGGCGGTTAGCTTGAAGGAAGAAGTAAAATCTAGTTCCCTTGGGACAATTCTCTGCAAATGAAGATCCTGTAGAGCCGATCAAGATATCAATACGCATTGTCCCTGATGGAATGTTCATACCTTGATCACCACTAAATCACTCATGATCGCGTCTGGTTTGACATCCTCAATGAGCGCGTCAGCGTATGCCTCCTCGGCCATGGATGTCATCTTGAAACCTGCCATTCGTCATAAATTTGCCGCTAATAGAATTACTTTCGGCTCACCATATACGTCCTCCCAGAATGTTATCCTGTCTTTCACAATATCGGAGGAATCACCTAATGCCATTATCATTTGACATTGACTTGGAGCCATCACTCCGCCTATTGGATCGTCCTCCGAAGGTTTGCAAAGGAAGCGGTCACGCGCCACAAGCACGGAGTCAAGCATGGACTCATATAGCAGTGCATAACCCATCCATTCTGAGACAATGACATCGATTTTGACGGAGGGATCACTGTAAGGAGGCGGCAGTAGGATATCCTCCACTTTCCCTTGAATAACACTAGAGGCTCCATCAAAACCCGAAGCACAGACGTGACTTGTTCACATACGTGATAACGTCCTCCAGATCATTGTCCTTGACAATTTGACGTGCTTTAACCGCGATGCTACTTGCATCCACTGCGAAGACATGCTTTGCGCCTGCACGGGCCACAAACAGGGATAAGATACCGGTTCCTGCGGAATGAGGTTAAGGACCATTGGCCGCAAAGACAATTCGACAACAATCACCGCAGCCAACATCCATTACTAGCTTATCATGAAATAGCTGTGGGTTTGAGAGGATGAACTTCGCATAAGACGATGTGCGAACATGATCCTGCAACATTGTGGCGTGTATCTCTGAGAGGCATGAGTGAGGGTGATGCCCAGCCCGGCGAAGGACGATAGCAAACCTTGGTAGCTGTAGCTGTCGAAGTAGTGGGAGTCATCGTCCCTTATAGGCCGCCCCTCTACAAGTTCCAACGCTGAGGGTTTCATGGATGAACCGGGCCTGATGTCACCCTTAGATCCTACCAATTCTTGAACAAGTGATTGCAAATATGCGGTTTTTGATTGTTCCTCTCGAAGTTGAGTCCCTAAAGCCTCTACTTGGCTTTCGGTAGAGATATCAACACTGCCCCCCGTATTGCTGTTTGCGCTCCGCCGTGGATCCAGCTTCTGCGAGTCGTCGTCAGACCAGTCCCCGGTATCCAACTCTAAATGCGCAGAAGAAATGAGAGAGTGCGATTCCGTGAAATAAAATCGAAATTACGCAATAAAGGATCATTCTCGATGACAGGCTGAAGATATGAGGCTTCTGAGAAGAAATCTTCGTTTCCGTGCAGATTATCAAGATCCGACGGTTTCACTTTCTATAGGGAGTATAAATAAGGGATAAGAACAGTACCCCCCGTTGGCTGCACGCGTGAACTAACGTTTCTACGGATATAGTTAATTAATCGGATTCGGCGATACAGATCAAGGTCTGCAGTTGGCATCAGACCACTGGAATCAAAAGCTTCATTAAGGAGCTACTAACGAAGTTCAGCACTGACAGATTCGATGTTAAACCCATGCTTTTCGGTGTCATACTTGACAGCTTCAATGGCAGATCCCAGCTGAATGGGTTCAAAGAGTGAAAAACAAAGGGGGGATTCTTCGTTCCAGCCCTCGAAGTTATCATCAGAATTTTCCACAGTGCCATCGCTACTGCTATCTGAGTAACCTTTGTCCTTATCTTCGACGATTGTGGTTGAGGACGGTAATTCAAGCCTGACTTCCATAGCGCAAGAAATCGAGGTCACGAGTTGTCTGCAAAAATTGTGGGAAATTTAAACATCTCTTTCAGCATGTCTCTTGCCAATGCTCGTCTGTGGACTTCGATAACGACATCTTCCCTTATTCACGCAGTAAGATTTGTCTCCACCTCGCCATGCAGTAGGCATGCATCTCCTGCCCAGCAAGAGTCCTCAACCATCTCCCCTGCGATCTGGTCTCCACAATCTCGCAGGACTGGCCTCATTGCGCGGAAGCGGGGGATGGCTGCATTATATGACGACTATGGCGCGCGCATCCCCGTCACTGTTCTACAAGTGAGAGCTACCCACCAGTTCCGTTCCTTCGCTCCCTTTATCTATGTTGTTTTGCTAGGTGGACAACTGTCAAGTCACTGGGAACATCAAAATGCTTTGGCCGCACAAGGAGCCATACTACGGTGTTCAAGTCGCTGCAACAAACAAAGATAGAAGAAAGGTAACCCATGGAATGAAGGGCCACTTTAAAAAGGCTGGCGTGCCGCCGAAAGCTATCGTGGCCGAGTTTCGCGTTTCTCAGGATGCACTGGTCCCAATCGGTGAGCAATAGTAGGGACTGCACCATACCTGTGTGGGGGTTGAGCTGCAAATTAGGTACCACCCTTTCATCTATACACTTCGTTCCCGGACAATTCGTTGACGTCGCAGGGAAATCGTAAGTCTGTCATCTCATCGTGGACCTCGTTCGTGAACGTCAGAGTTAGGACTGGGAAAGGTTTTGCTGGTGTAATGAAGAGATGGGGATTTGGTGGTCAACCAGCCAGTCACGGAACTTCCCTTACTCACCGTTCCGCAGGAGGCACAGGCGCCCATCAGGTGAGTCGCCTCCCCTCTCTGTAGATTCCATATATTCTCTAAGTTACCTTCTCTCAGGATCCTGGTCGCGTATGGCCGGGAAAGAAGATGGCAGGTCGCATGGGAGGGAAGCGTGTCACTGTTTTGAACCTTCCAGTTGTTCGTGTGGACAGCACCCTCAATCTTATTTACGTCAAAGGTTGTATTCCTGGTGTTAATGGGGCTCATGTGTTTGTGACGGATGCGAAGCGCAAAGTGCAAGCTGCGGCACAACGGAAATTGCAGAAAGGGATGGGTATCGAGAATTGCTTGCCTCCTGGTGTTGATTCTCTGCCTCTCCCAGCAGGCACAAAAGAGATGGCCGAAACACTACCAAAGATAATAACCGCTCCTACGAGGGGACGGAATCCCTTTTCACCCATAGATTAATGATATAATTCTCCCAATTTTCATAAACACAAGAGTGTAGCTGGAGGTGTCGCCTGTAAGCAATTGCAACTACATGTACTTCAAGAACCCTCGGGTTGCTTCATTCACGTTCCGTCCAAACGTTGGGATGATACTCTTCCGCCCGCAACGCTTCCGCGGCGGCAAATTGTTCTGCATCGGTCCCGTTAAGTTGGTCCTCGTGTAATTCGGCTGTCGGAAGGGAGTCATCCTGCTTTCTTGCTTGGAGGAAGTCGGGAAGGCCCGTAGTGCGAGGTGCGTGTCCTCCCCAGTCTTTCTTCATGCCGGTCCAGCCCCCGTTCTCGTGCACGTAATCCATGAACGAGCGCCATAATGGGTCTAAGGACAGTACGACAGGGTCGCCGACTACGATCAGGAGCGCCTGCGCCCGAGTGACGGCCACTGATTGTGATGGCGAGAATGATCACTAATGGCTTTCTGTTACCTTGTGCCCGAACTCACCGTTGAACCGTGCTTGATTAGCTACGAATCCAAGCGATGCTCGCATGTCCTCCTTAACATAATTTGTGTTGCTTCGAACACAAGAGATAATGATCGCCCGCCGTTCCTAAGACGATGAGCACAAGGTCATTGGTTGGTGACTTGCCCGGGAGGGAATGTCGGGAAAGTTTGAGTCAAGATTGCCCTCACCTGTCCCTGGAAGCCCTCTACACTATCAACCCTCAACTTGCCGGTGCGGTTGCCTTTGAGCAAGGGTGAATTAATTATGGTTCGAATTTTCTGGCATTGCGCCTTGTATGGGGAGATAACTCCAATATAATCATCGCCTGAATCATAACTGAAATGAGCGACACGGACAATCATATTCCTTGGAAAGGCTTACTTCTCATCTGCTTCTCCAGCCTCAATTTCTTCACCCACCCGACAACGACGGACACCTCAGTCGGATTGAACCACGAAGGGGATCTTCCTTCACGCTTGTCTTCACCTACAGCACGATCAGCATTTTGGTGGAGAGAATACTAGCCTTTACTCGCCTTTTACAGCATGGAAGATAATCGGGAAGCCACTTTTGGGTAACTCTGACCATTGGGACAGGCATTGAGTCACTAACGGATCCCCGCATGCTTCGAGCTTCTTTCCATAAAATTGATCGCTTGGAAATTTAAGGATGGCAGGATGACTGCGATAGTTTTGTGAAAGGGTAACGATGCTATGGAAGATTCATGTGATTTTGGTTGCTGTAAAGCCGAAGGAAAAAAAAACATACGTGCGGCCGGTATATTCCTCAACATCGTACGGAGGCATCGCAATCAACCGTTCAAACAAACTCCGTTCCAAGCCAAACCTGCGACCGAGGAAAGACCTCACGATGGGTCCGAGCTGCAGGGGGTCACCCGAAAGGATAACCCGCGTATGTGATCCAGCGAGTGTTCGCAATGGCACCATCACTTCAGGTTCAAAGCCTTGGGCAGCTTCGTCAACGAATATCCACTCGAAGTGATCCTTTGTCATTCCAACAGCGTATAATCGTGAAGCAGAGATACAAGTCGAGACAATCACGCGAAACTTTTTGAGTTCCTCTAATGGGGGTACCTCGAATCTTCCTGCATTCATCTTCGAATATTCTTGGATATCGGTTCGAACCTCAAGGATGGGGCGTGCAAGCGCATTCAAACGGAACATAACCGATTTCTTGAGATGTTTTTTTAGCCGGGTAACAATTAAATCGGCAGCAGGGTTGCTTGGAGCGCAAACAAGTATCCTGGAATCCGGGCGCAACTGAAGACACTGGAGGACGCTTTCCACCACAGCAATTGTCTTTCCCGTCCCTGGCCTAATAGAGGATTTCTTGGATGAGTGGTACTTCAAAACAGATGAGGCAAGATGCGCACGGCCCATGGATCAATAAGGGTATGCTATCTCTTGGTGCATACATAACCATCAGAACTGCCCTCTGTTGAGCTAGATTGTTCTGGATGTCGCGATTGAACCACCCGGGTGATGGGAGTTCGGGAACATGCCCATAAACGTGATTGATCGCAGGATATATCAAACGGGTATCATGCACTTGAATACTCATGGCTTGATGCATGCGGCGAAGGGAAGATCTGTTGAGCTTGAAATGGACTTCGTATTGCATCCCCTCGATATGCTGCCGCCCAAAATTCTCGTGAAATTTGAGATGCACGCGCTCACGCTCCACCTCCTCCACTCTTCCTTGAAACCATGGGCCGGAAGGGTGGTTCATCTTGCGAACCTCGATCAGATCGCCAAGAATGATGGACGGGCGTTTTTCCAAAAGTCCAGGAACGATGACCCTAGCATCGCTATTAATAAATCCCTTCATGTAGCTGGTAACTTACATGTACTTGTCGCCGCGTGACTCCAAGAATTGTGAGTCCATATCGTAACGAGTAATATCGAGCCTGCGGAAAGAACGTGATATCCAGTGCCTCAGCAAGCGGGGAGAAAGGACTCACTGTAGAACTACCTCCTCAACATGAAGCAAAGATGACCAGAGTTGCGGGTACGTCGTCACATCTAATCCCCTAACTATGTCTAGATCTGGAATCACCTCTGCGGACTCCGAGCCCAATTCCAAGTCCGATGCCTCAAGCTCGAATTGTCCGACTGGCAGGAAGTCATTACGGAACGCATGACGTAACAACAACGGATTCCTTTCCATCCGGAGAAGATGTCGAAGGGCAGGAGGGACAGAAAATTGCTTAAGAGAGACTTCGGGTTTTGGCCCCTTGGGCTTTTCCTCAGGCGCAGGCATGATTACGGATCGCAGTTCTTCTGGATCCCGCACTGGTGGGGGTTTGTATTTCTCCTTCGGCGCCAGCGATTCCAGCTCTTCACGATTCCCTACCTGGGCCACGACGTCCTTTACAACATGGAATTGGACGCCGTCATCATTGATGAATTCCAGGATCGCGCGATCTTCGAATTTGCCAACAACACCATGCGAGTTGAACTGAAGTAAGAAACCATGGGACTCCCCATAATGTATCACCCCTCTCCAAGTCTCCGGCTTGAAGCTTTATTGCAATCCGAAGGTATGTATTAGTTTTCACACCAACGCCGCGCAATGCTCAACCTACTGGGTTTCCTTGGAGAAAATATGCTTCCCACTCGCGGAGTCCATCCGAAAGTCCAGAAGTCTAACGCTTCCGGGAACCGTAAGACGGAGGTGGATGGCAATGTCAGTTGTCTTCTTGGGCTCGATAATCCCATAGTCGATGGTGACATCAAAGTTGCGAGGAGCTTCCACTTCCAGCTTCTGCCTGAGAGTATAGAACTCTTCTGCACGCTGATGCGGCCTCCCCACAGAGTGTGTCTCCCAATTATCCGAGGAGATTTCCCTGTCGCACTTGATACAATATTTGGTTTTATCAGGGGTAACTGGGACTTCTTTTGCGGGAAGGACGACATTTGGTCGCATCTCGCACTCATCAAGGTGGTCCTCTGATCTGCAGTGTTGTTGGTAGACACGCTTTGTCCCATCTCCCTCGCAGTAACGCGTATCGCAGACTTTGCAAATGCCACCTTGGCCTATTCCGAGGGTATAGCATTTCGCCACATGCCCGGGACTAGCGAAGTGGACCTAAAGTTACTCTTGGAGTCCAAGATCACCTTGCATACGAAGCAGAGCTTTAGAAAATGATCAAAGTGACAAGCGCCTGTCTGAGAACGAGAGCATTTGCCCTCTCGTCGAAGCTGAACGCAGGCTTGGGGCATGGTGCGTACAAACGGGAAGAAAGTTCAGACATCTCCGTGGAGCGACCTCGTGCCTTTGCGCAGATTTTCAAATGGCAACATCTGAGTGACCGGGCCAACAAACTTGTGTCTGTACACATTTAGCTCAATTCTTTTCGGGAACTTCCACCCCAGGCGCTGGTCGAAAACCGGTGTTAGACTTATATATCCAGTGCTCTGCCATGGCGAATCGTCAATTTTACTGCGCAGGGTAGGATCCATTATGAACGAGTGAACCAAGTGGCAAACCATGGCCGGAAACAGAAGAATACAGTACACGGTTACATCAATCGGAATCTATCTCAATGATTTCCGGTTCAGCACGTCGTTTTCCGCTAAGAGTTTGTCCTGACCCTGGGCCATTGGACTTCTTTTGCGATGTCGAAGATGCCGATCTGCTGCTTTGGTGAGCGCTTGAACTTGAAGGTGCGGCGCGAGGGGCACGCCCAGAAAGCGTGTTACCAGACCCAGAGAACGAAGGTTGCTGTGCCGCAAATCAATGAATGGATAAGCAACAACAAAATACTGATTGATGTACCCACATCCGGAGAACTAGGTGCTCGTGCTGGCCCTGTGGCGGATTCACCATTTGTGCCGTCATCGGTCGGGTAAGGCACGACAGGGAATCCAAAAAAGAGCTTCCCGCGCGGCAAGCGTAAAGGTGCTGGCACGTTCTTGTTCTGGTCGACTACATCGTTCGAGGCGAAACGAGGCTTACTATTGTCAATCTGTGAGTTTGTGAAAGCAAGCGAATATACAATAAACGCACTCAGTCCTGTATATCTTACTGTCAGGATCAACATCCTCAATCTTCCGGGCACTCTTCCCTTTCCCTTTCGTCTTTCTCCCATTAAGCGTCTGCCCTGCGCCCTTGAAACTCTCCCATTCTGTCCCGGCAATCGTTCCGGAGCCGCTGCCACTTGGGCCCTGAGCATGGGATGTGTTAAGCCGACGGTTGCTCAGGGAAGAGCCAGGACGGGAAGAACCGGGGGTAGAGGAATTTACATCAATTTTTAACTTTGACGCCATGGTCTCCGGCGGGGCAGGTTCTGGGCGCTTAGGTTCCACATAACCTTTCGGTGGGGCAAAGTCAACCTTTGACAGCAACATGAATACCAAACAACCGCTATGGCAATAGTCTTCGTGCCTGCCTACCTCAAGATCCGTATCGACTACATTTATCCCTGGCCCATCAGGCTTGATCTCCATGATCAAGAGCTCAAAAACAATACTGTTATAGACTATCTCATTATATCTCCTTGCGTAAGGGTAGAGAAGTTGCGAAGAGCCTGTTCCAGGCTGCGCAATCGTGTGAGTCTGTGCTACAATAACACAAGAAAGGGGACATACACCGCCTTAGGGTCAGATATTTCCAAGAAGGTGGTTGACTGTGCTTGAAGTTTGACGAATTTGCCCTTGGGAAGTCGAGTCCCAGTGATTCGAACGGGGTCCCCTTCGTTCAAACGGAGTGCTTTCATCATCTAAAATTCCCCTTATCAGCTGGGACATCATCAGCGCTAATGCTGACGCACCCAATAGGGAAGGTGCACTACACCCTCTTGGGCGATGAACTCAAGAACACCGGCATTTGTAGACGCAGCAGGGTTGGAGGGATTACGGAGTTGGAAGTTCCAAGGAGATTCAAGATCCAGATTCGCTGTGTGCAGTGGGTAAGCACTTGTCTGTCTCGGATAGAGGGATGACCCCCTTACTCAGATTTGCTAAGGCGGATGGAGGCAAAATAACTGGCCAGGGACATTTGAAGCACGGGTATTAGTACTTATGGAACCTTGATAAGGCGAATAGAAAGATCGGCGCACTCTTTCCTCCATAACTGACATAGTCGCGTTGGGTTCCTTGGAGCATTGCGACGCTATAAGCTTTCATATATTCATCATAAGCGCGGGGTTGGGGCCAGGACCACGTCCATTCTGCCCCCAACCACCTGCACCTAAGTGTGCTGCTAAATTAGAGAGAATTCCACCAGGGGGTGGATGGAAGTTGTCATCGTCATCGAAACCGCCGAACTAACACCCAGGGTAAGGATATGCTTGGGAGTATAAAGACACCTATCCTAGCGCCCACCATGTTGTCTACAGGTTACTTGTTTGACTAGAAGGCAATCTGATCGCAGTGAGGTAGCAAAGTTGCTGCACACAAATACGGCTCGACGCGTAATTCGCAACTTGCCGCATTCAGTCACCAACTTCGATTGCGATTGATTTGAGTTCTGGGATTTCCAAGGCTCCAGACAAACCCACAGGCCACGCCAAAATGGAACAAGCCGATTTTTGTTCATTCCATCAGGTGGTAATTTGACACGCGGAAACACTTGACTGTTTGAGTACTACTCACTATTCTGGCTTGTCCACCTCGACATACATCATGTCAGCTCGAATGTTATACTTTACGCCTTCCTTCACATCCTCCCCACTGTGCTTCAGGTCTCTCTGCTCAAATATCAACACCCTTCCCATTCGCGGTTCTACATCGACATATGTTCCGTTGGACGCAAGACCATCCAGGGTGCTGCATGGCCAGAATCGAGTTGCGCCACCTTTCAAAGTTTTCGCGTCCCCATTCAGATAGAGCTGCAAGGTATAGTAGGATATTTCTTTATTTTCCGCATCGATATGGCTGCCATCTTTATGGGGCTTAAAGAACTGCCCTGAAGTGTACCGCAGGAACCGGAGGTCCTCCCGAAGCCCTTTCAGTCGTGCTGGTCTAATAGCATCGGACTCTTCCTGCTCCGTTTCGCCATGGCGAGCTGCTGCCGAGTGCCGCCTCGAATATCCCCTGTGAAGATGCGCATCTGGGATCTCCTCGATTTCTCCAATGCATGGCCGAATTTTCTCCAGTATCCACGCCGCTATTTCTGCGTCGTTCCTCACGATCCTTCCGCTGTTGCGATAGGATGGAATAACTATCGTTTCACCTATCCCTGCAACAAGCCATGCGCCCCCCACTGATTCGTCCCCCGTATTTGAGCAGGTATCGCCCTCACTGGGAACAAGAGCTAGAAGCCGTTCGCATTCCTCCCTCGTAAATAAATTATCGATTACAAGTGCATAGCGGTTGCGGTATTCCGGCAGGCCATACTCTGTGAAGTTTATATGCGTCGCTTTGACTGGAGGAGGCTGGTCCGGAGTGACCGGGGCAGGTGGTTCTGGCACACTCGTTGGGAAGGGTTTTCGAGTGAGGAACCTTAATGGGTTGAACCTGTCCATGCTGTATGGTTTCGTGAAGCGATCGACCATTCAAATGGAAGAAATGGTAATGACTCAGAGCGACACGTGGAGGACACGTTGAGGTGGGCAAGCCTGAAGCAACGCCTGTATTCTGTGGTCCCTGTTCAGCCGCACAGAGATCATCACCTGCAATCAGCGGATTATTCGCCCTCAGAAGGGTTCGATGCGCCTTCCGCTTGCTGGCTTCCTCTACACGGGCCAAGTAAACAATCAACTCATGTGCCCATTCTTCTGCCTTGCAGCTTTCATATTTGCCCCTTGGGTTATGGACGATGCACATCCCTCCGAGTTTCTTCTTCAGAATGACTTCTCCACTTGTAGAACTTGGGCTGTCAAGGACGGTGGTCATAGACTTATAATGACAGCAGTACTTTGTCGTATCAGTGAGACAATCAAAACCAAACACAAAGATAGTAACTCCTGATTTCTGTCCGAGATCTCGAAGCCAGGTGAAAAAAAAAAAAAAAAAAAACTAGGCAAGGAGTGGAGCAGTTTCGACTGCCGCACCAGCCTTACCCCCTTCAACGCCCGCTTTTTCAGGGACGGGCAGAACCCACCTCTCAGCATGCCTCCACAGTACACATCCGTCTTTCCTAACGAGAGCTGCAATGACGACAACCGTAGGAACGAAGAGGGGAACGTAGACCTGAGGAGGCATTTCGACCATGAGAACGAAGAAGAATGGTGGATGGTAGGCGGTGACGTGGCTTTCCAAAGGTACTGGAAGAATGGAGTGGCGAGGATGAGAGCGGGTACGTGGACAAGGAAATACGCAATGAGGGTCATGTGGAACAAAGGTGCTGAGAAGGAAGAGATAGCACGAGGAACGCGCACGGTAGGTCGGGCTACCTCAGCCGCAGGGGTATCCGTCTTGAGTCGCTTCTCGGGGGTTGCAACATTAGTGTTTGAATCGAGATCGGGGTTCTCCACCAGCACACGGTCAGGAGACAAAGTATATTCATAGCGAAGAATCAACGCAGCGAGAACACCTGGAACAGGATCTCAGAGGAGATGGGGGGGGAGCAGAAAGCTAGATACACGTACCAACATATCCATTCATAAGGTGCCCGACGAGACGACTGAATGGGAACGTCTTCTCAGCTATTGGAACGAACACACTTTCTTGACCAGATTCTTCCTTGGTCGTCACGCTGAATACGACCACTGCGGTGAAAGAAAGGCAGAGGAGCACTGTGGCATATATGAAAATGATCATCCCACGAATGGACATCCAGCCTCGAGGAGAGATCAAGCTAGGCTGAACGACGAAAGCATACACAACTCCGCCGACAGCAAAGCTGAGGATAGAGTGATGGAACGATACGGCTGCACATACGCCGAGAACGGCGGATAAACCCACGATGCGGCAAGCATGCCTTTTGTGCTCCTTGACCCGACGGATGACAGGGAAGATCCAGCCTGCATGAAAAAAAAAAAAAAGTGGAACTTGGTTTCCATTCGATATTTGATCATTTTGGCGGCTTACCCTTCCCAACAACGCGGTGCACTTCAGCATCAGTGAACACAGCCAAAAGAGGCTAGAGGGATGGGGGGGGGAAGAGGGGAAATAGCGAATTAGGAAACCATCCTCCGACATGACCCCCACACGAAGGTTTTTGCTTACAGCAGAAATCCCAACAGTAGCAAAAATAGCGACAGAAGCTCCAACCATCCAGACGCTAAGAGTTTCGAGGTCGGCAGCGGCAGAATACCACATTCCAAACCAAAATACGAGGCCAACTAGCGAGAAAACCAAGGGTGCCCAGAATTTGCAGCGCTTCATGGGCGTTCCAACATGATGATTGGCATCGTAAGCCTCGAAAGCTTTCCAGACCTATTTTCTCAAGTATGAAGGTGCGCTCGTCTCGTGGGTGGTGGATACATGATCGCAGACGACGTACCCTGAGTGACGCATAGGAGGCGAAGTAAATCGCGAACAAGTCAACGAAAGCGCTTGTAAGGAGATTCAGAAGATCGATCTTCAGCTCCTCGGTGCTCGTCGAAACCTCAGATCCAGCGGCAATATTGGATAAGGCCCTTCGAGAATGCTGCAACATGTTGATGTCGTTGGAAGTTGGAAGGTGAAGTACTAAAGGCGATGCGCCGCAGTAACATCAAACAAGATCAGGCGAACCTACGGCTGTGTTCTTTTTTTTCAGCTGGACCACCGTTTTCTCGCTCTCTGATTGGCTGAAGCCTCGCTCTTTAAGGTTTTAGCCTTGACCTCGAGTTATGACGGATCCGAGATGGAATTCGATTGACTTTCATCAGTGTTGGAGAGTCTCCTGTGCGTGTTCAGAACAGATCGGCTTTCTTTCGGCTAAGTGGTATGTTTTGACATCGATTTGTTCACGATGAATGCGGCCAAGTTTTTTACCTTCCATCCAACTACTATTGACACCCGTGCTCATTGACACTTTGACTTTGTTTTCTTTCATTTGACACGTCACCTAACGGCCAGGTTATACCTTGGTCGACACACTTATCCAATGATTGCGACGACACAACCCCCTGGAATCGTTCAATGTACAGAGTCTCAACAGTGCATTGAAACACGTTCTTGCTCTCTCATTGGCTGGCCGGGCACCCAGCGTCATTCCGGTTGTGTTCACTTGTCTCGCATCCGTGGTATATACCTATATCATTCCATGGCTTTAGAGCGCACTTTCAGGGCTTGACATGACCTCACATCAGATGAAAATCTCGCCCCTCAACGACGACTCAGACAGTCGTAAAAAGGTGGGTACATGGGATTTCTTTTATCATCATGTTTCACACTCCGCGAAACCTTTGAATTGTGCAGTACTCCGGGAGCGTACAACGTTAGGAAGAATGGGCACGGTTTACAAACGGATGTGGAGTGTGTTCGCCATGTTAGACTCAAGGTAGCAGTGCAGAGTGTACAACATTAGCCATGCTGGGCTTGTCGTCGTCAATCAGGATCGATAGTCGCATCATTGCGATGTCGCATTCTAGACAACAGATTAGGTGAAGAGGTTGGAGCGGCATGTGAAGAAGTGCGCATCGATGAGATAGATGACGCATGTGGGCCGGTCAGGAAACTCAAACACAACCGGAGATGAGATAAGCTAGCTGGCTGGCCCCAAACAGGCGATGACTTAAGCGACCGGATCCCAAATCGGTGATGATCTAAGCAAGCAGAACCAAAATGGGTGAGGAAGAGCCCTAAAGGGGCGATGAGCTAAGCGAGTGCATCCCAAATGGGAGCTGAAGTAAGCGCCTTCATCCAATGAGAGTGTGTGAGACCTCGCTCCAACCAATCGGCATTCGCGATTCGTGGAGCGTGTCCGCGCTCTTTATATATAGTAGATATTACCATATATGGAATTGGCACGGTCTTAGGTTGAAATTCATGCCAACCGGTTGACAGAGTTGACAGATCGTCATACCGATGTCCACTAAGACCACTTCGTAAGTACGCACTCTCGAGGAGAGTGCGGACGGAGGAGTGCATTGAAAATGTGAGATTTCTCGAAATATTTCCACTCAGAACGGTGGCGCACGCGCCAACCAGTGCGCTTGTACAAAATGTGACCAAAAAAACACTCCTAACCTAACACTCAGCGCAGCTTATAAGCGTCCCGAATAGTAATGTTTTCCACAACATATTCCGAATCGGCATATCCTAGCACCCTCGCCACATCGGAACTTCGATGACAAGGGGACAAAGGGAGGGAGAAAGATCTCATCAGAAACGGCAACCCACTCTCCAGCCTTTCGTCAAAAAAAAATCAACTAGCTCACCTCTTCTTTCCTCTTATCTTTTGAATCTCCAGAGCGTTATAGTTGGCCAACCCACGCCCAACCTCGACATCTTCCCATCCATCCTTTTCCGCTTTATTCTTCTCTTCCAACGACAACTTCGTTAAACTCGTCGTTGACGGGTTCTTATTATTATTATTATTGCTGAACGTGACCGACGACCACGACTCTTCTTCCACCATTTCAGGAATAGCGGGAGGGACATCGATGACGGGCGTAGTAGTGGCAGTGGGATGAATGTACGAATGGTGGTGGTGGTGGTGGTGGTGCCAGTGCTGCTGATGAGTGGTTGTAGATGATGATGATGATGAAATAGTAGTACTGGAGGAACCAGTGGGTGATGTGAGCGACGTCGATCGAGATAGTGGGTCTATTGAAGAAATGGAAGAGGTAAGACTCTGTGGGAGAAGGACGGGAGTGTTAGGTTGCGTAATGGGAGGAGGACTGGGGGTATTCGCGTTGCTGCTTCCCGACTCTTCTTCAATGTTGTTACGCTGATCAACGACGAGCTTAAATGGACTTTTCCTATCGACCCTCTCGCTCTCGTTCTCGTTCTCACTCTCACTCTCACTCCTACTACTCGAGGAATCCTGTTGTTGTTTCTTACGACGAACGACGATTCGCACAGCTTGACCAGATGCAAAGACCCCTTCAACTCCCACCACACCCACCGAAAGAAGTCTCCCACCAGCTTCCCTTTTAGAAAGATGTCTGTGTGCTCCTTCGTCGATGATCACCGATCCTGAGGGAGTGAGCGTGTAGGAAGTCCACTGTTTGAGATCCTTTAGCGGTAAGACGGAAGGCACGAACAAGGTATGAGGAGGCCGAGTACTGTCAGAGTTTGACTTTGACTTTGACTTTGACTTTTTTTTTGGTTGCGCGGCGTTGTTCCAAGTGGAATGCATTGATGGTGGGGTCTCAGTTCCACTTCCACCACCACCACCACCACCAGAGGAACAGGAATCAGGGGTTGACGTTCCTGAATTCGACTGACGTAGTAAAAGATGCGATGGTGACCAGTGAGTGGCGGCGGCGGCGGCGGCGGCGGCGATGTACTCGATGATTCCGAATATGTTTTCGGGATGTCTGCTCGAAGTGATCACGGTAGCGACGCCTGCTCCCGTAGCAATTTCCGCAGCGATGAGTTTAGTCTCCATACCTCCCGTCCCTAATTTCGAACCCAAGGTCGCAGTGCTAACTGGAAGTGGGAAGGGGGGGTTCAACGCCATCATCACGGGTATTGTTAGCAGGAGTATAAAAAATAAAAAATAAAAAATAATAATCACCTTGTGATCGGATTTCGTGGACAGACGATACAACATCTATGGCTCGTGCGTCTGGATCTTTGCGCGGATTTGAGGTGTACAGCGAATCGACGTCCGTCAATAGGAACAAGTAGTCGGCATGGATCATCGATGCTGCAATCGCGGACAGTGTGTCATTGTCACCAAACCGAATTTCCTATCGAATAAAGGTAGAGGGGGTGGGTGGGGGGATGGATTATTCCTTAGTCAAGATCTAACCAAACAAACAAAACAACTGGCATCTAAACTACTACTACCACTTACGCTGACGGAGATGGTGTCATTTTCGTTGATGATGGGGACGACACCCATAGTTAACAATTCCGTAAGAGTATTGACCGCGTTCAGGTAGCGAGTCCTCTGGCTCAAATTTCCCAATAAGTTTATCATAGTGAAGAGAGAGAGAAAAAAAAGAAAGAAAAACTTTTGAAAGCAACTGACATCAGATAGATCCCCTCGTGTCAATAACACCTGAGCGATCGGTTGTCCCAATTGACTGAACAGGTTATCCCATAGAGCGATAAGACGACCTTGTCCGATCGCTGCCAAAGCCTAAACGAAAACTCCCCCAAGTCGTTCAGCAACCAAACACCAAAAACAAAAACAAAAACAAAAAACAAAAAAAAGAGCCATAAGTTCAAGGTTTGGAATTCAAGTCATAACGCGCACGCTCACCTGTTTCCCCGACAAGCTTTTAGGTCGAGCTGGCAATTCCATCCGTTTTAACCCTACACCGATCGCTCCAGAAGACACGAGCACAACTTTATGACCAGCACCCCGTAGTCTTATTACCGTCTCGACTATGGAAGATAACGTAGATAACAGTGGCTGATGGGTGATTTCATGAACGATGGAAGAGGTACCTAAATTTTATTTGAAACGTTTAGTAAGAAACGCGAGAGGAGTATGAGTATGGCACACACATACCAAGCTTAATGACGACCGTCAAGACGGTCTTGCTAGAGGGTTTGGCTTTTGGTGGCATGGGTTGGCTCAAAGTAAGTGGGAGGAAATTTCTTTGGTATCATAGCCACAAGCGACAACAAGAATGTAATTTATGAAATCGATCGATCGCCATACATGCAACTAGGTCTGCGTCTGTGCCCCCGGATGGATGGAGCTTTAATTTGGGCAGGCTAAATGACTTTCAGCTTCGGCTTTGGGAGGTCTAGGCATTGCTCTGCTACCATTCGATCTCGCACTGCGGTTGACCAACCCCAGCCATAGTATAGACATGGGATAGGGATAAGAAAGACGATCAATTACGTCATGGAAGCTATATAATCACACAACAATGGATCTGACGCAGTGGTTGTGCGTACCGCGCGTGAGGAACATACAGGTTTGGGAGAGGTAGACACATCCTATAGTACTCGTTGCTAATCTCTTATTTTATTCAGACGCGAACTTGGTTATAACTCAGATGGTCGTTCGTTCCTTCCATGAACAGTTACTCATGAGAGACGAGGGCACTGGTCTGAGCTCCAAATCGGGACAATTGCTAAAGGATCATCCAGTATCTGCTAGCTAGGGAAAATAGACTCGATAAGGTGTTGATGAGCGACTTATGATCTCGGAGCTGGACTATGAGTAATGACTCAGTCTCAGCCAATATGCGTGAAGAACTAGATATATTACCTATGAGTAATGACTAGAGGTAATATACATAATATAAGTTACAATGATAAAGCAATGAGGGAATGTAACTAACTAACCTCAGTCTCAGCCAATATGCGTGAAGAACTGAGGGAAAAGGAAATGAATTCAAATGAATGAATATGTCCGTGGCCTGGCACGGATTAGTCCGAAATAATATAAAAGAGAAAAGGTGTTGTGACTAAGTAGTCACGCTACCGCGGGAATGTGGCTGTCCGGGCGAGTTCCTCACCCGGATGTGGGAATGTGGCTGTACGAAAACTCGTCCGGCCTCCCATAGCACATGGTTCCTCCAACACGCCCACTACGTGTGCGCCCACTGGAACTAGTCCAGGTGAGTTTCCCCAGCCTCCAATGGCTCCTCTGGAGTCATCGTTAGCAATGAGTCTAAATCCTGCTATCCAAAAAATGGATGCCCAGATCACACAAGTCCGATGTGAGGCGTTGTCAAAGAAACAACAATAAGCAAGATAAAAGGTAAAACGGGGTTTGAAATCGGTGAGCATCTTCATTCACCCTCAAACAGCCTTAAGCTGTTATCCCCGTGGATCGGCCTACTGATTCTGCTTTTCAGCAAATCTAATTCGGCCCTTGCGCATTCGCGCACTGATCGGTGTTTTCGATCGACATTCCGCATTGATCTCGACGATCTTTGCTCCCCGGTTTGAGGTTTCCCTCAATCTTGTCTCCCCTCGACGACTCTGAGGGTCTCCGGTTGTATGCGGTGCGGGTTTCTTGTCTCTTGTCAATCGGTGTGTCAATTTCGCTCCATCCATGATTTCTTCGCCCACTGAATGATCATCCTCTGATAGATCCTTGGCCTTCATGGCCCTTCCCTTCAAGTACGACGTCGATTTCTCTTTCGGGATTGGATAGGGGCGGATGGGCAGGCTGCCGTTGACTTGGCAAGCCAGTGTTCGCGGATCCGGCATCATCGCTGTCGATCCGGATGTTTGGAATGGTTTGGATAATGGAGTGAATGTGGGAGATCGATCCTGATCAGGGATCAGAGTATTTGTTGTGGGATGAATATGGCGATTCCACGAGGTTGGCACAGGTGCGACCTTGCCTTCATTAACCTCTAATTTCCCCCTTGAAGCGTCATCATTCTGACCATAACCCTCATCCTTAGGGCTCATTCCCGCTTCATCTTCGCCGTCGGTTCCCTCTCTTTCCTTTCCAATTCCATATCCTTCGAGAATCTCGTCAAACCAATCCGAGGCAGCAAATTGCCTCATTCTCTCGCTGTGGTCAGGCAGCGGTTCTACAGCCGATGGAATATCATCATCGCTGTCTTTCGCCGTCAAGGATGTGCCAAATAGCTCGCCATCATCGCCTTTAGCGCCCACTGAAGTTGCCATTTCGATTTCCGTTGAGGAATGACTTTGGCACTTCGCGCTTGAGTCCATTTTTGGGTTTTCACAACATCCACTTGAGGACTCCTTGGGTTTCTGGCGATAGAATCGATGGTGTCTGAGATCTATGGCGATGGGCTGTTTTGTGCACGCTCTTAGCCTCGGTTTCGGCACTTCAGATGAGTCCGATAGGCCCGCGCTTGAATCTGCCCCGCAACTTTTATCCAAAATGACAGACGAACTTGATCGCCTCTTGCGATCCAATCGACGGTGGATGGACTTGTTAGTCTCAGGCTCCATTGTACTAGCCTGTCGCGTCGAATCTAGTGTGTTTAAGTGGTCCTCTGGGCCATTTTCGCCCGATTTCGTTCTGGGACCAACATCCAAACTAGTGGATGATTTACTCGCGTCTGAGCAGCTTTGTCGATGCGAACTGGATGTTGTAGTGATGCGCTGATTCGCGCGAGCGCTTGGCATCAATTTTGATGGAATTTGGAGGTTGGATGGGCGAGTTTTCGTCGATTTGGTGATTTCCGGTGCGCTTATTTCACTCTCATGAATCTCAGCACCTTTATCCCCCTCTAAATCGCCATTCTGACGTCTTCTAACGCCCTTAGATTCTCTCTCTACTCCTTCCCATATCCATATCCCTCTCTTCCACTCATTCACATTCTCTTCCATTCGCTCAATATCATCAGGCCGCGAGTCTACAGCCGATGGCAAAACTTCATCGCTGTTCTTTGCCGTTGGGGGTGACAATAACGGCTTGTCGTCCTCATTCATATCGCCCATGGAAGGACTCATTTCGATTTCGCCCACTGAAGATGCCGTTGAAGATGTTTCGGGGAAATGTCTTGCATACTTCGGGCTTGAGTCCACTCCGGTATCTGTGTCTGACCCACTGGACATTTTTCTTTGGTTCTGGCGATTAGGACGACGGGGGGTAGAACCAGTGGTCATAGGCTGCATCATGCAAGCCTCTCGCATCAAATCCGAATGGTCCTTTGGGCTATTTCCGCCCAATTCCACTTTAGGACCAACATCCGAGGTAACGGACGATTTACTGGAGTTCGAGCGATTCAATCGATGGGGAAAGCTCTCTGAGGTGATGGGCTGCTTCGCGCAAGCCCCGGATGTCGATTGGGATGATTTGTGATGGACAGATAGGCGAGTTTTGGTCGGTTTGGTGATTTGCGGTGTGTTGTACCCAACTTTTGCACCTTTATTCCCCCTTAAATCACCACTCTGACATCCTGCGATGCCCATAGGTTTATCACCTACTCGCCATTTCCATATTCCCCCTTCCCTAGAATCGACCTTCACCTGCGCATGTTCGATATTGCCAGTTTGGGTAAACTCGGCATCGCTGTCTGAAGCTGAGTGCGCAAGTTCAGCTTTTCCGACATCCACCAATAGTGGACATATATTCCCACTTCTGCTTGCCTTTGCTAGCGGTTTTCTATATCGGATCAACGTTGCACCCTCCTTGTTGAAAATCGTGTTTATCCCCGCATCACAAAGCTTGGTGGTCGATAGCAGGGGATCCCGGAGTTCTGGTGCATATAAAACGTTGCGGAATGTTATCGATTTGTCTCTCCCATTCAGGTGGACTTTTCCAATGATATTTCCGATGCCGCTGGCCTCAATAAAACGATTATCGGCTACCCATATCAGAGTCGGGGTTTCGAGTTTATGGAAAGAGGAATAATGGGATGCATCATTTGTCATATGTGACGATGCTCCGGAGTCGATGATGAAATGGATATGTCGGGAACTCCTGCGAGTGCGGAGAGCGTCCTCATCCAAGTGTGCAGTGTAGGTTTGGTGAGTCTTAGGTTGTTTCCAATCTTGTCTTGTTGTCCAGGCTAATCCTTCGGACCTTTCACCAGTTCCCTGTCCCTTCGACTTCTTCCTCTTTGAGCTGACTCCTTCAGCTCCACCCCCTTCAGCCCAACATACTTCCACCACATGTCCGAATTTTCGACAATTTAGGCACTTCGGCCTCTCGGAAGATTTTGACGTGGAGTTGGCTGACTTCGGTTTATGACTCAGGGGCGACTTCATTGAAGTCCGTGAATTATCCTGAGATGGAATAGGGGATTGTGTGGTATGGCTGGTAGTGGAATGGGTGCGAGTTTTGAAATGGGTTGTTAATCGGCTCCAAGCTTCGGCTGCCGATGTTAGTCCCTTCAGTTGGGACTTTATTTGGTCATCAACGGACTTTGTAATTATGTGTAGAATAGTCGCGTTGGCATCATCCCATTGATCAAGCGGTGATTGAGGAGGTAAAGATGTTGAAGCAGTGTTGTCAGGGATGGTAGGGTCTGGCCGCTTCCTTTCTCCTTCCGCGAGAGTAAGCAATTTCCGCTTCTTTAGTATGAGCTCCATGCGATACTTCCAAAACTCCCAATTTGAACCATCATGTCTGAGTGATCCGGAGTTTCTAGTAATGCAATCAAAAGCGTTATAGTCCATATTGGAATCCGAAGCGGGAGTTCTTTGGTTTGAGATCTTTGAGCGCTCTGGGCTCATAACCTGTTGATGAGCGACTTATGATCTCGGAGCTGGACTATGAGTAATGACTCAGTCTCAGCCAATATGCGTGAAGAACTAGATATATTACCTATGAGTAATGACTAGAGGTAATATACATAATATAAGTTACAATGATAAAGCAATGAGGGAATGTAACTAACTAACCTCAGTCTCAGCCAATATGCGTGAAGAACTGAGGGAAAAGGAAATGAATTCAAATGAATGAATATGTCCGTGGCCTGGCACGGATTAGTCCGAAATAATATAAAAGAGAAAAGGTGTTGTGACTAAGTAGTCACGCTACCGCGGGAATGTGGCTGTCCGGGCGAGTTCCTCACCCGGATGTGGGAATGTGGCTGTACGAAAACTCGTCCGGCCTCCCATAGCACATGGTTCCTCCAACATAAGGGACTCTCCTACGTTTTGGGTGTGATACAATTAGAGGCTATGGTGGCTCGCTGGATTGTATGGAGAATGCATATGCGATACAACCTTAGGGTGGGGCCGGTTCAGACAATGTCGAGTAAGGGTTTGATTCTGAACGGGGGAAAATCGTCCGATAGTCCCGATAGTCCCGATAGTAGCGGCTGGCGGCAAATCACTCTCACGAGATTACCAACGGCGATGTGTGTGTGTGGGCGCAATGTCACCACAGAAAGTTATATTAATTCTCCGCGGCGTCACCAATTAATTAACATCTGGCACCCACAATTCTCTCACTCTTGGCAGAGGTGGCATTCCCTGCCGTCTTACTTACTTAATTGCGCAGATATACAAACATCAGCAGACCACCCAACTGGTGATCATTGGCGGAATATGGGCGAATTAATCGATGTGGTGGCTATATATATATCACCTAGTAAACGCTCTACCACGAGATTGAAAACGTCGAAGCACCGGATAAGCTAGGCACCTACTTTGAAATCCGAAAAACTATATAACGAGTTTGAGAATACACGTGTGATGCATCTTACCTCATTCATTCCATCGAAGCGCCACCCGTATGCTTCCTACGATAGTACAGCCAGGTGATAGGTTAGACCACAAAGGGGTCGTGTTTCATAGTTTTCACTTCAACAAGTGCAGCATTGCAGGGTCCCGCGTTGACCGATAAAGCCCGATATATATATTTGCGCAAAATAACTTGGCCTTTACATGGCACGACAATTCAATTAGGAGAAAATGCAAGTACTAGTATACTGTTATCACGCTGTGGACCCTTGCGGGCGAACCAAAATATTGCTGAGAGGAACCGAATATTAATAGTGGCAAGACTGAGCATTAATTGAACCTGAGGCCCTAAAAAAAAATTAAAAACCAGCAAGTTAACTCCAAGTCCTCTCTGACAACAAACACCCCTCCAGATGACGTGAATGATGCCCCTTCCCCCAGCCGCACCGAATTTTCAAAAGCCCCCCAGAGTAAACGCCCCCCCCCCCCGCCCGGGACACTTTCATTCAGGAGAACTTGAGCGCGGAGGTGTTCAGATACACCCCCACCCCCAGGTCCATGCATGCAGTGCACCAAGGTCGTACGAGCTAATCCTCTTCTGGGATGGGGGGGGACGGCGGAGGAAGAAAAGCAATATTATACATATATATACCGTAAAGAATAGTGCTCCAAAAAAAAAAGTAACCGCCTCAAACCGAATTCCGACGGCCATGCATGGGCTCTTCTGCAGAAAACACGTCCATTCCCCTCTACTCCTGCCTTACAAAAATTCAATGCAGAACAATTAATATTATCTCGAAACCAAGATGTACCCCCGTCGATTTCAAGTACTGAGAGTCTGTCTGTTGGTTCCGCATTTGGAAACAACCACCACCAGTACTACTCAACACCGCCACGATCATCTTGGTAAAATAAACGGGGATAATATCATTGATCGAGGTCACAACGTTGCACATCGAAGAAGGGTATGAAAAGTCTTTGGCGTGCATAGAAGGCCCTTTTCAGTGTGATGCCGGAAGCAGGTCTGTGAGGGGGGGTTATGGTTTTCTGCAGTCCAACCGGGAAGAAGAGAAGAGGGGGGGGGGGCGAACGAAATCTGCCTTTTCGACTTGTCCAGAGGTGCATATAAGGAGGGGGGCTGTGTTGTTCAGTCCGATAGCGGCTTGGCATATGTACGGACGCAAAAGCATTTCTTCTGGTCACAAGGTATATTATTATATTGCGGCTTGGATGTGCATTGTGGACGCAGGGTTTACTCTCTGCCACATGCAAACCAACTTTGAACGGGAATACTTACGTAACCTGGGAAAGGTGAATTCCTAGTCTAACAATCCACGAGGATAAGAGCTTCCCTCGGTGAAAATGGGAGCGCGCCTCCAAGTGCTTGTGCTGTTGTAAGTTTGGAAAAGAGCGGAAACATACAGTGTTGAGCCAATTCCGGAGTGTAGGGACACGAAGTCCGCAGAAACAAAGGTTGGGGGGGAGCGTATATATATAGTAGTAAGCATGTTTGTTGGTCGGCATGTGCATATAAGTAGCACCTGCGAGGGGTGAGTCCTGAAGTGATGAACAATATTGTGGTGATGAGGCAACTTGCTCGGATCGGATAACTTGTGTTCTTGAAGGAATAGTTTCATACTCGTCTGGACCAAGTTTCTCAATCATGCAGTCCTAGCTAGGCCCTCTACAGAAGCAAAGATCCTGATTCAGAATTTAGCTCGGTACATCGCAGGGCAACTCTATACTAGCGTTCTCCATCCGATCCACCATAGCATTCGCGGAAGGATCGGTGTAAGGTGCAAATCGGAGTGAGAGGAAAGGTGTGCTCGAGTTCAGTCAGCGTATATATATATATATAGGAGACCAAGAAGATTTCAGGAACGGTGACGAAATCGCCGCCTCCCAAGCTGTGACAGTCAGAGGCGGTTGTACAAGTACGAAGATAGCTCCCATTGCAACTGGGTAGTACTCGTGTGTGTGCAAAAAAATCTTCATCCTTCCAAGCACATTTCTCCTTCAGGGTTGTTCGAATACAAGCGATCCATCTCCTATCCTAGCAGAAACTGCAGATCCTTTGGCGAGCAGTCTCTCTCTAGTGTCCTCATAGGGTCCTTGTCGGTCTCCCTCATGTAGCGAAAGATGTAGCGAAAGACGGTGCTGATCCAGGTAAATTATAAACAAGCGATCTGCTCGTTCCAAAATTTCCTGTAGATAGTACGGAATTACCTCTGATCCAGGATTGACGGGTGAATTCCGGCATGCATGGGAGACTAGGCGTCACACGAGATAAGTAATCGGGACAGATAATCACAAACCACCAGTATTGAGCTCCTCAGAACTTGCTGAAGTACCGAGGTTGGAGATACTGCAGAAACAATAACAATGTGCTCTGCGATCCCCCGACATGCAAGCACCATTTCGATCCGTCCATCAGGTACATGAGAAAGAGAGTGGCAGCCGTCACTCAACTTTCCACCATGCATGCACCATTCGCGTGTTTCAACTCTTTTTCGTCTTTTCCTTAAGCGCTTTCAAGTTCGTTGGCCTGCTGCCGCTACCTCTCGTACAACCACTGCAACCACGACGTCCCATTCATCCTCTAGAGCAGTAACGCGGATAACAAGAAGACGAGGGATTCGGATGGAGGAACGACGTATGGTGACCCTTCCGGGACGGACGACCATTGGGATGTTGGAGATATATATGGGATCATGGTCCTTACTCGGATGACTGGTCATTGACGACGACGAAGATGAAAATGAAAATAAAGCGTGTGGACGATAGTACGGAGGACCCGAAACTGGATGACAGAGAAAATGGAGGCGTGGAGGGATGATATATTCGTCCACCAATGATCGCTTCGATGGAAGGATCGGATCAGAGGAAAGGAATGCAGGGAGGTTTGAACTGTAAGTATTGCACAGTATATACTGTATTACATAGTAGGTCCGATGCGAAGGGACAGGAGACGAAGTATATGTTAGACATTTCAGACATGGTGGCTGGGTCACAGTCGCCGCGCGTTGGCATATATCCGCAGCGAGTTTACTGAATCAAGTCCGAAACACGCGAAGCCCACCACCGTTGACGTCACCCCAACACCAATATATATTGATATCACACGCTTCGGACTTGGTGCTCCACTCGAACACATGTGGCGACGATTCGACACGTGTACATACTGCTTATCAAGACAATAGTGCCAAGTCAAAGCTTGATGTCGGTCGCTCTTCTGTATTGGAGTTGAACATCCCCAAGCTGTCACTGCACACCGTTATCCTTTCACTCCCCTGACCCGATGCACCGGATAGTGTCGACCTGCTGATTTCGTCTTTCCATTGTGTCAACTTGCATCATCCATCCAGACATCAACGTCATCGCTTATGGTACCGTGGTGTGCAGACAAACGGACCGGTACATCAGCAATGAGCGACAGGAGGAGGAATGTGTTAGGCGAAGAAATGGGCATCTTCGAGGTGAAATTGTAATTGTAAGATCATGATGCGTCTGTGATCCGTTATGAGAGTATTGGCATGTAGATATTTTATCCGTAGTTTGCAATCAAAGAAATTGACGTTGGATTTGTTGGTGTTCCCGAGCCGAATATATATCCATGCCCATCATGTGCAGGCAGCAATGTGAAGGATGCAGTGACGAGGAGAACATGCTCAAATGTGGACCATTTGTGCCTCGGAATGACGTCCGAGATTGGTAAGAGCTTTACGTAGATTGTTGACTGATATGGCCAATGCTCGGGTGTACGCTCCTGGGTTAATAGTGACTAGCTGGCGCCAGAGTTTAACACTTTCTTCAATGAATGGGAGCGCCTCCGAGTGTTGTCCGAGATCCGAAAGAGCATTATATAGATTGTTGAGTGACATGGCCAATTTTGGGGTGTATGATCCTGGGTTAATGGCAACTAACTGGCGGTGGAGTATGTTGGAATTTGCACGTGGTCTTTTTAGGGAAACCTAAAAGTTGGACATACTGGGAATCGAACTCCAGTCTTCTGGATCGCGAACTCAGTGTGCACAGCCATTACACCATACGCCCCGTTAGGCTGAGGTGGTTATTTCAACACACCCCCTTCACATTGGATCGACCATGTGATCCACATGTGACCCAAACCACCGGGGTTCCAACAACCCGTGAGCCGTCACCCCCTGAATTCATATTCAGGCCGGACTTACTGCTAATCTCCTACATGTCCATGTCATGTGGTCTGAAGCAGCCGGATTTGGGTCCTTAGTGCTCTGAGCTACACCCCCTGAAACTTTGTCAGGCCGGCTAATTTAATGCTTGGCTTCACGTGCCCAGCTCACGTGGCAGCAACCGGATTTGGGTGTGCTCGGTGTATTCCGCAGAATGTCCACCATGTTGGAATTTGCACGTGGTCTTTTTAGGGAAACCTAAAAGTTGGACATACTGGGAATCGAACTCCAGTCTTCTGGATCGCGAACTCAGTGTGCACAGCCATTACACCATACGCCCCGTTAGGCTGAGGTGGTTATTTCAACAGAGTATGACGCTTTCTTCGATGAATGGGAGCGCCTCCGAGTGTCGTCCGAGATTTGAAAGAGCATTATATAGATTGTTGAGTGATATGGCCAAATTCGGGGTGTATGATCCTGGGTTAACGGCAACTAACTGGCGGTAGAGTTTGACGCTTTCTTCGATGATTGGGAGTGCCTCCGAGTGTCGTCCAAGATCCGAAAGAGCATTATATAGATTGTTGAATGACATGGCCAAATCCGGGGTGTATGATCCTGGGTTAATGGCAACTAGCTGGCGGCGGAGTATGACGCTTTCTTCGATGAATGGGAGCGCCTCCGAGTGTCGTCCGAGATCCGAAAGAGCATTATATAGATTGTTGAGTGACACAGCCAAATATGGGGTGTATGATCCTGGGTTAATGGCAACTAACTGGCGGTAGAGTTTGACGCTTTCTTCAATGAATGGGAGCGCCTCCGAGTGTCGTCCAAGATCCGAAAGAGCATTATATAGATTGTTGAGTGACATGGCCAAATCCGGGGTGTATGATCCTGGGTTAATGGCAACTAACTGGCGGTAGAGTTTGACGCTTTCTTCGATGAATGGGAGCGCCTCTGAGTGTCGTCCGAGATATGAAAGAGCATTACGTAGATTGTTGAGTGACATGGCCAAATCCGGGGTGTATGATCCTGGGTTAATGGCAACTAACTGGCGGTAGAGTTTGACGCTTTCTTCGATGAATGGGAGCGCCTCCGAGTGTCGTCCAAGATCCGAAAGAGCATTATATAGATTGTTGAGTGACATTGCCAAATCCGGGGTGTATGATCCTGGGTTAATGACAACTAGCTCACGCCGAAGTTTGACGCTTTCTTCAATGAATGGGAGCGCCTCCAAGTGCCGTCCAAGATTGGAAAGTGCATTACGTAGATTGTGAAGTGACATGGCCAAATCCGGTGTGTATGACCCTGGGTTAATGGCAACTAACTGGCGGTCGAGTATGACGCTTTCTTCGATGAATGGAAGTGCCTCCGAGTGCCGTCCAAGATTGGAAAGAGCATTATATAGATTGTTGAGTGACATTGCCAAATTCGGGGTGTAGGAACTCGAGTCCACAGAAAAAAGGTAACGGCAGAGTGCAACAGAATCATTTGCTGCCTCATATGCCTCCTGGAATCTGGAAAAAAATCCCAAATTGAGGTGAAGCCGGGTAAGCACATTAGCCAGTGTGCTGACAGCATCTTTCGACCTGTGGACAACAGCCAACTGGATAAGATCATGAGCTAGTTTCATTAACATAATTTGTCGATAACCCATACCTTAGCCCACTCAGGGAGTAACGAGATCCTGATGTAGCTTTCCATTCTCACACAGACTTCCACCCACCGAGTTGCTTGCTGACCCAGAAACATACTAACCAGCCCAACAAGCTCCTCAGAGGGTTCCTCGACTCCACTGAGGTGATGGACAATGTGTCGACATGCATAACGAAAGTGCTCAGATAGCTCCTTTTGAGGAATATGCGGCATTTCATCTTTTTCGTACAAGTTTTCAATCAGGCCTAAGCCCTCTACAGAGCAGAGACCCTCGTTCAAAATCTCAGTGCATCGCAGGGCAACCCTGGCATTATCTGCCCCAACAGCTATGGGAGCGCAACGAGAGCTGACTGTTTGGGGATTGATCCGATCGACAATAAAATCGCGGAAAGATTGGTGTAAGATGCGAACCGGAATCAGGGAATCCTCAACTCCTGAGAGCAGAGGAGCGAGTTCGGCCAATGCATATCGAACAGAAGACTTGAGGAAAGGCAACAAAATTGAGTCCCAGGCTGTGATGGACAGAGGCTGCTGAGCAACGAAGATTGCTCCCATCACAATTGGGTAATCGTGCGCAAAATCTTCATCCGCCCAAGCACACTTCTTCAAAATGCTTGTATACAAGTTTTCCATCATCTTCTCAGCAGGGACCTCTCGTCGTTTGGCACCAGTGTCGAGCAGAGTTTTTAGTGTCCTCATAGGATTCTGGTTGGTCGTCTTCATGTAGCGAAAGATGGTGCTGATCCAGATAAACAACCCATTTGCTCGTTCCGAGATCTCCTGTACCATTTTATCCTCATCCTGAAGATTATGCTGTAAATCCCGATGTAACATCTTTAGCTTTCGCAGCTGGAAGCGTATGAATCTAGCACAATCCTGCGCATTTGCTTCATCCGAGAGATCAATAGTGAGGCGATCAATAGGGTAATTGGGGGAAAGGTAGCGATTCACGAGATCGAATTGTCTCGATGTGATGAAGAATTTTATTGAAGATGGTAGCCTGGGCACTTCCTCCCCAAGAATTTCGGCAAGAGACTCGAACGCCTCTTTGTCACATTCATCTAAAGCATCAATGATGATCACCATAGGACGATTGGAAGGTGGAGGTTTATGGAGGAGAGACGGGGCGACCAATTTCTTGAACTGCGTCATGAATGAAGCTGTTGCAAGACTAGGGTCGTTTCGAAGAGCAGAGGTAATGAAAGTGCGGTAAGCGGGGTCATGGTCTGCCAAAGCTCGAGCCATGCCGCTGAATAGAAAATCAGGCCGCGACCGTTCGCCCGCTTTAAAGAAGAACTGCAGTAACAGGGTAACATCCCCTTCGCTGGCACATCGTTCTGCTATTGTGAGTGCAATCGAAGTCTTGCCAGCGCCAGCCACGGCAGTCAACAGCATTAGCCGGTTCTCACTATCCCCAGTGTTGCGGCACCATGCCATGATACGCTCAATGAGATCAACCCTAGTGTCTTTCAGGCACACCTGAGTGGAATCATCATGGGCAAGATGAAAGTATCGGAGATTATCGAGAATCTTGTCATCGTGTAGACGGCGTTCTATGGCCGCTAATTTGGAGCCAGTTATTAAGTTCGTGCTAAGCTGCATCGGCCGAAAATCAGAATGTTATGGAACGATACTGTAAGGAAAGCTACCTGAAACGATGCCAATGCTTTGTCAAAATCTTTCTTTAGGCCGTCAATTCTTCCCGGGTCTCTCAAGTAGGAGAATGTTTTTCTGATAGCCGATCGTTTTTCTACGTTTTCCCGTCTTTCAATTTCGGACGTAATCTTCTGTAGCGCGCTAGGACTTGATGTAAGTACGATATCGAAGACCACCAAAACGGATGCAGACTTACCCATCAAGCTCTGTGGCGCTTTCCACCCATGGCTTTGCCTCTTCCGCTGACACATCATCGGACTTTATGGCTGAAGATACCTTGGCCATGGCGCTCGCTACGTATTCACCGAAATCAGTCCATTCCTTTGCGTTCTCCTTGAACTTCTACATGGTGCAAACCAGCATGAGCTTTCATCCGTGGACAAGCATAAATCATTACCAACTTTAACTTCGTCGAAGATGAAAAGCGCAGCACTAGTCGCATTCTTTAGGGGTGGACACCAATCAGCCGTGGCATTCACGCCTCTGAGAGTTAAAACCGCCAGGTTACCCCCCGCTGCGAAGAGATCATTGATCTTTTGCCTCGGAGTTTCAGCCTCTTGTTGCAGCGACATGCTCGATAACGAACAAGGGGACGGATGGGAAAGCTTTGGGCACGCAACACACCTGTGAGCTCAAAAGCTAGAGCCACGAGGCTTCCGTCTGATTATGGAAGGTTGAGGAAGAATATGATATACGCATTTGGTCGACACTAGAATCCAACGAATTCCATGACCCGGACTAGTAATTGGCATGGATCATGACATTAATTCCTCGCTTCTCTAATGCACGAGAGCCCGCGTCATGCCGCCCAGAACGATGAGCATGATTAGGAGCGAGCAAGGACTATATATATGTGATGATAAATCTCAATACCCTCGTGGTGTCGTGGCAGTGCGGCTGTCCCGTCAATACATCGTAGCGTACATGACTTTCTATAGATGATATGTGGGTAATCTGGTTGGTATCGTCTGGTGTCAAGGACTATGAGACGTCACACTGAGGCACCGGCTGCAGCGCGCGGTGGGGCACGTGTACGCGATGTGCATCAGCGGAAGCTGGGATCCAGTCTAGCCTTTCATCACGGTCTTGGAGTGCAACCAGCCTTCATACGAACTTTACTAGTAGGATCCCGGTAAGTGGCCGAGCGCCGGCTTTGTGCTCGTTAATGCCCAAAAAAATGGGCCTCGGACAAGTATAGAGGCTTTTTTCAAGTCGGATTAAAATCGTTCTCTGCCGTTGTCGCAAGTGAGTTAATCGCCTCATCCCGAGGGGGTAGGATTTAAGTTCGGACCCAGTTCGGTTAGCTCCCTAATTTGTGTCTTGCCTGTGGATGGCCATGCGTTTGGGGTATTTAACTTGCGCGTAGTGTAGGTAAGTACTCGGTGAACTGGTTCAGGTGAGCAAACGGGATTGACCACATACAGGAAGCGCAATCGGGCCAATTGTGGCTAGTAATGATGTACATGCCTTATCACTTTACTTACTCTCCCCTTGTCATAGATTGGCGGTCAGGTACGCATCAACTCTCAGAACCTTCTTCGGGTTGTTGGCGCTGACAGTGGCTGTACATAATTGCTTGACGTTTCGGCGTCTCCCGCGCGCTGACAAAAAGAACTGCTCATACGTTTGATCGCTGTGTGATTGCATCTCTATGCCAGAGTTACCTGAGGTTCATCGTATCGCTGGTATCGTACGGAGAGCAGCCCTTGGAAGACGAATTCGTGCTATCCAGTCTACCGAAGACCCTCTTGTGTTTGCAGATGGAATAACAAATGAGGTCTTTGTACGTTGAATCAGGATTCCGCTTTCCGTTTAATATGATCTATGTGTTCACCGTAACTTTGGGAATGTCAGGAGGAGGAGCTAGTAGGCCGTACAGTCACGAATGTAGGGCGTTATGGCAAGGTTTTCTACGCTGAACTTGATGGCCACGAACGGCATCCTGTCATGCATCTCGGCATGACTGGGAATATGTACGTTAGGGGCACGAATCCTGACTTTTATAGGAGCTCTCCAAAGAAGGTGGACACACAATGGCCACCCCGGTTCTGGAAAGTATGTATCAGGTCTCGCTCGCTTTAGGGGAGATTAAAGCCAAAATCTTAATACAAAAAATATGAAATGACATCGTCGCAACTCGCAAGTTCATCTGGAAGATGGAAAGCACACTGACTGAGCCGGAGACTGAACTTGTGTTCGTGGATACACGTCGACTGGGACGAATACGATTGTGCAAAGATGTCCTGGACGAACCTCCCATTTCGATGCTGGGTTTCGACCCAATACTCTCCTTTCCAACCCTGGAAGAATTCTCATCGAAAGTTCTTAAGCGAGGCCTCCCCATCGAGTCCCTGCTTTTGGACCAGACGTTTAGCGCGGGAGTCGGCAATTGGGTTGCCGATGAGATTCTGTTTCATGCTTGAATCCATCCCGAACAGAGATCTAATAATTTTGGGGAGAACCAGGTCAAGGAATTGTATGACAAGATGTAATACGTCTGCCAAACCGTTGTAGGAGTCGATGCTGATTCGTCACAGTTCCCTGAAAACTAGCTATTAATTCAGGCACCGTTGGGCGAGCATAAACTCATAAACTCGTCTTGGGTCCACACAGTCTTACTGATTTTCCATTAGGGGAAAGGGAAAGGGAATTCTTCCGACCTGAAATTGGTGGGTTCACCGCTTTGGGGTGTTGTCCCACCTCACCGACAATAATCCTGCGAACTCAGCCATCTGGCGAGCCAGCGTTGATCAAGTGGATCACTGTCGGCTCTCGCACGTCCGCATTCGTGCCCAAGGTCCAAGTATTGATGGGAACTAGAGGAGGGAAAGAAGGGACGCACAAAATAGTCAGAAGTCTGCCAATTATACCGGAAAGACGTCATCCGAGTTTACGATAGGAAGGAGATGAAGGAGTCCATTCTTCAGGGGATTCTTCTTTATCCGAGCTGGAAGACCCGGAAGAACCAGAGTCTATCAAAACAGTGCGCCCCTTGACACCACGTCGCGTCTAACTGATCCCAAAGCGGCAACTAGACTAAGAAAAGAAAGTCATCGGCTTCAGCGGACCAACCTTCAAAAGAAACCCGCCATGCTCGAAAGGGGCAAACATTATTGAAGTACCTTGCCTCTAATGTGCTGTGGAATCTGCACGATTGACTTACGGACGTACTTGCAGGAATTGGCGAATGAAGAGATCCAAAGTGAACCGACGACGAAGCTCTCGTCTGTCAGCCAAAACGTAATAGTCATCACTTTATCCCCTGTCCCACACGGTTGTATTATAATGTTTCCGAATGTCGAGAACTTCGTTTTGGTATCAGAGTGCGTAAATGAAAGCAAGCAACAATATGAGTATCAACTGTAGTTGATCAACTTCGTCTTTACCGTCGTCCCGCTTGACAATACCTTATTAATCATCTTCAACCTCATCCATCAATTCGTCCCCATCATCCTCTTGATCGTCTCCTCCGCCCTCGTCCTCTTCTCCGTCCTCGTCGTCCTCGTCCTCGTCCTCATCCTCATCTTCATCCTCGTCGTTCCCTTCATCATCTGAACCTGACTCTCCTGCACTCCTCACCGAGCTGAACATCTTCGATGCTTCCTTCGTTCTCATCCATCTCAACATCCATGTCCTCTTCAGCCTCTTCATCACTCTCGCCTCCAACATACTTGGAAACCGCAACTTCTCTCCGAGCACGTTGAGCTTCGCCTTCCTGGGCCCATCTTTCCCTTTGCTCGTCTACCACTTTCTTGGTGAGTGCAGCGGCGGAAACGAGTGCGGACTCGCTATTTCGTGAGCGCATTTCGATCTGCGCGAGAAGGAGGTCAAGACGGCCATGTAATGCCAGCAGGCGATCTTGGAAAGCAATACGGGATGCAATTGTAGTGTGAAGTTTGGCTAGCCGTTTCACAAGTTGTGGGTCCTACGAAAAATGCTATGTGAGCCCTGATCGAATGACTGACGAGGGCTAGTAAACTCACAGTTAGGAGGTATGATGCGTGTACTATGAGGGTTGCACGCAACCACTTTATCAGCACACCGCCTCTCTCTGCATCTATTCCTGATCCTTTTGAGAACTTGAAGCCCACCGAACCTATACCACGATTTAGACGGGATACAGATTCCTGAATCAATGGCGCCACAAATCTGGCTGGCAACTTCCGTATAGTCCTTGTAACGACCGAGTCTTCGCTGGTATTGAGCACTGTTTCGAGGAGCTCCGAGTCGCTGTGCCAAATTTCAACAAAAGAGAAGTCCGTTATTATCAGACGAATTGAAATTGGGCAGTTTGGGTACACATGCAGTATACAGGATAAAATTATTGGTCTCATGCGAACGCGCCTCCGCAACTGAGAGGGAAAAAAATGACTAGGGAGCACCCGGGTAGCTGAATGTCACAGGACAAATAGCGAGATTGAGAGAAGGGCGAGCCGTGAGGCAGAACGTTTCAAGACAATCGAAGCCCGAGATATGTGTGATGCAGAAAGGCAACGCCATGCTATTCCCGAGGCGAATTGGTGGTGTGCGGCTGTGTGGCAGTAAGGTTCCAGGATATGTATTAGGAGAGTGATCCCAACCGAGTTGGTAGGGACACAATTCAAGTAAGCCAACCGTTCCAGGGGAGTCGCGTGTGTGTCTGGATTTGAATGTGTTTGAGCCGAGATCGAATGCTTATAATGGTCAGGGCTTTTTGATGGACACAGTCATGCTGCAACAAGGAAGGGCAAGGTCGAAAAGGGAATTTGGATCCGATGTTGTGGCGGAGCGGCACACAGCCACCGGATAACTCATCATGGGACCCGAGAATGTACAGCCCAGTTATCCACGGCCATAGGACTCGGGAAGCACCGCGTCCTGTTCGATCTGCGAAGTTAAGCCGAGTGCTACCATGTCAGTACTATGGTAGATTCCACATGGGAATCCTGAGTGCCGTGGTTTTTTTTTTTTTTTTCTTCTTCTTCTTCTTGCTTTCGTCCGGTTCAGACTATGTCGAGTAGGGTTTGATTCTGAACGGGGGCAATCGTCCGATAGTCCCGATAGTCCCGATAGGAGCTGGCGGCGAACCATTCTCAACACCGATTGTGGCCGCGCGGGGAGTTGGCCAGATTCATTTGTCTATTTGTCTATGTGGCGCAACGTCACGCAGAGGGTTATTACATGTAATATATTCTCCGCGGCGTCACTGACACTGCCTTGGCACTGAACATTAATTCTCACTCTTGGCAGGTGGCATTCCCTGCCGTCTAACGCTTCTGGGCCTCAGGTGATAGCCGGCCTCCGTCAGAACCGAATAGCTTAGACCCCGCGCGTTGACCGATACTTACATAGCCTTACAACGAATTAATGGCAACGACAATTCAATTAGGAGACAATAATGCTAGTGCTAGTCTTATCATGCTGTGGACCATTGCAGTAACGAACAAAATATTGCTGAGAGAAACCGAATAGTACTAGTAGCAAGACTGAGCGTTAATTGAACTGTAACTGGGCATGAGGCCCCAAAAAATTAAAAACCAGGAAGTTAACTCCAAGTCCTCTCTGACAAAAAAACACCCCTCCATATGTGAATGCTGCCCCCCAAACAACCCCCCCCAGCCTTACCGCAGTTCCAACTCAGCCCCCTGGAGTAAACGCCCCCGCCCGCCCGGGACACTTTCATTCAGGGGAACTTGAGCACAGAGGAGTTCAAATATACCCCCACCCCCAGGTCCATGCATGCAGTGCACCAAGGTCATACGAGCTAATCCTCTGCTGGGTTGGGGGACGGCGGAGGAGGGTATGATGAAAAGGCAATTTACATATATACCGTAAAGAATAGTGCTCCAAAAAAAAAAAGTAACCGCCTCAAACCGAATTCCGACGGCGATGGGCTTTCTGCAGAAAACGTCCATTCCCCTGTTCTCGTGCCTGCAAAGGTTCCACCCAGAACAATTAATATCTCGAAACCTAGATGTACCTCCGTCGATTTCAAGTACTGAGAGTCTGTTGGTCCGCATTTGGAACAACCACCACCAGTACTTAACACCGCACAATCGTCTGGTAAACGGGATGATATCATTGATCAAGCTGGCCACAACGTTGCACATCGAAGAAGAGCATGAAAGTTATCGACATGCATAGAAAGTCCTTTTCAGTGTGATGCCGGAAGCAGGTCTGTGAGGGGGGGTTATCGTTTTCTGCAGTCCAACCGGGAAGAAGAGAAGAGGGGGGGGCGAACGAAATCTGCCTTTTCGACTTGTCCAGAGGTGCATATAAATATTGCCAGGAGGGGGGAGGGGGGCAGTGTTGTTCAGTCCGATAGCGGCTTGGCATAATGTACGGATGTAAAAGCATTCCTTCTGGTCACAAGGTAGTAAGGGTACATTATTGTATTGCGGCTTGCATCATGTGCATGTGGCCGCAGGGTTTTACATGCAACCAACTTCGTGAACGGGACCTGGGAAAGATGAATTCCTAGTCCAACATCTGTGAGCTTCCCTCGGTGAAATGAGAGCGCTTCCAAGTGCTGTGTAAGTTTGGAAAGAGCGGAACATACAGTGTTGAATGAGTTGGCGCAAAAAATCCGGGGTTGGAGGACATGGAGTTCGCAGAAACGAGGTGGGGGAGCGTAGTCAGCATGTCGGTCGGCATGTGCATAGCACCTTTATAACTTCCACCCAGCGAGTTGCTTGCTGAAATATGCGAACTGGCAGGGGTCCTGAAGTGATAAACAATGTGGCGACATGCGCGATGCAATTGCTCGGATAACTTGCTCTTGAAGGAATACGCGGTAGTTCATCAAGTTTTTCAATTAGTCGTAGGCCCTCTACGGAGCAAAGACCCTCATTCAGAACCTCGGTACAATCGCAGGGCAACTCTAGCGTTCTCCATCCGATTCACGATAGAGTCGCGGAAGGATTGGTGTAAAGACGGCAAATCGGAGTAAGAAGGAAAAAAGGTGCAAGTTCAGTCAGCGTATATATATTATAGTAAGAGACCAAGAAGACTCCATGCAGGAACGGGGCGACATGAAAAAATCGCCTCCCAAGCAGCGCTAGCTGTGACGTGACAGTCAGAGGCGGTTGTACAACGAAGATTGCTCTCCCATTACAACTGGGTAAATCGTGTGTGCAAAAAAATCTTCATCTTCAGGATGTTCGAATACAAGCGACTCATCCTATCCTAAGAGCAGAAACTGCAGATCCTTTGCCGCCCGTACCGAGTAGTCTCTCTAGTGTCCATATAGTGTCCTTGTTGGTCTCCCTCAGGTAGCGAAAGATGTAGCGAAAGACCGTGCTGATACAGATAAACAAGCGACCTGCTCGTTCCAAAATCTCCTATAGATAGTACGGAATTATCTCTGATCCAGGCAGGATTGACGGGTAAACTCCGGCACGCATGGGAGAGGCGTCACACGAGATAATCGAGACGGATAATCACAACCACCAGTGTTGAGCTCCTCAGAACTTGCCGAGTACCGAGATTAATTGGAGATACTGGAGATATTGAACTCCAACCCTATCGAATGGGTTTGCTTTTCATGTGCAAAGAGAAGTCTGTTATTAGACCAATTGAAAATTTCAGCTTAGGTATATACATATACGTGTGTCATGAGGATTAGATTATTGGTCTCATGAGAACGCGCCTCCGCAACTGAGAGGAAAAAGTGACTAGGAGCCAACCCGGGTTATCAATTAGTAACTATATGTCACAGGACATAGCTAGATTGAGAGAAGGGCGAGCCGTGAGGTGGAACGTCGTTTCAAGACAATCATCGAAACCCGAGATATGATGCAGAAAGGACGTCATGCTATAATTCCCGAGGTGAATTGATGGTGTGTGCGGCTGTGGAAGTAGGGTTGCAGAGTGATCCCAACCGAGTTGGTAAGGACACAATTCAAGAGTTTTTGTTGCCCAAGTACTTAAGCCAACCGTTCCAGGGAGTCGCGTGTGTGTCTGGATCTGGATCTGGATCTGGATGTGTTTGAGCGGAGATCAAATACGAACGAATGCGAATGCTTATGATGGTCAGGTACTTTCGACGGACACAGTAATGCTGTAAACAAGGTCGAAAGGGAATTTAGATCCGATGTTGCGGGCGGAGAGACACACAGCCACCGGATAACTCATCATGGGACTTAAGAATGTGTAGTCGGGTATCCACGGCCATAGGACTCGGGAAGCACCGCATCCCGTCCGATCTGCGAAGTTAAGCCGAGTACCGCTTAGTTAGTACCATGGTAGGGGACTACATGGGAATCCTGAGTGCCGTGGTTTTTTTTCTTTTTCTTTTTCCTTGCTTGCTTGCAAACCTTCTGTGCCGACTGCACCGCACGCCCGCATCGGGTGTCTGTATGTACAAGCACTTCATCACTCCCATTGGAACGATGTACATATATATATTTTGTTCAACCTCATTGTTCACTTTCCTATAACCTCAACTAGCTGTCTTGTCGCACTGCATACAAGTGATTACTACTGAAGTCCTCGCATTCTGGGATATGATGCAATTCGAGACAGTGAGTGGACTGGGCGCTCGCTGGGATAGGATGAGTGAAGAGTGCCGTGGAGCTTGACTCTGAATGGTGACTGTGTGTAAAGATGTGCAAAGGAAATGACTAGGGAAAGGAGAATTTCATTACAGGATGCGCAACGGAATGGCGGGAACAAGGGTGTTCACAGTTATACATCGCTGGCACGGCTAACAATTAAGTTAGGTTTCGAATTGACCTCAACAGGAGAAGGCCTTGTCGTAGATCGATCCCGCGACCAGGGGTTCCATTTTACGGAGTGCTCCAGCAACAAAAGGCTCTTCATTCCTCACTGATCAAATAAAGTCCATGAGGGACTGTTGCGCGGGATAGGCGAGGGAGATCGATCGATCGGAAGCATCGAAATCGACGAAATGAGATGAATAATTACTCAGCACGTTTGTCACGCAATCCTGCTGCGCATATAAATATACATAAGCGGAGTGGGTGGAGTGTAAGGCAGACTTGAAAGCGAGATCGTAAATCCATGCGACCAAACAAGAAAAGGTCAGCGTTGCAATTGCTTCGGAAACTGACAGATGATCATGAATTGATATTATCATTTCAACAGCGTTCATCGTGCAAAGAGTCTATGGTAGGGGTGTGTATTAGCACTCGCCATAGTCGTCGATCTCTTTAACTCAAAGCTTTAGAATCATGCGTCGTCTAATCTCTCGAGCTCCAAGGTCTGAGAGTGAATGCTAAGCAACTAAGCAGAGGCATCCCTCAGCTAGACAAGTTGTAGTATATCTTTGTTTGGATCGCAGAGAAGAGTTGATTAATGGTGTCGCGATATCTTCGCGTAAAACGATTTCTCCGTTAACGGAATTGCTGGTGCGTGGGTGTGTGATAGAGTTGATTTTGGCGAAGGGCATGGGACTACCGTCACGGATCGGTAAACGATATGAATGTGGTGGGTACCCACGGATGATGCGATCAGTGAGCGATTTTTGGTCATTGACCGTAACAAAGGGAAGAGCAGGGAATTCTCGACACTACGCAAGCAGAAACGCAGAACTCTCTCAAAAGTACGGGAGATCAACAACTCTGTGAGTACATAGAGATGGATCTGCGGGGGCGAACGACCGGACGTGGACAGTCTCTCGAAGGGCAGCATTTGGAATGATCAACAATTCCTTGGCCATGGATGCGCAGAGTGTTCCCTCTGTGATCGACGGCAGAACGCGCTCATCGCTCACACTCTCTTTGGGACAGGTGTGCCAATAGCGCCATATATGTTGTGTTGTCGACCGCGGACGGCCGGAATATAATCACCATCCTGGCCGACGGTGTTTCTTATCAATGAATAGGCCCGTGAATACAGAAGTGAAACTTACAGATTCGTGATGGGTTCGAGTGGGCACGCCCCCGACAGCATCGGGTGGGCATGCTAGGCCCCTCTGTTGCGCCACTGAACGCACATAGTCACCAGTATGTGCTAGTGGCGGCGGCACGTTGGGTATGGGTTGAGGAGCTATGTTCCCATCCCACCAAGTGATTGGCCCCGGTCCCACTGGGCACGCCGGCGCGACCCTACACTGCCAATGTAGTGAGGGCCAGGGTGGATAGTGGCCCACACTTCCGTGGTTTGGGGCTTGCTGGTGTGTGTAGACACCAGGTGGTCGGCAAACGGGGCCAGCGTGGAGCCTTGAATCCATGAGGTACGCCTGTGATCGATATGGACCATGGGAACGGGGATAGTCGCAAATAGCGTCCCTGATCTCCTCGCGAGTTCGGGGACCTTGGCTTCGGCGATACGATACTCTAAAAATACCTTTTTTCTTTGTTCGATGGCCCTGATGAGTTGACCGTGACCTTGACGGGCCAGGTGCTGGCCCGTCTCGGTCTAGAACGCTGGACACACGCATGCTGCGTTGCACATGTGCAGGATACGTTTCCTGGTGCTGACGCTGGATGCTGCTGTCCTCGGTCCCGGGTGTATTCAGCGTTCTGTCCATGGTTCGTTTCGTTTCGGATATGGATAGCTCGGGGGATGTTGTGTATTTTCGCGGCCCTGTAGTCAGAATTGTCTCAGAGACCTATTTCTTCCGCCTGAGGAGAGCTGTAGTTGATGGGAATGCAATCGAACACTCGGCATCTGCCTTCCTCGAGCTCTTGACTTTTCTGGCATCTATGTTAATTGATAACTGACCGCTCACGGTCGGTTCAACTTACAAATCTGCAGAAGATGTGTCTGAGCTAATACGCCGACTTCTTTCTCTTCCTTCCATAGCCAGAATCATCATCGTTTTCGTTCTGATTCACTTTGACGTTCTTCAGCGATTTGCATGGACACTGATTCACTTGAGACCTCGATGTCGATGTTTATGCTGATCGTCGAGGTCACTAGGAATCGGTGTATACAGCCCATCGGGAATGATTCCACATCTTGAAAACTTGTTGGGGCTAGCGTTCTCCTTTGGACTGATTGGCAGCTAGCTGGACCGCCAAGTTCAGCTTGAATCTCACCCGGTCGGATGCAGCTGCCGAGCTGAAGCATCATTGATACTAGACCCGACTCTGGATAGCTAGCTCGGGGCCTGGGTTTGGGCTGACACGAACTCTCTTCAGATTATTTGCGGGTACAGCAAGCTAGCGGGACACGAATGGAATCATAGCGCAGACACTATACGTGCGGCAGGGAACCGAAACAGTGGTCTCGCAGCAGTGGTCGGTCGGGTGGTTCGAGATATAGGTGTGACTTTGGTTTGGCGAGGATACGAACACGAGGCCAGATCCCTGAACGAGGCGTGAAGACGCTCTTAATAACAACCGTTTAGGATAATTGGGCCGCAAGCTCATCCATCCATTGAACGAAGGTCTGGACACATAGTCATGTTGTTCAGGTCGTTCGCATTCGCATAAGTTATTCCTGACTTTAGCCCTTCTTTGTTGTTCTTGAAATTGGAGGGGTCAAGTACTTCATATACACATTCCCAAACCTTGGCACGGACATAGAATGAGCAAAGGGTCGGGTTTTCGGTATTCGCAAGGAATCATACCCGTGGGACGACGCCGAAGAATCAGCAGAATAACGTGAGCCTTTGACACAGACACCTCATGCACAAAAAACCACAATAGCTAGTAGATGCGAGAGAGAAATAACATTCATTCGTCTAGTTTTAGTGCCAATTTTTGTCCCCATAATTTTCCGGCGTGAGTTCCATAAATCTCCCCATCCTCAATACCACCATTTCGATGACTATCCATCCGCTGCTCGTGAGGTAGCTAGGGCACCGAGGGAATGAAGTCGGTTGCTCAGATCCAAGAGGATATAGGACAGGCATCCTTGCAGCGGAACAAGTTTCGAAATCCAGTACGATGGAGGCTGATGCCGTCAATTCGGCCCAGTAGAAATCAGGTGTTTCGCAGAACTCTAACCATTCAAAGGTTGCTCATACTTGTTTGTCACGGAGTCTGGGGTCCTGCCTATGCCCATACGCAGGAGGATAGTGAGATCGAGATAATCCTGATACTCTGCATTCAGGTACAATGTGTAGCGGTGCTCCCCGTGAGGCAGGTACGCACGTAACTCGGAGACGATCAATTTCACCAAACGGGGGGTGATGGCGCCTCTGTAGGCCGGAGCCTCTATGACTAGAGCGCCTTTGCAGATCGAAGGCGCCAAGAGGCAACGACCCCGTGACTCACCAACAAACACATGACGCGTTACTGGATCCCGTGCTTAATGATGGTCCTCGTGACTGGGCGCGACTCATCTTTTATTCGGCTCTTCATTGCTCATCCTGTACAGCATATTATTATAGCGATCCATCAATCTGTTGCGTTCTCTAGAGATACTGGAAGTCGATATGGCTAGGTTACAAACAGCGTCATCCGGAAGGGCACCAGGATGCTCCTTGGTTGGATGCGGCCAGTCGCGGGGAGAGTAAAGATCTTCAATTCGTCTACCAGCCTGTCGCAGCGGTCATGGCGAAGCGACACACTTCCCCAAGGATACTGGCTCCCATTATTTAATGTAATCCGAAGTTGTGGTCCTCGAACGTCTAGTGTCGAAGGATGTTGCCTCAATATAGAGACGAAGGTACATGTAACTATGACATATCTCGGTTATCGGAGGGCAAGGGCTTCGTGGATTATACTGACATCTGTGGGGTCTGTGGGAGTACGGCTTGGATATGATCACATAGTGAGGATAAAAATACGATCCTCCATTCAACCGATAGTCAACGGATATCATTCTGGCGACTCCTTGCATAAACCACTGCTTGAGTGCGGCGGGGACCAGCTAGTGGGGCGAACTGTCAAGTACTGACCACATAGCTCATATACAATCTTCAGCTTGCGTTGACCAGCTATCTAGAAAATTAAATGCCGGTATCGGGACGATCAAACCACTATAATCAATGGGGTATTTGCGCTGGAGAGATCCCCCAAAAGCCTCGCTGGGTTCAGCCCACTGTAATTCATCGATCCGCCAGTTGTTCTCACTTCTGACGCATTTGATCCCCGAGGCAAGCTACATAGCGATAAGCCTGTAGACAGCCCTGTCTATATATCGCTGTGGACACCTATACTTCACCATGGCATAGGCCAATAACGGAATGTCCGGCATTCCCGAAGCCCCAGAGTTTGCACTCAAAGATTTGCTAGCAGATTATTACCAAAGAACGCATTCCCATTGGATTTCTGAATTGCGATGACCAACTTCGTCAATTAGGCTCTAAGTAAGCCTCCGCCAGGGAGGAGGAACTTTCTTGTCGTAAGTGTATGAAGCAAAGGGTCTCAAACGTTCCGTCCCTAATTTGTTCAAATACGAAGTGCTCAGTAGCAACTGCACGGTTGCAATTAAAGCTTTTCCATAGTTCATTGACGGGGGACTGGAACTAAAACTAGGCGAGGAGGACCAAAGGCATGCACTTCAAGTTAACGAATGAGATCAATCATCACTGGGGAAGCACGTTTGTCGTGCAGCCCTGCATATAATACAAGCAGCATGAGTGGAGTATAAGGCAGACTTGAAGCGAAGGACATCGTAAATCCATGCGACCGGATAAGAGATGAGTCGGATACGAGCGCATCAGTGTTGCAATGAGTTCGGGAACTGACGGACAAATGGATATGATTGAATTGGACTTCTAGCCTTGTGTGGAGGCTTGATAAAGCGCTCTCATAGGCTCCGAGTTTCGAGATCCATCGCAAACGAAACTTCTCACAATAATCCTCAAGCTAGGCGAGCTGCAGCATCTCTTTGTGTGGTGAGTTTAGATTGCGATCTTTCAGGCTGCAGATAAGGGTTGCGACATTCACGCATCTATAATGCATTTTCTCCGCTGAAGGGACCACTGATGTGGATGTGATAGAGTCGATCGTCAATATTGAAGGTGGCCGGTACCCGCAGATGCAGCGATCAGTGAGTGATTTTTGCTCACAACCGTTATAATGAGAAGAGCAGAATGAAATAACGTGTTCTTTACCGACACGCGCGCGATGCTTCATCCAAACTCCTGGCAGTGATCTGTGAGCTGGGTTTGCAGATACGAGCGGTTTTTGACGCTATGATACACAGGAACGCGGAACTTTCTCAAACGCACAGCTCGAACTAAGGAAATCAACAATCTCGAACAAGAGCCTCGTAAAATGCCAGCGTGACAAACACCCGGAGGGGAACCTGAACAAGCCAATAACTGGACAGTCCTTAGGAGAGCCATTGGAGTGGTTGATAGCCTGCGGTAACTCGGCCATGGATGTGCAAAGTGTTCTCTCTGCGGTCGATGGCAGAACGCGCCCATTGTTCACCCTCTCTTTGGGACAGGCGTGCCAATGGCGCCATAAGTGTTGGGTCTTCGACCGTGGACGGTCATGATGTTATCACCATCCTGACCGACAGAGTTGCCTATCAGTGAATAGATCCATGCACAGAGCAGAGAAACTCACAGATTTGCGATGGCTTTGGGTGGGCAAGCATCCGACAGCGTTGGGCGGCCATCCTGGGCGGCCATAATCCCCGGCATGTCCTAGCGGGGGCGGCATACTGGCAATTGGATGAGGCGTGTCTCCATTCCACCAACCGCTTGGCTGCGGTATCCCTGGCGCGACCCCACTCTGCCGATGTCGTGGGTCGATGGCTCCGTGGTCCAGGGCGCGCAGGTGTGTGTGTGGTGCGCAGACAGGGCCAAGGACGGATTGAACGCCCGGTCCAGAGTTGAACCCAGAATTCATTGGGTGAACTTGTGATCGGTATGGAGCGCAGGGTTGGGTGTAATTGCAAATGCTGTCCCTGATCTCCTCACGGGTTTTTGGGCCATGATTGCGATGGTATGACACTTTGAATATGCCCTTCTGCTTTGTTCGACTTCGGTAGGTTGCCTGCGACCTTGATGGACCAGGTGTGGGATTCTGGAGGGAGGGGGAAGTGCCTGACACGCAGGCCGATATAGGTGCAGCGTGTAATTGTGCATGTGCACGAGTGGAGTGCATCTCTGGGCACTGGCACTGAAAGCGGCTACCTTCAATCCCAAGCACGTTGAACATTCTGTCCATTAATGTCGGTTCGGTTTTGGATAGAGATGACTCAGGGATGTTGTGTATCTGCAATCAGAATCGTCACTTGGCTTATTCTGGCCGGAGCAATGACACAAACTTTGAGGAGAACTGGAATGAGCCCAACGCAAACGAACACCCGGGATCTGCCTTCCTCGAGCTCTTGCCTTTTCCGGCAAAGTGTTGGCCTCTTACGCTCTTCAGCATTGTACCTTCACGAACGCTCTACGTGGTCGATCTAACTCAATTCCCTGTACCCGCAACTAATAGTGTCACAACACCAGCAAGTATCATCTGTAGTACTGTCATGCATGACTGGGGTCGAATTCGCCACTGGATTAAGAGCAACGAACAATTTAGCCAACATGGTCTGGCGACTCTGTCTTCATGACTTCAGCTTGCAAATCTGAATATCTTCGAAACCGCGTCTGAGCACAATATCTGTACCGACTTTCTTCCATAGCCGGAATCACAACTTCGTTCTGTGTTTCCACCTTGACGTTCTTATTGGAACTTCAATGATTTGCACGGTTGCTAACCCACTTGAGACCTCGGTGTCGATGCGTCCTACGATTATACTGATCGCCAAGGACACGAAGATCGGTGTACAGTAGATCAAGAGTGATCAGTGGGGCCGGCGTTCTCTTTCGTATCGGGCAAGTGTTACGTTTCCCAGCTAGACCGCAGTCACTGACGCGGGGTGTTGCCTTCGATTCACGGGTGAGTGGCGAGAAAAGCTCAAGACCTAAGCCGAGCGCGCAATCACGATCACTGCCAGAACAGGCACGCATGACATTAATAGCGAATGGACGACGAACGCGCGCATGACTAAGACACGCCATCGTGTTGTTTGCTGCATGTACACTTTGTAGAACTTGTACAGTGCGATGAATTGGATATCGACATTTGGATATGAACCCAGGATTGATTCGGGGACTGGCGGATGAATTGATACGATCCCAGTCGCGCGATCTTAGTTCAGAGCCCTATGATGCGTGGTCCCTCTCCTCTTTCTAGCCTCAAGCCTTAGGCATGAGCGCTGAAGAAGCGGTGCAGAAGAAACCTTACAACAGCCACGCTATCATTTGACAGGTCTAAGTAGCTGGTGTACTTTGCCGTCGTGAGTGATGGTAATGGGGATATCATGAGTTGGTGGTCAATGTAGCGATTGAACTTTTTCTCAAGCTCAAATCACTGACGTATGGATGCCGAAAGCGAGACGGCGATAAGCCAGACAAGCCAAAACCTTAGTTCGTGCTCACGAAAACCGCCGTCACCGGTGGCAGCTGACACAGGGACAACAAGATCAATAAGATATATGCGATAGTAACTACAGATGATGCGATCAGTGAGTGATTTTCTGGCCCTAACCACCATAACGGGAAGAGCAGGAGGATTGATAGTTCTAATTTGTTAGTCTGCGATTACAAACGGAGCGCGAACAGAAAGAAGCATAGAACTTTCCCAAACATACAGCTCGAACCCAGGGCCACTCATCCGGGCATCAACGGGACATCATCGTTACTTAAGAGAGAGGATAAGTGTACGCGAACACCCAGACAGTCCGGCGTTTGCTATGCGGCTGCTTGAAGTCGCTGAACCGAGTAACTCAGCCATGGACGAGCGAGTATTCCCCTCAGTGATCGATGACAGGACGCGCTCATTGCTCACCCTCTCTTGGGGATGGGTGTGCCAATGGCGCCATATTTGTTGTGTGGTCGACCGCGGACGGTCGGGACTGGCTCATCATCCTGGCAAATGGAGTTACTCATTAATCGGGAATTTGGCGCGTATCATAATGAGACTTACAGGTTGGTGATGAGCGTGATCCGGCATACCTCCAACTCCAACAACATTGGGTGGCAATTCTGGAGGGCCTCGTTGTCGTGTCGGCCAATACACATAGTCTCCACGATGTTCCATTGGCGGGGACCATCCGCTATGGATGGTGTGAGCGACCATGGGCCTACTCCAAGCACTTCCCCCTGTTGGCTCCATTGGGGTGTCCCGTTGTTGAGGGTATGGTGGGAGCCTGGGCAAGTTGGGGTTCGTGATCCCACAGCCCGGCGCAAGGGCAGGTGCACAAATTAGTAGTGCAGGGCTGTGAGCGGTAATGGGTGGAATGAGCGGTCCAGAGTGGAATTGGGGTTGTGGTTGGACTTGGTGCACTATGGTATGGGATTGGGGTACACCGCAAATAGCGGCCATAATTTCCTCACGGGACTTGGGTCCGCGACGTCGATGGTGCGACACCTTGAAGATCTTCCCTTTCGGCCGACCCTGGGGAGCTTGTGATCCTAGTGGTGGGTGGGGCGCGGATTCTGGGACAAGGCTTCTAGGCGCATTGCGCCGCTGACGCGGAGTATGAGCAGCATACATTTGTCGTACTGGAGCAGTTGAGCAGATCAATTTGTATTGTGTCCTTTGAGTGAATTGTATAGAGCACCCGGGCAAGTGTTAGCGGGTAATGTTGGAGCTACGAAACCTGTATTTACATCTATTTGTGTCGATACTATTCAAGAGCTTGCCATCACGTTGTCTGCCGTCTCCTTCATTTCAACAGGTAAGTCTCACTAGTGGGACATTCCGGTGGCGGCCAGGGTCGACTCCGTCACTAGATCGTGCGAGTCGCAATTTGGGAAACGCCCGTGGCCCTCATAGAAGTCGATTTAACTTGGGAATCTCTGGACTTATCTGGGATGGTACATCCCTTTCCATTCAGAACATTAAACATGTCGGAATCCCTTGGTCGCCTTCGATTCGCCGCAAGTCACCAATTCTCCCGGCGGGTAACATTCACGCTTTGACCACGAAGTCCATCGATCTGCTACACTCCACTTACCCTCAACTAGTGGCCTCTCATTTTTGTTGTCGTTTTTAGGGAACGACTTTGCAACCAATTTAGTCGCATGGAAGCGAATCCTTGGCCATACCCCAGGATCCCAGCCTCTACTAAATTCCCCAGGCGTCCTGAGCTGCATCCGGAAATAAAATCATGTATTATCCGATCTCAAGTTCTTGGGGCATCCTGTGTTACCTGATGACTCCATATTGACGACCGCTGTGGCTGGGCCAACGGCAAAGAATGTTCTTCGCTTGCGACTCGTCGGGCATGTCTGCGCGTCTGAGTTGGATGACGCCAGGCGTACGTCTCCTCTGACAGGTTGGGTGACGGGGGATTCGCTGGTATCGACCAGTCCTACCGCCCCAATAAGCCAGTGCCATACTTGATATAATCGAAACAGACTTAGGTGGAAAATGCGGACCATTGACATTCAACTTGCCTCTGGGAGGCAAGCCCCCCTGGGGTTCCTAGATTTGTCGTTGAGTGCGTGCTTAGACATGGACGAAAGGTCGAGGCCTTTGGTCCCGGGACTAGGGGGTACCTTCGAAGAAATGCGCGAGCTTTTGTACTCCCACAGAATATGAACAAAATAGGACGAGTCACAGATTATCATGCATGCCACAACTGCAAAGCAGAGGCCGGGCACTAGTTTAACGCAACAGTCAATACAAGATGTGGCTTCAGTGTCAGTATACGGTAGAGGATCACGGGTACGGAAAAAAAAAACATGAAGAGGCTGATCGAAAGGGCGGCGATTCACGAACTGCAACAGCTGTGCATCCCAATTTTTAAAAAATTATTATTATTATTATTTATTTTTTTGCGGACTGGTTGCGCCACCATGTCGTCCAGGTTTCATGTTGTACGCGTGTGTGTGTGTGTTTTTTTTTCCAAGATGATTGGACCTAGCTTTTGCCATGATTGTTCTCATAATCTGAAAGGGTCAGTTTATAGATACGTGCCCTCCGTGCTGTAGTACCGGGATGTCCTCTCAAAACTAGGAAGGAACGACACGAGGTCGATCGACGGCATGCACTGACAGATAATGACTCGAGACAAACGGGGTGCGCGCGGGAACCGCGGCCCATGGGCCAGCAAGCCATCAGGATCAGTGGATACAAGTAAAGACCCATGTATTATAATGGTCAGACAAGGCACACGGAAGACACTACCATACAGGAACGTAGAGGAAATGAATGAAGTTCATACAGAGCTAGGACCATGAAGCTCGGGAGAGGGATGAGTGATGCGAAACATATAGGAACAAAGATGCACATGGGGACAAAGAATAATAATTAACCGACCGTAGAATCAAGAAAGGGCTTAATCGAAGATGGGTAAGAAAAGAAGGACGTTATCTATTCTTCATCAGAAAAGACCTCCTCGCCACGCTTGCGGCGAGCTATCCGCTCCTTCTTAGCCTTGCGAGCATCAGACGACGCTAGCTTCTTCTTCGCCTTCGCTTTCTCAATCTTGTTACCCATAGCATCATATTGATCATCCTCCTCACCCTGCTTCTTGTCAATTCGTGGTCCAGAACCCTGGCCTTCGACCCAGTTGTGACCAGAAGCCTCGAGATGGCCATCACGCATGGCCCAAACTTCGGAACAAATTGACTCCGAGAAATCACGGTTGTGCGTGATGATAAGCACACCACCTTGGAAGTCTTTTAGGGCTTCGATAAGGGCAGCCAAGGACTCGCGATCAAGATAGTTGGTAGGCTAATAAAAATGCTGATAAGCAACCCGTAGATGGAACCAATATTAGCGGTACCACACACCTCATCCAAGCAGATAACGTGCGGTCGGCGCCAGGTCGCAGCACCCAGCACAATCTTGACCTTTTGACCACCAGAGAGACCTCTCATGGTGTTGTGGCTGACAAACTCGGCCTCCAATCCAAAATCAGCGAAGTGCTTCTCAATTTCACGACGAACAAGGGGACGAAGGAGACCAAGGCGCTGAGCCTCACGAGTGTCGAGCTCGACAACTTTCTTCTCGAACCCACGCTGGATCAGTTCGTCGCGAGAAATCCAGATGTTCTCCGTGCTCGACAAACCCTTGAACGAGACTTCGTACTCGTACGACTGCTTCAACTTCTTGCGTGCAACGATCTCTTCGATAGTACGCTTCTGTCCTTCGACAACAACAACACCACCCTCCTTCATCTTCGCCTCCTCTTCCGCGCTAATCACTCGGTTAGCTTTGCTCAGCTCCTCGCGATCTTCGCCGGTCTGGTAACGCCACAACATATACTCAAGAGGAGTTTTGTCAAGGTGATGATCGATATGGTGGAACGCATGCTGAGCCACGTAGCCGATAACCAAGTTCGGGTGCTTCCAAACCTCGCCGCCCTTGTTGGGTTCAAGGTCACCAATGAGGAGCTTAACTAGAGTTGACTTGCCAGAACCGTTCGGACCCAGTATGGCAACTCGAGAAGACAAGGAAACTTGGAGAGTTATGTCGTAGAGCTGCTGAACAGCCTGCGTAGGGTATTGGAAGCCAACTTTACGCATCTTGAGCAGACTCTTTTCCTTTGTCTTCACACCCTCGAGGAGTGGGGGGTCGGGGAGCTTGAACTTGTAGTCCTCCGCAGCCTGGAGAGTGAAGTACGACTTGGCCTCTGGGACTGCCTTGACGAACGACTCAAGGTTGCCTCTGTAGCGCTTGACCTTGAAGCGGTTAAGGTGCAGGACATCGGTGATGGTCTTGTTTAGGAAGCCGGAATCGTGCGAGACAATGATAGAGGTGCAAGTTTTGAGACCGGTGAGGTAGCTCTCCAACCAGGCAATGTTGACAACATCGAGGTGGTTAGTAGGCTCATCGAGGAGTAGGATGTCAGCTTTGAACAACATGGCACGGGCCAAGGCGAGCTTCATCTTCCAGCCACCAGAAAGCGACCCGATGGCAGAAGCCTGGCGCTCGGCGTTGAAACCAACGTTACCAAGAGCCTCAATGACTTCGTCTTCGCTGGCTTGAATGCGCTTGTCATCAAGGATGAACTGGAGGACGGATGTGGTTTCTTCGGAACCGTCGATGTCATGCTCAACGTAAAATGTGCGAACTTCATCGGGCGACGGGAAGCCCTCGACCTGACCGTTGGTGATGGCCCGCATGAGTGTGGACTGGTTGATGTGGAATTAGCATTGAGTAAAACCCCAACAATTGGTACGAACCTTCCCGGTACCATTGCGACCACAGAGACCGTAGCGGTGGCCACGCTTGAGGCGGAGAGTCGCAGTGTTCAGCAGAATCTTGGCACCGTATGCCAATGAGAATGTACAGTTGCAGAGGTCCTCACCCTCCTCCTCATCGTCGGGGACTTCGTCGTCATCGCTCGTGGCCGCGACAGACTTGAGTAACCATTGGCGGGCAACCTCCTTTGGATCAGGCGACGTGGTAACGTATTCAAGGTAGGGCGCCAAAGCGGCCTCCCAATCGGCAACTTCGAAGATACGAAGATTGACCAGGTTTGCAGCAAGCCTCGCAGCGTAGCCCAAAGAAGCATTAGAAGCATCGGGTGATGCGCTGAGCTTCTGGTACACTTCCAGGGCAATCTGGGTTTGCGAAGCGGCATCTGCAACCTTCAACGGAGGGAGATTAGAACCATCACCCTCAGGGACTTTGGCAACTTCGCGAAGGGTGTTGATAGCCTTCACGACAACACCGCGAGCTTCAGGGTCTGCGACAGTTTCTTGGATCTGAATCAACCCAGGAAGAAGCCTGGGGACGAAGGGACGGACTGTGAACTCGTTGTCCACGAGTTTGGACATGTTGTCGATGATGACGGCAACTTTACGTTTAGTAGCGGTAGGTCGTTCATTAAGGCCGCGCTGGAGGAGCGGAGCCATCAGTGATAGTGTAGGAGCGTCAACCTCGGAAACGAATGTTGTAGAGCCAAGGAGTTGAATGGTGCCAGGCACCTCCTCGACTGGATTAATTAAAGATGAAATCAAAGCAGGAATGAATCGTTCCACGTCCTTGTTGGAGATCAGAGCCGTGGACTTTGTGAGAGTCTCGCGTGCGACCTTCTTGACTTCATTCTTGGTGTCCCAGATCGCCTCTGCAAGGACAGGAATGATATCAGGGGTGAGCCTCGCCACGGCGACAGGGGCATTCTGGATGAACTGATCGAGAGCCGAAAGTGAGCCGGTCTTCACCTGCCACTTACTCGCACTCTTAATTTGTTTGAGAAGGATCGGAAGGAGTGTTCCAACAGCCCAAATGGATACATTCGAGGCGATCGCAAGAACGGCCTCCAACGCGGCATTGCGAGGCGCAGGCATCTTGTCCCCGAGAGTCTCTAGGAGTTGGTTGAAGATACCATCCTCGTTGGAAGAGACGATGAATGGTTCAAGGGCTTTGATTGCATCGCCTTTGATCAATGCAGTGATAGCCTGGGAAGCACCTTCACGGGCAGCTGGGGACTTCTTGTCGGCAAGGGCCTTGAGAATGGCGTCGGTGAATCCTGTGGACTCGAAAACGGAAATGCCATCATTTTTGACACGGGAGGCGAGCGCCTCGGCGGAGGTTCTGCGTGCCGCCTTAGCAGCAACGAAGAGTGATGCGAGCTGGGAGTTGGCGTCGTTGGCAGCCTTAAGGTCGGCAGTATTAACGGGGGCAGGGGTAGCAGCGGCAGCAATAGGGGCCATTGCAGAAGATATCTAAACGGTGGGAGGGAGGGGAGGTGCACAAACACGAGGCGCGCAGCGGTTAATAAACCTGTGCAGAAAGGCGCCCAAGGCAGCAAACACGCACCTCGTATAATGGATTTAGAGTAAAAGATCTAAGTCTATTCAGGCAGTTAGGCTCTCAACAAGGACAGGAGACGTCTAGGTCGTCGTCTAAGTCGACGAAGAAGAGAAAACTTGTGAGGGTGAAAAGTGGGGGAGCGGTGAAAACTTTTTGGGTCCGGTTCTTATAGAAGGGCTGTAGACTCCGGTATCAACACCCCCCAACACCTGGAGTCACCATCGCCACAGCAAATTTGTTGCGCGCAAACCAAATCAGGTAAATTTGATTCAAAGCTTTGACGTACAGCCATGCAGTTTCGCAACGGACGGAAAAAGGGAAAAGGGAAAAAGCGTGTCTTCCGAACAAGATCCTGCACCACACCATGCGCCTGACCCCATTCTATGTTCCTTCTTCTCTTCACACCTCGTCGGTGGGAGTAGTGAAAGTCAAGGGTGTAAAAGCCTGCCAGGAAAACGTGCGACCAAAATCAATCAGAAGATTCACGGAAATCGTACGACTGAAACTCACGTATCCTTCCGCAGCGTAGTGCTTCCCGTTCGCTTCCACCCTAAAAAAGCGTCAGTGAGTTGCAGCCCATAACCCTCCCCAGCAAAACAGCTGACCAGTGCAATCTAAGAGCATGGAGAAACGCGGAGAGACCCTAGATAACAAATAGATTGCAAAAATTGATATTTAGTAATTTCCGGGGTAAGGGCCACAAAGCGATCAAGAGGTGCCGCTCGGACGACGCCGCGCGGGGTAGTTCAAAGCGGTGTAGACATAACTCTTTTTTGTGATGAAACGGAAGCTTGTCACGCACCTCCATGACACAAAGGATAAAAATAGTTAGCACAAACCACATCCCGAATGTGATGACCAGGAATATAACGCCGGACACTCCTTCTCCTTCGAATGCTCCTTCAATTGTCATTTCCCACAACACCTCGGAGAGTTGCGCGTGCGCTAATGACAGGGCCCATAGCCGGAGGTAAGAGGCCGTATTAGAAATGCAGCCTAGACAGAACTCGATAGTGTGAATGACTTGGTGAATGACTACTTCGCCGAATTCCTCATGCTCTCCACTCTGCTTATGGTTCCACAGCACCATGACCAAGCAAACAGAAACCGTACACAGGTTTGCATCGTGCCAAATGTGGCACCAGGGAAATTCTCGGTCAGCAAATTCGTCCATCCACGCGGCAAACCAGTGGGAACTCACATGCTCATCATGATCAGCACTGCCATGACCATCAGCCGGATTTGCGGCTTCCTCCGTACCCAAATCTAAAGAACTCCGACCATTGGTCCGTAGCTCGTCATCACCATCATTGACGGCCCGGTAGCCCTCCGCCTCTAATCGCTTCAACTCTTTCCACTCCCGGTAAGGTTTGACGCAAAGCATCCATGGAATGCATATGAGCGCTAACAGTACCAACACTACTTGAACGCCTGATTGACTGGGGAAGAGTTGTTCGGACGGCTCCACCGTGCCAGGTGAAAGAAACATTGCAATAAGCATGTTGAGCAGGTTGGGTGGCCGCGTGGTTGCCTTCTCCCAATCAGTGCACCATTTCAGAATTATGCAAAAGACAAGGTAGCCGAAAATGGAATGCAAGAACAGGATTTGGGGCACGAAGTCGGTCCATATGTTCGATCGCTTCTTGAAGTGTATATGATTTGGTACCTGAAGACAGATCGCAAAGGTCATCTGCAGTCAAACGCAGGACGCAAGTTCGATCAGCAAAATCCTTGGCGAAATGGGCTTCAGCATGCCTTACATGAATGACACCGAGGATAATGGACATCTTCATCTTGTAGGAGTTGGTGAAGATTAACGAATTTTCCGAACCGTTCCAAGCGGGGTCCAAGCCAATAGGATATGTTCCACCAATGGCTTTTGCTGTACCATTGCCAGTAAATTCCCATGCAGACCCAAATATGTTCAATGACTTGGAAAAGATGTCGTTGTAGATGAACCCAGTGTACATGGATAAAAGGCCCATGAGGAGGACCAGATACCGGCCACTAGAAACGGAGAGCGATGATTAACAGAAGGAGGCAGTATGTCTAGGAGGGTAGACTCAACTAGAAAAACATTTCGAGAATCTGCACCGGTGATACGGGATGGGATCAGAAAATTGAGTGATGGTCAAGAACGGCTCGAAACGAACGGACCTCATGAATCTGTGTCTTCGCGATCTGCTTCTCGAACAAGATCATACCAATCGCGGTAATCGTTGCAATAAACCCGTGTCCAAGATCGCCAAACATGACTGCGAACAGAAAGGGAAATGTAACCACAGCGAACAAACCCGGATTAACTTCCTGGTATGAAGCAACGCCATACGCATCAATTATTGCCTGGAAGCCTTCGGTAAACTTGTTCGTGCGGTGGAATGTGGGGGGTTGGCCGTGCGTGCGGATCTCCTGGAGGATGGGGGGTATGTTTGTTCCCGCGGTCTCCTATATGCAAGGATTTACGCCAGCACAGAACACAGCCACAATACAACTTACAGTTGCTCGTCTGAGAGCCTGTTGAATGATAGTAATGTCCCGTGATGGAATCCAAGCCTCAGCGACTTGAACTTTTTGCCGCGGATCATAACGGAAGAGATTGAGAGTGGACCAGATGATCTTCTCTTTATGCACAGCGTCCCGCCAGCCAGCGATTGTCTCAGCAATACGCGAAAGCTCTGAGTGGCGCGTAAATCCGGTGCTGTACAGAACTGCGTTGATGTCTTCCAGACGGGCGGTCACATCCCTCAATGCTTGAGAGCGTTTATCCACATTCGAGTCAATCGGATACAGTGTCCCACCCATTGACTCCGCCACCTTACGAATCTTGGCAAGAATCTGTTCTCCGTGAGCGAAAATAATGAAGACATTCTTGCGAATCTCGTCTCCGGTGGAGGGATCCACGAACACCTCCTCAATGTCGGTGTGGTTCATGTACAAATTGCCACGAAGGACTCGCCAGAGGACTCGCTCCAAAGTAGAGATGCGAGAGCGATCAATAGTCCCAGCAACAAATCTGGGATAAAATCAGCAATTAATACGAGTGGACCGTAATTTATGTCCGACGCACTCCAAGTCGAAGGACACATCACGCGTGCCTTGAAAGTCAGCATCTTGGTCAGCGAGAAGAGGCTGTGTCCCATCGTCAAGTGATCTTCTGATCCCCTCGTCCGAAACATGAGCCTTGTCCCAATAATCAGCAACCAGGCGAGAGAAACGCAACTCGACGCACTCTATCGAAAAACTGGGCTGTTTCCCGCAAAACGTGTCTGGCCTCGGCTAGTTCCCTGGCACGGGTGCTCAGGGTTTGGTAGCTCTCATTCATCTGCTGCAATCGACTCTCGTGCTCCTCGAGCTTGACTTCGAGCTCATCGATAGTAGCGGGAGCACTGGGTCCAACAGTGAGGAGTGGCACAGAGTCTTCCAAGGGCCGAACATGGATGTTGGGCTCTTTCTCAATTTGTGAACTCAAAAAACGAACGCGGCGCGCCATCTCGTCAATCCTTCGAATTTCACCAACAAATGAGCGTTGGAAAGGATTCACGTCCGGGTTGAGCTGTCAAAGCACGTCAATAAGTAGCTTACGCATGGGGGTGCAGGGACGATTCCTCACATCTCTAAATTGAACATCACCGAGCTCCCCTAACTCCGCAACAGTGTCATGAGCTACTTCCCTCGGAATGAAAAGGTGAACCAAGCTCATCTGCTCCGAGCCTACCAAATATGCATTTACGTCATCATTGCTTGCACGTTCCAAAACACCCACCACTTACGGAGCAGGCTTGGGAAGTCGTTCATCCCTGACGGCAGACACCAGGGGATATGTCGAGATTAATTGTTGCGAACGGCCGCGGATGCGGCACGACCCGTAACCACGTGATGACAATCACTCGGTCTCTAGGCAACTACGAAGCCACACCCCCCTATGAGCCAAGGACAATATTGCTAGTACTAGTAGAGGCTGGGTCCTTCCTAGGAAATTTCAAGCGTCTCAAATAGGCATGGAAGATTCTATTGCCCGATGCATCAGCCACTTATTATTCGAGAACCGAGAGCTGCGGCTTTTGAGACTAGTTGTTGCAACTTGCAATCTCACTTTCTACCAGCGAGAGGAATTTTGTCCTCCCTATTAGCCACCTCTGCGAATGGGATTGCATATATTTTTTACGGTGTCTCAGCCTAAAACTACCTGGAGCTTTCTGCCTACAAGTACATCTGCATAATGTTGAGCGACCCATAAAAGTATTCTAACTATCTGTCTTGTTCAACTCATGAGCCAGCTTCACAACGTTGTTCTGTACAATCGGTCTGAGTTGGTTCAATCTCTATGCTATTCGCTTATGATATACTCACTCCTTTGCGCTCAATTTTGACGGCTGGGTCACCGTCCTTAGCATGTCTAGTAACAGTATTACCCTGAATGCAACCATCAGTTCTGTACACTGATTTATCTAAGAGCTCTCTTATTTACCTTGTTGCTCGTTACTTGTGCTTTGCCTTCCTCGACAATTTCCGCAACTGTTCCGGTTGCATTGCCCCTGCCCCATTTCCACCTGTCACCGAATATGCTCAGGATCACCAGATGCGGAATGAATGAAGGACTTACGAGACGTCGTCGCCTTTCTTGATTTGATCAGACATGATGATGATAGCACAGTTTGATGGGGGAATTTTACCATTGCATCGGTGCCCTTGTTAAATACCGGCACCGATTCTGATGACGTTGATCTGAAACATCCGTGCCATCAATGGATGGGGCTCCGACACCTAGACTGCTTCACCAGAGTCGTGCGCCGCTCCGGAAGCAAATTCTTGGGCCAACTATGCTCATGACTTATCTGGATGGCCACTGCCAGCGCTTCTTCCACGCCACCATAACGACACTAATCTCCCAATGCCCACTGTTCCAGAACACCAAGGCGATCAGTCTTCAACTAACATCTTGGATCATCTCGTTCACTTCGCGTCCCCTGGCCAATTGAACCGAGCCATTGGGGAATTCGAGTCATCAGGATTCAAGTTGAGCCGTGAGATTTAACGATCGATCCAACAATTCGGTCTGATATACATATACTCTTCCGCTCGATTCAACTCTCCACCTATCACAGTGTCTTGCCAGGCGGCACTCATGCGGATGGTTGCACTCACAACGCACTTGTCGTATTTGCAGATGGAGTCTACTTGGAACTCATCTCCTTTACGCACGAGGTTTCTGACTATCCAGAAGGCTCCCCCGAACGGTCGAAACGTGAATCCCATTGGTGGGCAGACCAGAATCCCGGTGGACAACCTGTGCCAACCAAGCTTTCGACACATCCGTCTGGAAATGGATCAATTCAAGAGCGGGAGAAAAACTCTTCTCGGCCCCCCAATCAGGTGGAAGACGTAACCCCAACGGCGTGGAGCTAAAATGGAACGTTACGTTCCCAATCCCTAACCTAGGACATGGAGTGATTCCATTTTTCTGTCAAGACGTCACGGATCGATCACTACGAGTACGTATCAGTTTCACAAATTTCATATCATAAGAGCAAGCTTCAAACCTCATGACAAATTCACTTTCCTCCTACCTGCTAGGTCCCACTCGCACCACCTTCAAACACCAGTCATCCGAACGGTGCTCTCGGCATCGCCCAAATCATCATCCTTGTTCCCTCATCAGACTTCACACTCACAAGCAACCGACTGTCCGCCACCCTCGGCGTTTCCACCACCGAATCAGCGACACAAAATTCGTGGCCTCTCAAAACCCCCCGCAAAACTGACCATCCTTCCAAGTTAGTCCTCAAAGCGACTGACTCTAATCAGTTTGCCATCACAGAAGTCAAATTCTGGGTGGTACAAGGATCCACACCACCACCCTCAAGAACAGCGGCGCCATCGGTTGGGTAGAAGTCAAATAAGTCAAAAGTTGTATATCATCTTATTCCATGAATACAGAATTGCAATCTAGAAAGTCTTGTATATAAAGTGAAACATCAGCTTTGGGTGTTGCGCAAGTAGTGTATTAAAGAAGGAAACCAATCCAGAGAGGAATTGAGGAGTGGGGTATAAGCTACAACAGATTTTCGCAAATCGTTCAAAAAAAGAAAGAAAAAATGTAAGAACGATCTCCGGATGTCAGAAAGGGGATGCCCTTGGGCTTTTTGCTTGGGTAAGGAATTATAAGATCAAAAGGGTAAACGTGTAGGGAGGAGTCATACACTGTCGTCATCAGTATAACTTATGAGCTAAGCAACAAAGGATCACAGACTCATCACATCATTACACTGCCGACTTGCTTTCATTTCTCGCTATCTTGCATCCAACTTAATATGCTTCCTGACGAGCGACGTTCGGGATACTATCCCCTCCAACCAATCGTCCCGAAACGCTATTATTCCGGCGAAGCGAAGCCGCCTCACCTAAACTTCTCAAACTCATGCTCTCCACCATCTCCTCGTCACCGCCGTCACATTTCTCCAAACACGTCCCTGGGACAGTTCCCCCCAGGCTAGCCATTATGCGATGACGATATGCACGAGGTGCCTCAGGAGGCGGGAACGGTGCGCCAGGCCCAGCCATCCATTCGTCTTCCCATAAGTCGATGATGCGTGCACGTTTCGTGGGTTCACGCACCAGAAGTTTACCCACGACGCGACGAACGCCCTCTGTGGCAAGCCGAATCTCAGGAGGGTGAACTGAGGGATCGACCGACCGAGTGATGCAGCAGAGAGTGGTGATCTAGGCCCCGAGGCAGTTTCGGGTAGCAAAGCGGAAGGAGAAACAGGGCGGGATCGACCTATCCATGATGTAGTAGAGCGATGATACGAGTAAGAGGAAGCATAACTACTGCTAGTTTCACTGCTCGACGTGGCTGACGAGGATGAAGGATGCAACCCGGGCACAGATTCGGGAGGAGAAAGTGTCGGATCGTACACTGGGAGTAAACCTGGCCAATGATATTCCCCCTTAGCAATGCGACCAAGATAGGCCCGTTTCGTCTCTCTGGGCGGAGTTGAGCGAATCGAGTCTGTGGGGCTGGATATCAGATCCGAAGTGCCCCTTCTACAGAAGTAGGCGCAGGATATATTGTCGGCACATTCCTATCGAAGGGGAGGAATCGTGTTGCTAGTGCATAGAGGACGATCCCTGTCGCCCAAGCATCTGTTTTTCGACCGTCGTATGGTTTTCCAAGAATGATTTCAGGCGCAGCGTAGTATTCTGAGCCGCAGCGGGTCGTAAGAAGTGGGCTTGCGGGATCGATGAACCGCGAGAGCCCAAAGTCGGTAATTTTCAGTAAAGGGGAAGGAAGCATGTCAACGGCAGTAGGCGATGCAAGGTCCAGGATGAATGGATTCATTGTCAGGAGAATGTCTGCAATCTAGGTCAGAGACCACTTTCATGCTGGAACAAGCGCAGAACGCACTCTCAAGCTTGATATCCCTATGGACGAGCGCCACTTCATGCATCCATCCTACTGCAAGAGCCAACTCCCCCCATAGGCGCCGCAACAGCTCCTCAGTCATTCGAGCGTAGTTGTCGTCTACATTAAGAAGTTCAAATAACTCGCCCCCTTCAAGGAATTCTAAAACCAAGCAGTGATGCGTTGCTGTAGTGAATGAATGCAGATACGAAACTATATTAGGATGTGAAATATGCTGTAATGACCGATCATCAAGCTGGCATTCAGAACGGCGATCTAACTGACTGCTCACTCTAAGAACCTCAACCTCCCGGACAAACGATATACGCATTCTATCATTCGCATCACACACCCTCATTTCCATCATCTTGACAGCCACCAGCCCCGCTTCATTGGTGCTAGATGTAGCTCCAGAGCCACGGAACAACGATGAGCCTTCTGGCGGTATCCCATGACTGCTTGCGGTTTCCGCACTCGCATCGCCGGTATCCACTGGAGAAAACAGTTGTACTGACTCCATAGCTGACGTGGGGCGAAGGCCGTCTACATTCCTATCTCTTCTACGTCGAGCAGCCCCAATTTCACTGGGACGACGTTCGTGCGGGAGATCGTCATGCGCTTGGGTAAGCGCGCCATACTCGTCACGAGCCAGCCAAACGCCACTAAATGCACCTTTTCCCAACAAGCGAACGAGCGATATTCGCAGGTCATCCACTTCGAGAATCGTCCCTGAAAGAAATTCATCTTTCCCATCAGGAGGTAGACTTTCTCGCGGTATAGGTTTGGACCGCAACGTTGAATGCAGGGGCTTGTAGGGGGTATGAACGTGCGAAATAATCGGCTGCTGATCGTCACCGTTTGTGACAGGAGATTGTGGCCAAGATAAGGAATGGTCGGTGAGAGGAAGAAGATCGGCAACGTGTGAACTTGTGCTCGTTGTTGTCGAAGGAGGATTTACGGTCAGAATGGGCTTGTCGTCCAAAGAAAAATCGTGCGAATTTCGCCGATGTCGCGACGGAAAGAACCGAGAAAGCGGAGGCAGTTTGGGTTTTGGCGGAGCAGAAGTGGGCTGCAGTGCTGGGGGCGGGGATGGTGGCCGAGCAACTCTGGCAAAGAAAAATTCGCCACTTGAGTGTGGAGCCGATTGTGGAGGGCGTGAATCCGAAGCGGATCTGAACAGAGTTACTGTCCGGTCAGATTCGCGATGAGGGAGCGTAGCACTCCTGTGAGGAGGGGTTGGGAGCTTGTATGTCGTTGATGACGCACTGAAGAATGCATTCGTCCGATCCGAAGACGGAGCTGTGAGACTAATCTCATGGCTGGATGTGCTGGCTAGAGCATCTGTGGTTGATGAGGTGGAGTCACGGTGAGAGATATACGCGCTGTTATTGGAGACATTGCTGGGTGAATGGTGGAGCCTGCGATGGGATGAGCGGGGAGACACATTTCTAGAGGTGTCAGACGGGGTCGGAGTAGGAAGGCGATTCTGAGGTTTGAAACGGTTGGCAAGCAAGACTCCAGCGTGAACGCATACCGTCAAACAGAAGAGTGCTTACATGCGACCTCCAAGTAAAGTCGCTGCCAATGGAGGAGACACTACTCTTGCCGCGAGAGTGCTTCATGAAAATGGCTCACAAATGGATGGCCTCGGCGACTAGACCGACCTGTTGGCAGGATGGAGTGTGAGGGAACCGGTGCTATCGTCAAGTCACACCTTGAGTTGATGGGCGCTAAAAATATGGAAAGAGGAGAGCTAGCTTTTGATCCAGAGTCAAGTCATTACAGGGAGCCTAACCAGGACCAAGTCTATAATTAAAAGAACACGTTTGAAACTTTGGTATTTGCGCTGTAGCCGAAAGTCACACAGACAATTTGATTCCGAAACTAACATGGGAAAAAGTAAAACAGTTTCGATCCTCCATGGTTGGAAATGCAAGCAAGTACAGCCGGTTGTACGCTGCAAAACATGCGTGCATCGTGTCTCGAAAGGATACAGTCCTCAAATGACCCTGTAGTCGGACTTAATCTCACACATTGAACCCATACCCACGCATACAGGCGATGTGCTTCTGGACAAGTTCCATGCAAGCTTTACTTGCTGTATCTGAGTCGTGCTTCATGAAGCATTCGTCTCGCGCAGCCTTGGTCTCCGGGCAGGCGCAGCATCTTGAGACAATATCAGCACCTGGGCATCAGAAGAGCGACAGGAGAGGGTGCTGTGCAAATACTCACGGCTTAATCCCCTCAGGGTTGAGAGGATTAGGAGCTGGTTTTTGTGGTGTACATGCCACTTCCGTATTGCTTTTGAGTAACCCTGGCATGGCTTGTGAGGAGACTTCGAGAGGCTGGATAAAAGCCACCGTTCTTGACTGAGAAATTTCACTTACGTAATGAGGATGTGGGAACGCCACGGGAAATGCCGTTAATCACTTCCCGACCTTGACCGCCAATAAAATGTCACGCCCACAGGATGACAGAAATCAAGAGGCTACGGTCTACCTGGTAATGATGTTGGTGCTATTGTAGAAGCCAACTAATTTATGTTTCTTTCGTATAGGGGAACCTCGATGAGAGATGCACGGACGCCTTAGTTTGGGAGCTAATGCTGCAGGCTGGTCCAGTTGGTGAATGGGCGCGTGTGGGCGTGTTATAACCTTTGACATATGATTTTATGCTCCTAGTAAATGTTCACCTCCCTAAGGATCGAATCTCCATGGCCCATCAAGGCTATGGTTTCTGTGAGTTCCTCACCGAGGCGGACGCAGAGTACGCTTGCAAAATCATGAACCAGATCAAGCTGTGGGGTAAACCCATTCGCGTAAATAAGGTAATCCGCCCTTGGTGGGAAGCTTGAACCAGGATTCAAATTTACCGCGCTCTTAGGCCTCATCGGATAAGAAGCAGCTGGACATTGGCGCAAACCTCTTCGTTGGCAACTTGGATGAGAACTTAGACGAGCGCATCCTTTATGACACGTTCAGCGCGTTCGGCATTATCTCCACAACAGCTAAAGTAAGCGTACACAAATACGACCCTCGATCCACATGTTCGCAGATGACCTCACCAATTCCCCATTTACCGTAGATCGCGCGAGACCCGCAAACCGGACAATCGAAAGGCTATGGCTTCATTTCCTACAACGACTTTGACTCCTCCGACGCCGCCATCGAGGCCATGAACGGTCAATACCTTAACAACAAACCCATCACTGTCCAATATTCCTTCAAAAAGGACGGAAAGGGAGAACGACACGGTACCCCGGCCGAACGGCTCCTTGCCGCCCAGGCACGCAAAAACAACACCCTCCCATTCGGTTCTCGTCCGCCCGCTCCAATTGCCTTCACTGACCGCCCCCCGTCGTCAATCCCTGGCGTCCCAGTGGCACCTGGTCTTCCCTACGCACCATCAGGCTACCAAGGTCAATTCGCTGGCGTTCTCGCCGCGCCCCCACCACCACCTATGGGCTTCACACCCCAACAGACTATGATGGCCCCTGCGCCACAATTCATGGGCGGCGCACCCCCTCCTGGCGTTGGAGTTCCAGCTCCGCCACCGACCGGCATGTTCAATCCCAGCGTTCCAGGCGGTGTGCCACAACCGAACGGCATGATGGGCATGCCTCCCCCGCTTCCCCCTGGATTCCAAGGAATGATGATGGGCGTTCCTCCCCAACAACCTAGTATGCCCGGGTTCATGGGCGCGCCTCCGCCACAACCTAAATAACGTTTCAGCACCTTTTTTTGAGGCGTTGCATTGCCGCTCAATAAAAAATGGGGTGCTTGAACTTGAATCTTTGTTCTCTCCTAACCTCATATATATACACACCACCAAAACAACAATAATTTTGTTCGGCGCATCAGTTGCCTGCGCGGGGGGCGTAAGTAGTGCCTTCTCACGTGTGGACCTATAGCGGCCTTGTGTGAAAGAACTTCTGAATGATAATTTGCCAAATGGAAAATAGGAGAACGAATGCACTCCTCAGAATGTAAACTTGTATCCAGGTAGTTACGAGATCTCCTCAACTAAACCGAATCGACACATGCGGAAAGCAAATCCCAGGGTCGGGAAAGGTCCGCCGTCTAGAAGGGGAACATAAAACAAAACACTAATTATATTCGAAACAACGCCCCCTTTTCATCGTCGACGTTAGCGATGTGAGGAGGCGTAAATGGTAATGAGCAGTTCATCAGATGCAAGATATTTGTGTTGTGCAGTTATGCAGCGGTTGATGGTTATCCGAAAGCAAAACAATTGAAAACAGTGGATAGCCAAGATCCTGATATAGGGGTCAAGAAAGAAAATTGTAACCAAAAAAAATAACGCGATCTTCCAGGACCCTTCTCCATCTTTTACATACTATACATTCACCCGATATTATTTTCAAACGCAGCAAAAAGGAAAGAAAGAATAAGAGATGAAGCTATCGCGGGCGACGTCCGCGAACTGACAATGTCCGTGTTCCATATTCTAAACAGAACCTCACACGATTATCGCTCCGTCTATCGGTCCGGACCCACCGCCCCAAGCTGCAGGCGGTTTTTGCCATTTTCCATCCGACCAAGCAGTATAGCTTGTCCCACTCCGAGTTGTCCGAGTAGACGCGAGTAACTGAGGGCTATCAAGGTTCACTAGCTTGTCTTTGGGGAGCTCTTCTCCGTCCTTAGCCTCCACCCAACCCTTCCAGCCCTTCTTCGTCCTCGTCCTGGTGGGCGCTTCATGAGCTGGCGACACCTGCGACTCGGGCGTGGTGGGAGGTATCTCCGCGGGTGGTGTGGGGTTTTGGGTGGAAAGTGAGACGGTGGACGTCTCCCTCACAGGCGTGGCTTTTTGGTGAGTGGTCACCTTTTGATTGGAAGTGGAAGCGGATTTGGGGGACGAGTCATTCGGCGGGTTGGTAATGGTGAGGCGCAATTTCTTAGGCGCCGGACCATCAGACGCAGCGCCTGATGTGGACGGACGTTTGCTGCCACTCTTCTGTTTCGTGGCGCCGGAGGGTTGAGGAATTGGAGCGGGGATCGAGGGCGCCGCACTGGGCTGCGTGGTAGGGGGCTGCGCAGCCTTCGACTTGGAAGCCACAGCATTCTTGGTAGACGTCGACTTGCGTGCGGGGGCTGTGGCGGACGAGTCGGAAGATGGGGTGATGTGTTTTGATGAGGAAGGTGGGTGGACGCGGTCAGCTGCACGCTTCCCGGACTGTCTGGCGCTACTCTCAGCCGTTTCATCTACGTGTGGCCTATCAGCGGGATACGAGTCATCTGGAACACTAAACCCACCATCAGCCGGAAGATCGGTGCCAAAGTCGTTGGTTATCCCGTTGGGATAAATCCCAAGGATTGTTTGGTCCCGTTCTTCGAACGGAGGAGGTGGAGGGTAGGAATGGATGAGCGGCCGCAGATCAAACGCGCCAGCTAGAACGCGAGTAGCATCTCGTCTTCGTCGTATTTGAGGTCGAGCTGGGTAGTACCACGGTCGGGAAGTCGAGTGGCTCATGTTGAAGGACAAGGGGAGGTGATGGTAAGATGATAGGACTTGAATGGTTGGAGCTTATACGTCGGATTGGTTTGCTTCCGGGAGCGCTGCCAATTCAGGCCTTCCTCGTCATAAACAAAATAACAAACAAGCTTTCTTCGACTCGGGTTCACTTTTCTTGCGCAAGGCTCAGGAATGAGTGGTCTAGGCACGCTCGAGGACACTCGCTGCGACACTCGTCACTTTTCGCACACGGCTCAAGGCGAGGTGACCAGGTGGGCACTCCCAGAAAAATCATATGACACAAAAGGAAATTACAATTATTATTCAATAAATGGGTGTCCTTTGTTCCCATGTAAAATGAGGGCTCCTATCACTGATGGTCTTCCTTAAAGATATCCTACACACCTACAATTGTCGTCTGAATGGGTTTCGATCAGAAGAGGACGGCATTCCGTTCAACGCGGAGATCCATTGCGAACCAGCGCTTGTTTGACCGGCGGTGTTGGCTGGCATCACAGGAACGTCAACCAGGGGTTGCGTGCTGGGAGGATTGTAGTATTGAACGTTGGGTGCCACACCATGAGATGAATCTGTTGTTCCAGTAACATCCGGCTCTAAATCTATAAGAATATTGTTACCGGTAAAGGAATTTGAGTATCGAGCGGTGGATGTGTCCTTGATCGGCTGACGTGGACGAGGAATCTGCAACAAGTCACTATTCGGACGGTTGTATTCAGGTATGGGAGGCGGCGGGCTCGATCGCTTGGCGGGTTGAGCATATTTACCCCCGCCCCGCTCGGTCGGCTGTGAATAGACCGAAGGCTCGGTCCAGATGTTCGATGACGGCCTTTTCCTCTCTCTCGGCGATGTAGGGGAGGTGAATGACGAGACGGACGATAAAGCAGAAATAATAGATGGAGCTCTTCTAGACCGAACATCTGAACCGAAGTGCTGATTCATCGGACTCCTGATGACACTTGCTCGCCGGCCAGTGTAGCCACCTTCCATCCTCTCCATCTCATATCTCCATGACTCAGACTCGCGCAAACGCTCGGAAACATTGAGTGCACGACTTTTCGAGGATGACCCAAACCCAAACCAACCCCGCCACCCAGATGTATTATCGAGTTTCTGTTGCTTGAATGCCATCGTCTCGTCCTGCCTGGCCTTCCGGGCTCTCTGCCTCCATAGGATAAGACACAATGCAATGATCGCCACCGTTCCAAATGACACAAGTAAGATTTGCCACCAAGCGAATCTGAGCGAACCGGATCTTGGCGCATCGGATATGGTGGGGGCGGAACTCAGTCTAGTAGGCGTAGGAACAGATGTGGTTGGGGCAACAGGAGTAAGTGGTAACCCGGGAGCCACGGTTACCAGGCTAGAGAGACAAATCCCCCCCAACGAATTCACAATACCAATAGCATTGCCACCAGTACAAAGGGCATCAACGCACTGCCCTTGACGCAGAATTTTCCCTGAAGGGCAAGTCAAACAATTGGAAGGCCCGGCTGACGTGCAGGTGGAACACGAGCTATCACACGACTTGCAGCCACCGGAACCCCCGCTGGATGAATCATAATACTCGTTCTTTCCGCACGTCAAGAGGCAGCGACCACCAGATGACAGGACTGGCCGCGTTGAGGAACACGACGTACACTTGTCGAAACCGCTGCCAGAGCACGTCCCACAATCAGGGTGACAGGGAAGGCAAGAACTTCCCGACGCGAAGGAGTTGCTAGGGCACGATGAGACGCAGGTTCCATTGAGGGCAAAAGATGAAGATTTTGAGCATGAAAGACAGAAGGTCTTGGAACCAGCACATGTGCTGCATGACGAATCGCAGGCTACAGAATAGGTGTGTCAAGGCGCAAATCTCTGCAAAAAAGGAATAAACCCTTACGAACCTACGCAAGTGAAGCCATCTCCCTTTGGATCGATAAATCGGCCATCGGGACACTTGGTTAGACACTTTCCTCCCGATAACACATATCCCGGAAGGCACGCAGTGCATTGCACTTGATCAATAGAGCTGACAACTGAAAAACCGGGTATCTGGCACGCCGTGCACGTAGACGGACATGTATCGCACTCGTTCTTCGCATTGTTGACGACGTACGTTCCATTTGAAGGGTTTGGATTTGAACAAACGCCATTGCTGCTTACGGAAACACATTGCCCACCAAGTGAAGACATGCCGGCTCCACAAACTAAGCAATCCGTGGATGAAGGCCCTTTACACGTCTTACAAAGCGACGAACACCTGTTACGAGCAATTTTGGTGAGAAGAGACCGGGGGAAAATATTTCGCAAGCAACGTACGCAGCGCATGACCCCCCATTATTAAACTGGCCATCCGGACACGAAGGTGTGGAAGCAGGTACGATACACTTAGATGGCGTACTTGTGTCCTGCACGAGGCCACTCTCGCAACTAGTGCATGTCCCAGAATTCCCAGTACACGACTGGCATCCAAGTTCGCAGGTCCGACATTCGCCATCCCCATTATTGAAGAAGCCATTAGCGCAGGTCGAGCACTGGGTCGAGTTGCCATTGCTGGATGCCCATCCAGAACTGCATGTACATGAGCCATCGGAGTTACAAGTCCCGTGCAAGCAGTTACATGATGAGGACGGATTAGTTGCGGTCGACGACAGACACCTTCCAGTCCCAGAAGGGCCATCATCACAGGTGAGGCAACCAGATGGGCATGCTGACGAAGATAATCAGTTTAAAGTAGTTCCAAGGCTGATATAAGGGCCCACATTGACACTCGGGACCAAAGAATCCCGGGGCGCAGGTCTCACAAGCTGACCCGGAGAAACTTGGGGAACACGAACAGGAACCGGATGCGTTGCACGTGCCTGATGAAGAGCATGGAGAAGGACAGGATGATGACTGCAAAGCAACTAAACTCGACTCTGAATTGATCTCGAAGTTGGACGAGCTGGATATTTGGCTCAAGTCCGACACAGATTCCCATACTACCATTCTAGCACCTGTCGAGTTCTGAAGCAATACTCCCCAAACCCCGTCCTGAACCAAGAACGATTCAGCCTTGAGAACGGCAGTCGAGAACGTGGCGTTTGCTGTCCCCAGATCGTGAGCGACACCGGTTCCAGTGAAATTGGAGTTAAGGAAAGAAAGGAACGAAGAGGATTGCCTTATCGAAAGCGGTAACGAAATTGACCCAGATATACCAGATGATGCATTAAGCAAGGAGGATTGTAACGAAAGAGTCGATAACGGGGATTGAAGAGCGGAGACCAGCAAGGACGGCAAAGACGACGATGAATCATATGTGCCTGGTAGTAGTATTATGGAAGAGGATATTGACGGGGATGATAATGTAGCGCCAACTATGTCGTCCGCAAAGTTCAGTATTCAAAGACGCTCGGTCGGGCGAATCAACACATACGAGGTGTTTGTGCAGTATTCCCCTGCAAGCATAGCTTGGAAGAGCATATTGTGACTGCAGAGGACGAAGCACATAGCGCAGGAACTGCGGGACGCGTATTAGACTAAGACTCTCCTATGTGCTCATTGTACCCACCAACAAAGGCAGTGAATAGAGCGATGGACAGCATCAGAAATTAAGCAAGCAAGCAAGCAGGTTCTACTTTCTCAGAATACGGCCAGCCGTATCAAAGGGCAATACTGGGTCCAAGATACGTCTGCTGGCCCAAAAATGGCGTTCACAAGAAGGTTGCGAGAACGTTGTACAGTTGCACAAAAGCGTAGTTAAGTCATTCAATTCATTTTCAACACAATTCAATTGATCGGAAACAACCGCGCCGTCGGTGGCTAATTTCCAATTTCTCCCTCAATTCTGTGCCGATTACTTAAGTAGTCACAGCTGTCAATGGTGCTGATCCAGGGACTGTTTGGTCAAGTCATGCCAGCCACTTCTTCCTTGTGTACATTGGTCGATTCTGTGTCGCACAGGCTTTAAAACTCAACTCCTGACACTAGATCGCTCATCACAGGGCATGATTGAATGTAGGATCCAAGTGCAAGCGCATTATCGTTCCACCGCAATGAAGATGCTATTTTATACTAGCTGATCAATAGTGCTGGCTTGATATAGGCCGGCTTGTGTATGAGACGCGGAATCCGATGTGAGTGGCCCTCCTTACCTAGGATGACAAGCACTTCACATTCCATCACCCTTAGCTGTAGCTCCCCACGGGCACTCCCTTGCATTATGCTCCATGCAAATTCCAAGAGCACATAATCACCCACCTGAGTGCCCTTATGCTTCATTCCCCGGTACTGCGAAGAATTCAGGGTTGGGTAAGCCAAAGACTGGCATGGCGTTTAATTCCCCGATCATTCATTTCACGACTATCTAGAATGTGGAGAATCGGAGAATCTCTGCCGCCGTGGCCCTGAACGGATATCAGGCCGATCATCGCGGCCGTATGCATGTGCGTAGTCATGCAATTATATCTTGACAGCTTCATTGTCAGCAGGGATCAAAACCTGCGTGAAAAGGGCACTGGCGTGTGGGTGTGGGTTCACCTGACGCAATACCTCGTCCAGCTCATTCCTTCCACTACCCATCGATGGTTTGGCTTATGACCTTACTGCCAGTGACCATATTCTGATCCGCTACGCGTTCATGAGCTCAGCCATTTATCTCAAGCCTTGGCCTTCCATGGCCCCATTTTCTTTGCGCTCTATGTCTTTGGATTCATCGTGATTTAGTACGTGGTATGTGTATGGCGCCAAATCCTGCATCAAGTGCAGCGTCTCAAATCTCCCGCTTCCCTTGATCTCACGCTATGCAATGGGGGGTGGGGGTTTAACAATGATAGCATTGTGCTGATTAATAAACCCGATGTCACATTTGCGCGACCTGCATATTCCCTAAAGCCTCTAAGTCCCCAGGCCCTCAGACCCGCGCAACGGCAGAGTTTTCCTTGAACCAACCATACTATCTCATGCAACCTCCAGGGCTGATTAACGCAACGTCGCGAGGTCGTTCCTGCGCACCTTGCGAGTCTGCCCTACCCAACATTCCTCCAATTTACGTTGTCTCCGCACTTTCATTAAATGGAAGAAGCGAGCGGTTCAAGGATGGGTCAAGGGAATATTCCTGGGGATTCTTATCACAGCGCAGTACTGAGCAGCGCGGTGTATCCATGGGCAAAAATGTTACAAACCAATGAAATGCCCTTCGATGCAACATTAGCACTTCCCGATGAATTGCTCATGTCCGCTTCGTCCAAGCCGCCAGGTAGGTTGTCACTGCAACCAACCTGCTTTGTATGTCTGGTCTCGGCTTCGAAATAAGGCCTAATCACACGAGTAGTACCCTCATTGGCGCGACCCGCGCGAGCGGTAAGGGAAATCATGGAAATCCCCAGCCCATATCCGACGGGATATCATAGCCTAGCAGCCTTGTCATCCTCGCCTCATGGCCGCTCAAAAGTTCGCCGATTGCTCTGGCGGTAGACGAAAACAAATCACATTACAAGCAAGATAAGTACACAAAACAAGTACACAGTCCATCGAGACCCAAAAATACAAACACAAGTAGGGATATCACACGCATTCAAGTTACCGCGGTGGAAGTGAAGGAAAAGTAGGTGCTGTAGAACTTGACGATGGTGATAGGTACCCGGAACGATACGCAGAACGCAAAGGGGACGTAGGAGGGAGTGCAGGTGGCTCAACAAGCGTATCACCGAATACGACAGTTTTGTCCCGCCCAAATTGGGCCTTCAGAACGCCCTTACCCATTCTCTTGAGCAGAGCACGACGGCCAACACCACGAGCATCGACATAAACGAGCGAGACATTCTGTGCCGTTTCCCCTATTTGTTCCACTGCTTTCCCTGCGTCTGGGCCATACCTGATATTAACGGAGTCATTGAATTTCTGTGTTTGGTAGGGCGGAGGTCATATAAGGTCATATAATGGATGCTCACATGTGGCCGACACCAGCAGACAGTGAAGTAGTGCCAGATTTAAGAACGGTCGATACAGACTGCTCAGCGGCTGTCAGGATCATGTCCGTTGAGGCGAGCACCCTATTTTTCAACCCGGGCTTCCTCGCGGGGCGAGAACTTTGATTCGGACCCCCAGGTGGTCCTGGTGAAGGAGACGGCGACCTCCTGCCCCACCTGATCGCTAGCCTGTCGATTGCGCCGTGAATAAGATTGACGGTCTTCGATGAGGCTTGAACGGCATGGCCACTAAGCATATGAACGCGATTGACATTCCGCTTCGCCCTATCGGAGAAGGTGATGGGGGATTGCGTCGGAGCAGTTCGATTCACAAACTGAGTGGATGCGTAGTTGAGACCACTTGCGATAGCGTCGCCAAGGAGGACGATTCCTCGACTAGATGTCAAGTCAGCATACACCTGGAAATGTACAAGAATAAGCCCTCACCTTAAATAATCCGCAGAGCGCAAAAGCCAATCTTGTTCCTGCGGAGTCACGGAATGAACGTAGAGGGTTTGCGCGTTTTCATCATACTCTGCGACCACAGGGTTTTTCCCGCTCGTTTCCAAATTGGGGTGCTCTTGGACTTGAATATTCTCCCTTAATGTTCCGACGTAACCACCATCATTCTGATCCACCAGAACCAAGCGGCCCTAGATGAATCAAGAAGTCAAAAACCAGCATGGATGGAATCATCGAGCAAGCTCGCCTTTAGATCTCCGTCGGGCTCATAGGGATCAGGATCAATCTGTTGCACGATCCCATACTGCGACAGCACTATATTGAATGTCTCGATATCTTCTCCCTCTGCTGGTGATGAGGGTGGTGGAAAAGCCACGGTAATGCGGGGCGACCCTTCCAAAGCGGCCGCGACAAAAGTATAGGTTCGACTCATTCGAGAATATAAGATCGTTTCGGTAGGCGATATCGGGATCTCGATCGAACCGATTCGCAGAAGTAACCAGACATCACGGGCATCCTCATTGGATCCTTGGGACCATCCTGAAAACGAGTCGATATCCAAGGTCACGCATACTATTCCGAGTGTCCCTTGCGTGTCTGGGGGACTACTTGTCGAACTAACGAGGCGGCAATCAGGAATGGTCACTAGCAGGAAGGCTTGTGGAGGAGGAGGCGTATCTCTGGTCATAGTCAAAAATATCAGTCTGAGGAGATTCAATAGCCCTTATATGCGTTCCGTGACGGCCGATATAAAAAGTACGCAGTTCGACTGCGCTGAGGCTGTGAGATGCGAAGCCAGGACACAAAGGAGGCGATGGCTGTGCATGTTCTTGGCGTTCCCACTTATCAAAATCAAAAGAATTGCTATGGCGGGCCAACACAAGCCACACCCCACTGAGAGCACATCAGTGCCTCAGTTCCCTTGCTCGGCTTGACGCCAGCAGATTCTTGAATCCCTCCAGTCTTGAGGGGTGTGTATGTGTATCATTTTAGACTCCGCATCTGTGCCAGTCGGCACATGACAGAGCGTACACTGTACACAATCAGTACAAGGTATCTGCCAGTGCGTTCTCTACCCATGTCACGTCCCGTTGAGCAGATCTCACCACGTTAAGCTTGTCAAGTCTGAATGGCCTCCTCATTGTCATTGCAGTTCGTTTCCCAGTCGGAAGCTTCAGCCTTGTCTTTCCTAACCGTGCTACTATCTCATTCCATTGTCTCCTCACACACACCCCGCGCTGCGTGGCCCAATAGCCATAATTTTCCACAACATCCTCGACTTCCGAACTCAGTGTTACTAGGTATATGCCTGTGGCTCCTGCGGATCAAGGAAGACGCGAGTCACGGTATGTTAACTAATGGGTTCACTCTCATGTCTTTTCTGTCAACAATCTTGACTTCCTCAGTCTTTGGTGACATATTACGCGAAATTCAGGTTCAGAATCTCAATCCTGAGCCTGAGCTTGGCAGCACAGCAATTGTGAGAAACTGGATCCTTACAAGTGCAATTTACGCGGAAGAAATACAAGTACTGATGGAAAAAGAGAGTGGGCTTCACATGAATGCTGCCCACCTTCACCTGGCACATCAATGAACACGTTGTTCATCCACAGAGGTCTAAGCAGATTTCCTTGCAGTAAGTCAGGCCCTAGAACGACAAACCGATATTTCCCATTTCTGATCTCCTGCTTGACGAGTAACATAACATAACCATAGATGCATAACCAATCATTTATCGATAAATACGTGCCTTGATGGTTTCCTTGTTTATCGTCATCGCTTCCAGTGCTATTGCAGTGAGCCCTAAATCCTTGGCACTTTCTACATGCTGATCCACCAGTTTTTTCAGTGGTACAATGATGAAAGAGACTCCTAGGTTATTTTTTTCAAAGAGGGCTGGGAGGAATAAAGTGTAGGTTTTCCCTGTCCCTGTTGCAGCTGTTGATACTAAATTCTGCTTTGGCTTGCGAAGCAGAAACTCGGCAATCTCAGCTTGGAACCAGCAAGCACATTGGTTCCAAGTCACTTCACTCTGAACCCTTATATGCTCAGCAGAAGGTGTCCTAGTGTCTGTTGCATGATCTGTGGATGAGTCCATGGTGTAAAAGACAGTGAAGGAGCGGGGGGTGGGTTTGGCGCTTCTAGGAGATTCCTTTTTGAGACCCAAGAGTTGTTTCGGGGTTTGCCGGTGGGCACCGCCACTGCCATAGTGAACCAGTCGAAGTGTCGCGCGCTGGTTTTCGGAGTAGATGATCGGACATGAACTCTTTAACCCCGTTACATGTGACTTATTATTTGTATTAATAACTGTATTGGGGTGGTCTGTATTGATTGCAGATTTGTCCAGATAACGTGATTTCTGAATTGTAATACAAAGGGGTACTTAATTATTTTCTAACATTGTGTAGTGCGCGTCCACGAAGCGGAGACGGCTGGGTTCGAGTCTGCACCAAACCCTGAATTTGGGCTTACCAACCCACTTTCGCTATCTTAAACTTTATACCCCCAGTCAATACATTCCAGCATTCACCGATGGAGCATTTGTCGGTGTCAATGAACGAAAGCAATATCAGTGTAGTCGCCAATCTCCTACGCAATGTTGAACGTTTGAAGACTCTGGAGTTCGAGCTTGTGGCTTCCCCAAACCTAGACATTTCAGGCATCTTCCCTCGTTCATTCCCCCGGCTTGAGAATCTCGTGGAAGGGTTTCCTCCACGCGTCTCAAACACCTATATTGCCAAGCACCACAAAGTTTGGGCCCCTCTTCACTCGATGACACAATAAAGAAGGATATTCTGAAGGGCCTCATCTCCTTAGGGGCTAGAACGTCATCTAGCCTGCTGCAGGATTGCCTCGTTCACTGTCACGCGCCTGAATGCCTAGGAGTTTACGTCGCCAGCGGACGAGAGTATCAGATAATCAGGATGCTGGAGTCCCTACTTCCAACTGCGAAACCGCCAGGTTCATTTCTCCTACATCTCTCGGCATACCACTGTCCCAATCTCCAGAGAATAATGTTCGCGATCTATCTGAGACCTGATCTTCAAGCAATCAAATGTAGTTCTAATCACATCCTTGAACTCCTTGCCCTCCGACTGCGTCTCTCAAATGTTGAAATCAGGATCCGCATAGAAACCCAGGACCCCCGCGAGTTGGATCTATCTCCCCTTATTAGGGATCTTCCGGAAGCCTTCCCAGCCAGGGTGGTTGTTTGGGGCCCATTTCGCCGCTCCGACCAACCTTTTTAAGCCACATGAATACAACCCTCCGGTTTAGCGTTGAGCGCGTCGTTTCATCTGTTGAAAATCTTGGTTTTTCTTGGGAGTTATAGTGCGCTGTGGCCGACTCACAATGTGATGTTGAGCTTGCGGCGCTGTATTTCCTTTCTTGGTATTCCCGCTACCAAAGTCAGTGCGCCATTGAGGCGACTGCTTATAAAAGCAGTGAACAATTTTTCCCTTTCGTCTCCCTCAGTTCAACTACGATTGACTGAGCGTAACACGCTAGCGTAAATCGCTAATATCCTAATATCATCTTGCGCGAGATGTTCAATGCCCACTTGTCCTGCTTCACAAGTTGCCTCACAACGCCTAATGATTGCAAACGGCTGATCGCCTACTGTAGTTATGCTTATACATGAAGTTGAAAGAGATATTTCATCCAAGTTAAAAGCCATTCCCAGCAGCAGAGGTTCCCATCTCGGGGGTCCCCCTACATTTCGGCATGGACAGAATCTCCTGTCTTTGCTTTCCCCTCAAATCAGCTTTGCTGTTCCATGTCGACGCACGCTCGCCACGGAGCTAGCACAGTGCGATCGCTGCAATTCCATCCCTTGTATTAAGTACAACTGGTGGGCACCGCCTGACACGGCCAAACCTCCCACTCTTCTCACCGCCACCTCGAACCATCGTTTGAGCGGAAAGGAATATGCAGAAACGAGGTGTGTACACTGGAATATTTCCTCTGATGACTCGTCATTCAATCGTATCGGATCAATCATCGAGCCAACAACTTCAGCTCCTAGGCCGGGTCTTTCGTTCTCGTTGGGGATTTTTAGATGTACTTGTAACCACCGGGCAGATTCGAAGATTCGGGTGATATATCAGTTTGCAAAAACCAGGATTTAGTGGAGAGCGTGCAGTTCTGCCAGTAGAATGATTCCCCCTCCTGGCGTTCTTGCGTCCAGAAAACAGATTTGAGATCATGGCACGAGGACGACCCCCCAATGATGTCAGCTCCGATGTTAGGAATGGAGCGATGATGGTCCGATGGGTAGGGGAGAAGCCAGCTCCAGCCCCAATTGCGAAGTCAAAATCAATCAGAGATATGCCTTGTATTGAAAAATTCTGGGTTAGTTGCAACTCACCATCAACCAAAGCACGATATGCCACTGAAGTCTTCAAATGGAATGGACGTGATCGGAGGCCGTCGTGGGCCCAAGACCATTGCGCGGAGGATGCGATTATTAAATCAGCGGTTCCCCATTTACAAGAGGTTGGACTCAACCATGGGTTCCAGCAGCGAGCGAATCAAGATTATTATGGTTGAACATTTCAGACATTAGCACTTAACGCCTTTTTGCCTCATGAATTTCAGCAGCTCAACCTCCGCGATTAGCTGCCAGAGAGCTTTACAACCTCGACTGTGGCAGCTTCGCGCTGTTTGACCTCTCCGATGGCCCAAACCATCGTTCCTGGCAGAATCAAGTGAAGTACCTCTGGGCGACCGAAATGCGCTTACCACGCCCCTTTATGCTTCTTCCTCTTTTGTTTTTCTCTCCTCTTGTGACACGGGTCTTCCCCTTGACCAAGAAGTAAGCCCTGTCCGCAGACCGCAGACCTTCTCCCGGCCCTAGTCCCCGTGTGGCTCGTCACATCATTCACCGGATGGCGGATGGATGAACGGCTCGAATCTGAGCTGGGCAGGAGTAGCATTCGCCAGTATTAACATTCCTGAAGTTCTCTCCAAATGGTATAGGAATGCTCCTGTAGAGACCTGAACGGTTGAAGTACCGAGGCTCAAAGTTCGTGCCTTGTATAAAATGTCCAAGTAAGTGCCGCCTGAGACCGCTTGCGGAAAAGAGTTCTACGGCATATCCTGCAAGCTGAGCTCGATCTGGGGACGTTTCCCCAGTAGTATGCATTGACGTTGTGCACGAGATGCCATAGTTCGAAAACCCTTCGGGCGTGCTCACTTGGGTCGAACACATCCACCACATCGATGTGGCCTCTGTCCTTAGAGAGCCTCGACAAGGCTCCCAAAGTCAATGTTTTCACACCGATTACCGAAGTCTTCAGATTTAGGCTGCAAGCATGTGTAAGTCGCATCATTGAGATCAGAATGGGAGGAAATGTTGAGCATCCCGATATTGAAACTCGAGATCTAGAGCTAGTTCAACCGAAGAATCACAGCTGATACTAGCTACTTGCGACAGAGAACTGTGCGGGGGGGGGCGAAAAGGACCTGGGCTGAGTTTCCGTGCACGGACTCACGAAGACGCTTTCATCCTATCCAGCTCATTGCATATGGAATGATGACCAGCAACAAGCTACTCAGAATTTAGCAAATTACAGATGAGGTATCCCTGCCACCATGACCACAAGGGGACAGCGCGCGGATGATACTGGCCCAGGGCATCGTGCGGAGGGGGTGGAGTTAAGAAATGAGTTCGAGACTCGTATCCGGCCCATGGATCTATGTACTAGGCACTGAGACGAAATCATCGCCGGAAGCCCGCAAACATGAACGCAGAGCAACCAGATGAAATAGTCTGTGGCTCCTTGCTGCGCGATGAAAGGCTTCTAGACGGTAGCAGGGTGAAATTTTTTAACCTTACTGAACCTGGTTTAGTCTAATATCTTACAAACGGGTAAATTGTAGTCACGATCGTCAACTTTTCAACCAAAACATTTCTCCTGGAACTTGGAATCATACCAAGATTGTCAGCAAGTATACGATAAACTTGCCCCAATAATTCTTGATTTGAGGGTTCTTCATATAAATCCTGGTTCGGCTTTTTGCTAGACTTGGGCAACACATGCTCTGGAAAGAGTCTGTGTGTGTCCTCCTTGAAGGGATCATTGAACATGGCTCTTTCCTCAGCTGCCATTTGACGATTGAACCGCCCAACCCAGTGCCTGCATAGCGCTTCAGCAAAATTCCTGTACTGTCTGTGAAGGGGAGCCCTCGCGAGAAGGGTTGCCGTTTCTGTTACAGCCTTGGAAGCACGACAATTACCTGGGTCCTTGAACCATGAAGACAAAAGACGGGGACTGATGGTGAGAATTTCATCATCATCTCCTTTGTCCATGCAGATGCAGATGTAAATGAGACACCAGGCAAAAGACTCCGAATCGTGTCGGTACAGACGTAAAACCGAGCCAATAATTGCTTTTTCACTGAGGAGATCTAGGGCCATGAACGGCATAGTTCCAGTGTTGTCCTTCCCGCTCAGTTCCTTCTGTTTGCCCAATCGAGCTAGGTCGAAGTCGACAAGAACCCCGCATTTCGTATCGGGCTTGTACATCAAGTTTCGTGCGCTGTCCCCATGGCAGATATTCCTTTCCCACAATGCCCAATGACCTGCTGCAAATGAATGCTGAGGGATAACACAAAAAACGAAAACACGACGTACAGAAGAAACAGTCCAAATATGCGATTAGCATGTGTTCCCCATCTAGACGCTTGAGCTCCCCCAGACGGTCAAGTATGACGAAACGAAGCGCTCACACCCTGGTCGTGTCCAGATCCAGAAACTTCCGGATGAACCTCATCGAACACGTTACATAGGGAAGGTCTGTGTTCATCAGCAAACTTGGTAGGGAGCTCTCAGAGCTCTGTGAGCAAATTGAGTCTTTTTGCTGTGCACCCTCTACACATTGGGTGGAGAAAATTAAATGTTTGAATGATTTTATTCTCCTAAGGATGCAGAAGTGCAAAGATAATATGTATATACATTTTTGGAAATGCATATTCCATGGCCAGCATCATTACTTGAAACACTCTATGAGCTCATAGAGCTTTTTGTTTTTAAATCATGGATGGTCTTCATATCTCCATGAAATCTGCTTAGTTATTTTGGCACCAGTAGTGCAAAGATAATATGGATATATATGTGTGTAAAATGGCCATTGTCATTGCTCTGAAAGCTCTATGAGCTCTATGAACTCAGTGGGCTCATAGAGCTCATATACCTTTTGTGTTTACTAAAATCAGCACCTTATTTTTTATTGCTATTTACAAAATTTGAGGAAAACTCTGAAATTCAAAAATTTGCACTTTATCTTTCATCTCATTTCTTGCTCAAAACTCAACCAATTTTGATGATTCTATGTGAATTGGAAAGCACCAAAGTGTGGCAATGTAACCATGCATGTTATGTAGGGTATAAATCAGTTTTAACAAAGTGTTCCAAATGAAGTAAATTGAAAATAAAGCAAACAAAAAGCTGATGTATTCTTCAGATATCATCCAAGCCTTTGACACCAAATTTCCCATGGTCAAAAAGCCATGGTTATTTGGCTCACTGTCAGGGCCCAGCCCTTGTTCTGTGACGGGCCCAGGGGGATCCTCCTAGTCGCTGGGGTATCTAGTCCCAGTCCGAGATCCTCAAACTCACTGAGGGGGCTAAACCTTCTCAACCTCCTCTACAAATGGGAGCCAGGAACTATACAGTTTTCAGCTCTTTGTTGACTCCCCATAAATGGCACCCCCCCGTGGGAACGAGCTGCTCACCCAGAAAGTTCCCACAGTTGTGGCTGTGATGGTTTCTGGGTGAGTAACTTACCCAGAACTTTCCCATGGGTCTGCATGCATGTGGGATTGTGGAATAGTGAGGGGCTGTGCCCTGACACTCACCAAAACATGGTGGGAGACTTTTCTAACACTGAAACATACATTGCTACATTGCCCCACTTTGGCACTTTCCAATGCACATTGAATTATCAAAAAAGTGAATTAATTTTTTTTCCAATTATTCCTAATTTCCTGGACTCTAAGTGGCTATGCCAAAAACTCCGGTACCTGGTAAAGTATACAGGCTGGCCACACTCAGAAAACCAATGGCTCACGTGCAACCACCTAACCCATGCCTCAGACCTAGTCGAGGAGTTCCACTGGACGCACCCACATGCCCCAGGGAGAGAAAGAGAGAACTGCCCAGCTGCTTCGAGGCAAAGCAGCTTAAGAGGGGGGTGATGTCAGGGCACACCCCACCTGACCCTGCACCGCGCTGCCCTACTCCGCTCCCCCGCTATCACTCCCTGTTTCTTCTTTCCCCTTTCCTTCTTTCTTTCTATTTCCATTTCATGGTTGACTTCCCCTTCTCTATGTATTACTACACACCTAACCCCGCTCCCCGATCGCTGTGCCCGCCACACGCATTCCTGCTCACAGAGCGGCACACCTCTGGGATCTCCTGCGGAGATACCCAGGGGAGTGCGGCTGTGTGCGGGAATGATGTGGCTCCCCCCATGTGACCCCAACTGCATGTATATAATAGCACCTGGGGTGGGAACAGAAGAAGCAGCCTTCTTCTCAACTTCCCACTTCAGGTAAGTACTGTAGCTTCTCCCCTTTAATGATAATACCAACTTCCCACTTCAGACTAAGTGGTCAGGGATGCTCACCCTGCAATGGGACCGCCGCTACACATAGCCGACACCTGTCCCATCGAGTCCCTCGCGCCGGGACCTTGCCACTTTTGGAGGTGTCCCTGACAAGTATATACAACCTGCTTTCTTACTATCATGAGTTCCTGTATCATTTCCTGCATTGCCTCGGCTGGGATTTGGCAATGTCCCCAATATTCTTTCACTGCCCATGCTGCTTCTCGCCCATCAAGACCCTTTCGATAGGTGTCCATATAGCGGAGTGAGCGGTTTGCAAACCTGAGAATAATCAGCAATTTTAATCCTGAAATTCCACTGAGTACATACCTCCGGATTGAGGGTAAAGGCACCGAGTCCAACGCATTTTTGGCATTAATCTCCACATCTCCAATCTTTGATGATGGGGAAGATTCATGATAAACCCGCTTTGCATATCCCCAGACTTGTTCAATAAAATTCAGTTCACAGTGGAACTTAGGGAGAAAAAGCACATCAAAACCAGCTGCTTCGCAATGGGTTTCAAGAAGGGTTTTGATGTTGATGAAATCATCGGAGTGAAAAAGAATATTGCGGCAGCAGCATTGGCTTGCACTGGCTTGGCACTTGAATTTCTCCCATTGGGCATGCAAGTGAGTTGTGTCATAGCCCTGCTCAGTAAGAATCTGGGCCATGCCTTTGAAATACCCAGGATACTGTGGGTGGTCATCAGGGTAATAAAGTTGCTGTGATTGCCCATTGAACATCGTATCAGCCATGTGCTTGGTAGTCATGCAGGGCTTCCATCTGGACCATAAATGATTGAGCCACTATCGTTGTGCAAGGCAACAGGAACTCCCCATGGTTTGGGATTTCTTGGGATTTTGACAGCTGATAAATTAGAATGAGTCTGAGCATTGTCAAAGACAAAAACATGTTTGTCATTTGGGTAGCTGTCATATCCATCCCTGGCCATCAACTTCTGATCCCTCCGATCCCTCTGGTCCACCTCCACTCCTTCTTCACTAACCTCAGAGCTCCCATATTCCGCAATCCCCTCGGTACCCCTCGATGATCACCACCCCCTCCTTTCAATTTATTACCTACGCCTCCCTAAGTACAGAGCCCTGAAGGCTTCCAGACAGCTCCAATGTCCGCTAGCGCACCCCTGCCTCCACTGGGCAATACACTCGCTTGCCCTGCAAAGCCCACCTTCAGGCCTATCCCTCCTTTCCGTTTCTGGGTTATCGCCTGCCTTTCCATTAACCCCATAACCTGACTCATCGGTAATATTCAATCGGCTAATGTCTAACCCCGTTAGCTCCGCTCCACTCGGCTCTGCCAATTGCGGACCTGCCCTCATTGTAACTATATATATACTCAACTTGTACATAGGTTACACCTCAGTAATAAAATCGACTAGAGTTTACCCCCTTCAGTCCTGGTTGCCAGTTTAGTAAGTTAGGGCACGGATGTGTTACTTGGCACAGCGCTCCTGTCATATCCGTGCATACCCGACCCCGACCCGACTTCCGGACCTCCACCCTCTTCACCTCCGGAGTCATAACCTACCGCTGCCGTTCCGATACTCACCTTCGGTCCTGGCAACACACCTCCTCCTTACCTCTCCGACCCTATCTCCATCCGCTCCGATACTCATCTCGGACCGAACACCGCCCCACTCGCCACCCTCCTACTACTCCGCTCCCCCTTCACAACACCTCCACCCTCCCGTCATCCTCCTACGCTTCCCCTGTCCGCTCCGATACTCACCTTCGGACCTGACTACTCTCCTTTCCGCCACTCCTTCTCCCTTACCTTTCCCCTCTCTCCTCCCTCTGTTACTCCTCCACCACCCTTCCGCCAAGTTACGACCTTCCACTGCTGTTCCGTACTTCGCACTTGGACACCACTCGTACCTTGCTCCGAGCCTCCGTCATAGTCCCTACCTCGGACTTTGACTCCACCTTGGTCTTAGTCCATTGCATTGGTGACCTCATACTACGTAAACACCATTGCCAATATCCCTCGGACTTTCAACCCTGCCTCCGTAACCTCCGTAAGCTCTGCAACCCCTGAGCTTCGCGGATCGCCTTCGGCACTCTCGCCGCTTGTAATGTATTTCTCGCATTTTCCCCTCATCCCTATTTGGACTACTGCTTCTTCCTATTCTAGCCAGTTAGTCATCATCCCCACTTCCCCTCATCCTCCTGCCCCTCTGGGCCTCGCCCTCCCTACCTCCTTTCAGACGTATCACAGGTCCTGCCTTATGACCTTCGGTACCGCTCCGCTCCTTCTACCCTTTGTTCCCGTTCGGACATCTTCGTTCTGATTTGGTTACCCTTTGTTCTCCTTGTGCTTTTGCCCCTTCCATTATATATATCGGCACTTGTACATACTCGTTTTGGTTTAGTCCGAAATCGACCTGAAATGCCCCCTAGAGACTTCCTGCTCACCTACTGTGAAATTAAGGACCAAATGGACAAACAGCAATGGCACAGTGCTCCGCTTGAGTCGCTGAGGCCAAGGTCCCTCCACGCTAAGTCTCCGATTCCACTCCGGAGTCGTCTGTTTCTGCCCTGTTCTAGCAGACCCTCCTCCTGCTGATCCTCCCATCCCCACTGTCCCAGCCGCCAACGATGCTGAACCCATCCCCAACGTGGCTATTGCACAATTAGCCCAAGCCATTGCCAGCTTGGCTCATCACACCGGTCATCCACCACCTCCACCATCCTCTGCTCTCCGGACCAAGGTCCGTGAGCCTGAACAGTTTGATGGGAAAGATCCCCGAGAACTCCGAGTATTTCTGGTCCAATGCGAACTCAATTTCCAGGACTGTCCCCTGGCTTTTGCTAGCAACCACACTAAGGTCATCTTTGCGCAGTCCTACCTCAAAGGAATGGCCCTTGATTGGTTCGAGCCGGATCTATTATTCGATCAAAATTCTACACTTCATCCGCGATGGATGAATAACTATCAAGAGTTTGTCAACGAACTTCAAACGAACTTCGGTCCTCACAATCCTGTGGGCGACGCCGAAGTTCAACTAATGACCCTGGACATGAAGGACAGGCACCACATCAATAAATACGTTGTTGAGTTCAACCAACATGCCTCTCAACTTCATGGTTACGGAGAAGCCGCGCTTCGTCGTTTTTTCTATAACGGATTGCCGGAACGTATCAAGGACGATATTGCCAGAGTAGGTAAACCTTCTA